GATGTCGCCGCTAGTCGCCTTCAAGAACTATATATCCTTTTTGGTATACACGTGAACAATAAAATATGTGTTACCGCACTATTTTTGAGTCTTCGATTCGCGTATAAATGAAACATGCTCTGAATCAACCCAGGGGGGAATTCATCAATACCTCTTTTGAATCGAGTTTATTACGTGCAATCATTTCCCTGAAATATGAGCAATTGAAAACATGGAGAATTTTAGAATTTTTACATGCACTACTAAATTGCAAGCAGATGTACCACATTGTATTGACGAGTGGCATCTACCATTTGCGCACGCGACATAGTAAGAAGTATATGGAATTATGTAGAAGCATTGTAATCAAAAGATTTTTATTTTTCATATTGATATGTAAGAATTTCGAAATAGCCGCCTAGAATTAACGGTGGGTGGTGGGCTGGAAATGCAGTTCACAACCAAGGTGCACATTGACCCACGTTTACGTTTGTATTATGGCCGCCAAAAAATAGGAAAACACATTTTTGAAATGATTCAACAGCTACCTGCGAACCATTAGACAAAAAATATGAGCTACGATGTGTTTGTGAGCGCACGTTGTTGTAGCATGGTCAAAAACGTGTTTTTCTGCTTTTCAATTATGACGTCACGGACGCGGAAGATTCGATTCGAGTCCTTGACCTATTACTCGGATTCGTCGAATCTCTGTAATGGCTCGTCTCGTCCCATTCCTAGAGGCCGTGTTTATTTCCGTAACAATGTCCAAACAGCAATTACCCAACAATGACGTAACAATTACATTTTGTGCAGCTGCTCAGTCACTCATTTCTCACAGACAGATATTCAAGCATAGTTGTAAACTTCGCCTCGTGGTTTACCTGTTTTCGTGGTTTTGCGAGTTATTTGTCAGTTTTCAGTTGTGTTTTCAAAAATAGTTGTAACTCAAATAACTTAATTCTCATTATGTTTTCCGAGGACCTTTAGTTCTGTTGCAATAAACTAAAATAGATTGACTCTTGACTAGGAGCAATGCCCGAATACATTAACACGGAAGCCAGTTCTTACAGTATGAGTATGGTATCGGGATTCATCACTCATTCATGATTTATAGGTTCACTTCACGTCTAATAAACATCTATTCCCATAGAATAGATGGAAATGTAACCAATGTCTACTGTGGTGTAAGACAGCGGTTTCCAAAAGGTGCAGTCTAGTGGCTAAGTACGCCGCGAAAATTATCATTATGTTAAGCATAACTAAAATATGTTTGAATATTTTACGTAATGTATTTAATATAATGTTTTATTGTTTCTTATTTTAAATGCTGTGTATAGAAATCAATAAACTCATTTACCTTTCTACATCATTTATTTTCTTTTATGCAATGATTACGTAACAATATAGCTAGACATGATTTTTTTCATTTCAAAGAAAAATCAGGCAAAGAGGGGGGAAAAGAGTTCACCGTTTGCCTTTATTCTCCAGGGTGGTCCAAGCCCACGGGCCACATGTGGCCCGCCGCTTCATTATCTGTGGCCCGCGTCACATTCGGAGAGTAATCAAAATTAATCAGAAAAATCTTTTGACATATTGTTACATCACTAATGTCATTAAATTGACTAGTGTTATGACTAGCTGAGGCAATTAGCGAAGTTGAATAATGTGCTTGTCAGTCTAAATTGTTATCTGGCTTTTTATCTTTTTGGTCGGAAATATATGCTACAACATAGGCATCATAGGAAAACTAAAAATCGAATGCGGATTGATGGCTATGCCTGATAACTATGAGTTTGCAAAATGGAAGTTTTTTTTTGTATTGCACTGTTTACCAAATATTGGCACTATTGTGGCCCGCGAACAATGCAAAAAAAAAATTTGCGGCCCGCGGAACCGACAACCTTAGACCACCCTGGTCTGGGCCAATATGTTCACAATTTTAAACTCATAAAATACACAATAATGATCATAAAATTGAGTTCGATTTCAGCATTTTTTTCGTGTAGGTAGGCTACGCCGCGAGTTTTTTTTTTTCACAGATCATAGTAGCATGATAGGTTTTCGAATTTTCTGTCTAATTTTTTGAAATCTTCTGTTGAGTTTTTTTTTTCACAGATCCTAGTAGCATGATAGGTTTTCGAATTTTCTGTCTAATTTTTTGAAATCTTATGTTTTTCCCTGCTAATATAAAATAAATAAATATTTATCTACATCATAATGCTATGCTTGTGATAGAATGTGGACAATGTTCAATACAAATGGATATAGCATGACGAACATTGGATTATCAACATCGAATTCCATATGTATAATTATTAATTGTTTATGCAACTGTTTTATTTCTTTACAATTAATCGGAACTAAATACATGCAATTGTTTTCGAAAAAAAGGTATAAAACGAAAACGTAAATTGACACTGTAATTGGCTTTAAAAAAATATAATTAAATAATTCCATATTGGCTCTGGAAATTGATTTGGCAAAAAAGGAGCCCTATTTTTCGCGAATAAATTGCGCCTTTCGGTGGCCGAATGTTTTAGTTTTAAAGTAAGATATCGCGAACGTTATAAATACCGAGAAGTGACTGAGTTGTATACGACTTGTTATTGAGCTTTTACGTTACAGTTAGTTGTTGAAAAATCTGATAGTGGAAAAGCCGATGTAGATCTACCGGTAGTCTGGTAGTAGTACGGTACCAGCGGATAGGATACAAGCGCCCTGAACTGAAGTTCGGTACGGTACCGTACATAGTTTGTTGACCTATTACCGTACGCTACACACTTGCACACACACACACACACACACAACCATAGCGCATTAATAAAATTAGAAAAAAAAAGAGAGAAGCTTTAGATATTTAATATAGTAACCAAAAAAATTTATATAAATGCCGTACCGGTACATAGAAAAGAAATTAGAATAAAAAATATGAAAAGTACGGTAATAAAAAATAAGAATTGTTTGAGAAATGAAAGAAATGATTTTAAGAAAGTTTAAGAAATGATGAACGCACATGCAAAATTGGATTGGGTGGAGATTAAACCCCGCGTTCTTGAGATATCGCTTGCATCTAACAGACAGACAAACAGACAAAGATCGATAAACAAGATCGACAAGTAATGATATTTTTTACATCATGCACTCGGTCTATTACTGAATCTGTGATAATATTATTTTTCGTCCTTGGTATTCATTTTTGATCCCGGTCTGTGTCCAATAACAAAAAATATGCTTTTCGTGAAAATTTTTCCATTGGACATGTCCGGCTTCAACCAACACATGGCCTCTCTAAATCCTAAATTGCCCTTAGTAACTTCCATAATACCATTAAATTGCTGACTCGTTTCCTTTTTTCCTCGTATTTATGTTTTTATATATTTATATTTAATCTCATTTGTATCCACCTATGATGAACTTATATATAGCACATACACAAGGGTCAGGAGCCTAGATGACTTTAATCGGTCTTGCACACCGACCCGCACAAAGCAATAATCAATTACTGTGGAATATTTTCGTTATTGTATTATGTTTATATTAGTGTTGATTTTGTTTTTGTGGCAATAAATCTCTCTCTCTCTCTCTACACCATTTTAGGGTCTCATGTAGTTTCGTACCTAACGTACTTCTAGTAAGCGTAGCATAACAATTTTTTCACGTGTCAATGCTGACCCCCACCCGACCACACCATCCGAAAATTACGTCACTACGACGTCACAGTGACATAATAGAGCCCTTCAAATTGTGCGAACTGTCATCCAAAACGCGCAGACGAGAACCCGAAATCGAACAGCCATTTCTCTCGTTTTCTCGTCGCAACGATCCCGATAGGAGAGAGAGCGCTGACGTTAGTCAGTTCTTTATCGTCGGAGCCGATGCCATTTCGGCTGATCGTACGAGTATTTGGCAAGCTCTATGACGTGATTGTGATGTCGTAGTGACGTAATTTTTGGATGGCGTAGTCAGGTGAGGGTTAGGATTGGTATGTCAAAAAATTGTTATGCTACGCCTACTAGAAGTACGTTAGGTACGAAACTACACGAGACCCCCATTTTAATACTGTAATATAATATAATTGGAGTCAAATGCCAAATTGCCCAATCAAAGTTTTTCATATCTTTTCTCATTCTCCTCAAACCGGTACCCTACTTTATTGTATTTGTGTAATCATTGGCAGATTGGTGTTTTCTAATCCATCCCACTAAATTTTGCAAATCAATGGATTTCTCCTTTACCTTTTACAATAACTAAATATTTAAATGTATATTCTTGTTTTCAATTCTTATATGACTGTATTCAGGCATGAAGGCTTTTCAAGATATACTGATATAGGATAAGATTTACATACGTCTGTAAGATGAACCACGGCCTCCGGTTACCGGTACCAGTCCATGCATGTTGCAGTGTTGGGTATGAGATTAGTTAGCCAGTTACGGTATTTACCAAAGTTACCCCAGCCCACACTCAACTTGCTATCAACGGGTCAGGCAACTATTTTCTTCCATTTTATTCGTTTTCTGAACGGTATTCCATAAAAACTTGGTTGCTCCGATAATATATAGACCATAATGTTATATCCGACGCAAATGCAACACCAAGCACGGCCCAGGTACACCGAGTATGGCCTAACAAAAACGAGTGTGAGCTGGCGCCACACAAGTGGAAGCATGGACCTGATGGTGGAAGGAGCTGTAACCGATCTGCGGTTACTGGGTTAGGTGAACCACCCCACAGTAGCGAGGAGTTCAGCAATCCTCTCGCACATAACCATCCCACATGGTATTCGAACCTGCGAAGTGCGAACCCACACAGAGTAATCCGAGGTGCGAGGGCGAGCGTGTTCTTATTATCGCTTAGCACGATGTGCCACACCACCGAGCCAGATAGCCAGGATTTATCAAATTTGTTCATTTAGATGCACTCTTCATGTACCGTAGTTGAAATGATCTGATCACGTGGCGTTTTCGTTGGTATGAATTCCATTGGTGCTGATATCATGAAATGTTATTATTCACAGATATATATAATCTTGTAATAGAACTAACTACAGGTGGAAAAATGCCTTCGACTGATACTGATCAGTCATCACAGTCTACCTCAAATGGGAATGGACAAACTGTGCTTAATTATGAAGAAACACTTATGTATGGAAAATATAAAAATACACTCGGAGCCTTTGCTAAAGAAGCTGCATTGAAACTTCGGGCCCAGAGCCTTTTAGTAAAACAGGAAAAAACACCATTACATGAACCAACAAGCCCAACTAAAACAACGAAATGTAAAGCAGCTTATCTGCGCTTCAAAGAGTGGTTTTTATATCATCTCGGTGGGGATTATATTTTTTTGCTTTTTCTCGGAATATCTATGGCACTTCTAAGTTTTGCTATGGATTATTCTATACATGCGTGCCAAAAAGCTCATTATTATCTTTATCGGGAACTGAAAGGATATGTGTTTCTACAATATCTAACGTGGGTTGGATTTCCATTAATTTTTATCACATTTTCTGTTGGATTCGTTCATATTGTTTCACCTCAAGCAGTTGGATCAGGTATACCTGAAATGAAAACTATAATGCGTGGGGTGGTTTTGAAAGAGTATCTTACTCTCAGAGTACTCGTGGCAAAAATGGTTGGCCTTGTTGCATCACTTGGAAGCAGATTGCCAATTGGAAAAGAAGGTCCATTTGTTCATATTGCCAGCATTGTTGCTACTCTTCTTAATGACATTTTTGCAATGTGCAAAGCTCGATCAAAAACAGCTGGATATCGAAATGAAATGTTAGCAGCTGCTTGTGCAGTTGGTGTCGCATGCAACTTTGCAGCTCCGATTGGTGGTGTCCTTTTCAGCATAGAAGTAACTGCAACATATTTTGCTGTAAGAGATTATTGGAGAGGTTTTTTCGGTGCCGTTTGTGGCGCTTTCATGTTTCGCTTACTGGCGGTATGGCATAATGAAGAAGAGACAATTACTGCATTGTTTAAGACCAATTTCAGACTTCAGTTTCCTTATGATCTCCAGGAGTTTATCGGTTTCACAGCGATAGGAATCATTTGTGGATTTGCTGGTGCTCTTTTTGTCTACATTCACCGACTTATTGTGAACTTTCATCGAGATCATGACTTTATTAAAAGCTGTTTATCCCGTAGTCGTTTCATATATCCAGCATTGGTTTCGATTATTATTAGTTCCATTACCTTTCCTGGGGGTTTGGGACAGTTTATGGCTGGAGAACTCACTTTGAAAGAAGCAGTTGATACTTTATTTGACAATAAAACTTGGAATAAACTCGGTTATATAGACGAGTCTGACGTTCTTACTGATATACAAGAAGGATGGCAGCATCCTACAGTCAACATATATATTACTTTGATGATTTTTATTGTACTACATTTTGCCATGACAGCATTTGCAATAACTCTCCCTGTGCCTGCTGGTGTGTTCATGCCAGTATTTGTCATTGGTGCAGCGTTTGGTCGATTGGTTGGAGAAACTATGTCTGCATTGTATCCTCAAGGATTTGTCGGCATGGGCGGCCAGGTTTTTCGCATTGTACCAGGAGGGTATGCTGTAGTTGGAGCTGCCAGTCTTTCTGGGGCCGTGACTCACACTGTATCTACAGCTGTTATTGTGTTTGAGTTGACTGGCCAAATATCACATATTTTGCCTGTTATGATTGCGGTAATAATTTCAAATCTGATTGCCCAACGACTGCAACTTTCTATTTACGATAGTATAATTGAAATAAAAGAGTTGCCTTATCTTCCAGACATTATAAGAGGGAAACGAAAGCTTAAGAAAATTCTTGTAGAGGATTTTATGCTCAGAAATGTGAAATTCCTAACATTGACATCGACCTACAGAGATGTAAAGTCGACTCTTGCTTTATGTTCTGCAAAAAGTTTACCTATTGTTAAATCTGCAGATGATATGGTTTTGATCGGATCAATTCCTAGACATTCGTTGCAACTTGCGCTTACAGAAAGAATGACTGATTGGCCTACATCGTCATCTCATTCACCAACAAAAAGTGCAATTAAAGAAGAGACTAATGTTGCTTTGAAGGAGGTCCTAACTGATGCAGGTAGCAGTAGTGGAAAAAATGGTGCAATTACAATGCATTCCGCGGAAGCAGATCTAAAAGATGTTTCACCTGTGGTTGTTCTAGAAAAGCCGGGAACTTCAGGATCTAAAATATTAGAAAATGAAATTCTTGATTCAATTGTTGATTTTCAGGAATGCAAACTTGATCCTGCACCATTTCAAATTGTTGAAAAAACATCGATTCATATGGTTCATTCTATGTTTTCATTACTTGGTGTCACTCGGGCTTATGTAACCAGCATTGGCAGGTTAGTGGGACTTGTTACAATTAATGAACTTCGAACTGCGATCGAAGCAGTGTCTTCCAAACGAAAGAAAAAACAAAAAGAGAAGAAAAAGGTTATACACAAAGCAAAATATGGCACAAGATCAGAACAATTAACTTTTTTTGCACTTCAGCAAGAAGATTCAGAAGAAACTGAACACGATGATTATTAAGACATAATTTAAAATAATATTCTATATTTTCTATTTACTACAATTTCTATGCCAAAAGATCAACATGACAGCTTCCCAGCTTGTGCTAGCCAAATAAGGTTTTTATTTGCACATGCTGAGGCTGGAATGTAGAATCACTCAGCAGTATGGGCATTTATTATTATAATGTTCGTTCTTTCCAAATTTAGTAAATCAAATTCTTTGGACAACTACCCTACGTGACCTTTAAAATTTTTTATATGCTTGTTTCCCCTTACTTGAATATGAATTACTTAGGTTCATAATTATTTCACAATAGTGCCGTAGATAATTTTATTCATTATCATGCTATCACAGTTCCATCCATCTAGTTAGTCGCTCCGTTCAAAAAATCCCATACCATCTTAGACATTGATGTTCGCTGTCATGTTCATGCCATGTTAGATTCAACACACTTTAGCTATGCTGTTTATTTTCTTTATTTATTTTGATTTTGCAGTGTCCAGTTTTTCTTCTTTAATATAAAAGCATTTGAATCAGAGTTTTTATTTGTTCTAGTGTATAAAATACTAACTCTTCCTTTTGCATGGATCATGCTGTCAATACCAGTGAAATATGGATCATATTGATTTTGATTTCATTGGTATATATATTTTGATATTATCAAGGGAGAGATATGAATAAGGGTGGCAGGGTGCCAATTTTAGATTCTCAGATTGGAAGAATATTGAAATAGATTAGATGAAATGAATTTCCCCCAAACTCTACTTTATTTCTTCAACATTCATTTGGTATACAACTTACAACAAAGAAGATTTATATCTTAATTTTAGTTCCATCCTTAATTTCTTTTGAATATCGTTCATTTGATTAGAATATCATATTTTATGTTTATAAAACTGGCCTCAGATCGTGGCTTGGCTACTTAAATTCCACCAAAAAGTACTAAAGATGTTTATCATCTGAATTCATAAAATACAATATTTTAAATTTAATAGGCAAATTTTCTGTTCATGCTATAAAAATGTTAAATTTTTTTTTATTATTTCTGTCGCGTCTCCGTTGGTTTCAATATAACTCAACTTATTGATAATGAGCCACGATGAAAACATTGATTCTTTGATTGATTATTACAGTTCTTTGATCATTAAGAGTTTGAAAGGCTGACATTTTAAATGTCATAATCCACTACTTGTCCTCAAACACAAAGTAATTAAGGTCAATATAGGAGTTTAAATCAATTGAAGGAAAACATTATTCTTTTTATGTGCTCTATTTTCGAACAATAATTAAGCATGATTGCTTTTATAAATCCTATTACTCTAAGTTTGTTAGAAGTCGTTCCAATTTGTTCTACATCTCTGATCCATCCTACAAAAAAATCATGATATTTTGATTTTTAAAGTTATAATCTTGTTGAGATCAATTTAATCTGGTTACCTGAGTTTATAAAGCTCTCACCAACACACTTTTTCAATAGGATTAATGCTAGACAGATGTATTGATTTGTCTAAGTAACTGGTTCAAATTGAAATTAGGCCAATATCAAATGTATTCCCAATATTAAATTATTAAAAGAAATATTGTATTTTGAATTGACAATGGAATGTGGGAGTAAATTTGAAATATTAAAATGAATATTTTTTCCTGTTGCATTGTAACTTGTACGCCATCATGCTTCAAAACTCTGATTTATGCTTAGATACTTTGAATCCAATAATTGTGATGTATGTTATGGTGGAGAAATGTATTTCAATGCTTACTAATTGGCTTTTAAAATTATAACATCACCACATAATCGTTAGAATTCTGAAAACATGGATTTTCACATTTTTTATAATAAATTTATCATTTTAAATTTTGATGGTGACATTCCTATTCGATTATACTTCTTTTAGTTTTATTCCTGTTGTTTTTAGTTTCATTTTCGAAAAAGGAACAATGAGATTCACTTTTTTTTAATCTGCTTCGTCTTGGTTTCTGGTGTCATTTCTTCAGCCCCACTGCTTCAAGCCAATTAGTTATGCAGGGTTCTTCCTAATTACTGGAAAGAAGGTGCATTGTGTAAACTGTGAAGGGAAAATATAAATTGGAGTTATTAGAACATTTTTGAACTCATGTGCTTTCCCTTTTACCCCCAACTACTTTTTTGAGTGGGCTGTCTTTCACTTTTTCAGTAATTATCAAAACCCTTAGGAAGTTAGCATTTTTGCATACAGATTCTATGTGTTTGTCACAAAGAAGTATTATGACACCCGTTTGAAATACTATCCTTGTAACATAAATTAGTTACTGCATCTGCATGTTGCTATGTTTCATGGTATTTCTTTGTTGAATGATCAATGATATGGTAATTACTAGGAGTTGAATATTATTGTATTTAAAATATTGAATTTCATTTATATTGTTCCTATTGTATGCAATTAAATGCTTTTTCAATTGAAAAAAACTCTTTGAATTGAATGTATAGAACACTGTCAAATTGTATTTTTTATTAATACAGTATTCTAATGGCAGGGATTTCAAAATGGACATTTGTAAAGACTATATTATTTTACATTGACTCGTGTATATCCTACTACTGTGATTTTCACTCATTACCCCTTGAACCTTACTTTTGTGTGTTCAGACAGTTGCAATTGTTAATTTTATTAATAAACGTTCTGAAAACTTGCTATTGTTAGTATCATGTATGTAAAATAGTATCATGTGTTGGTGGCTGCAGTAATACTGATATGGTTTTCCTTCATCCAAGCATTACAGTCCTCATTGGCAGTGAACAGTTATATATAAAACCAAGATATTTTATCGTATCAAGCTTGATATTCTCAAGTTTTCAACAATTGATTTTGATAATTCCAAATGAATATTGCCAAATTATATTTTAGCTCCTTACATAGGGTTAGATACCAGTGGTCTCTAGAACATAGCCTATTTCAGAGCGAGAAGTATCAAAAGGGATTTATAAAAAAAATAGGTTCTCAAAATAAAAAAATAAAAAAAACTTGACACTGAATTTTGACTAAATGTTTTAACTTCAACAACAAAAGCTTTCATACATTTCTCTACAAATAGAGGTAATTTTAAGTTCTTCAATATCGCAAAATTAACTTCCAATATTTTCAATAGTGTTTGAGCTATATTTATTAGTTCAAACTTATGTCACGGTACTTCACACCTTGAATTATAATTTGTCAAAAGTGTAACATTTATGTGTTAAGAACTAAGGCAACCATTTAAACTACTATGTAGTATGTTGCAATTGTACTGTTCTTTTAAAATATATACTTGCTTTATCTAATAATGTGCCATATTTTATTACGGACTTATAAAACTGTTTTCAAAACATTTGAACAGTTTGATGTAGTTCATTCATGTCATATTTTACTAGCAACTTCTTCAATCTCTCTTCTTGTTGCATATTTTCCTACAGAAATTATTATTTTTGTTACTACATTATTGTATATTTGCTTCATCTTATTATTATTGACATACATTGGTGATGCGATGCGTTTAATGATCTCCTGCTTTTTATGAAGTTAGTCATGTGCACAATTAATTTCAAAAATAACTTGTGTTCATGTGCCTCATTTGAAACTACCACATACCAGCTACCACCCATGTTTGACAAAAATAAATTTATATGAAAGTATGTATTACAAATCCTTGATTTACTCTTATTATGGGTCCCATGGAGCCGTCTTGTAGAAAGGATCTTTGATTTATTAATTCTGAAGTTTATCGATATTATAGGCTAACAAAATGTTGAGTTCAAATTTTCATTTTTGTGATGAAACAGCATTTTAAAAAAAACAATTTGATTGTTTAGAGCTTTTCTTATAACTCCCTTCATAATAGAAATTATTGTGAATATCAAAAATCTCATTTCATTTATTTTTAAAGTGAGCAAAACATTCCTGTGCAATATTATTAATGACACCAATGTACATAAAATTTATTGACATCGAATTTGAATATGATAATACTATATATGTATATATATGTTATGTACCGGCAAATTATATTTTATGGTTGCAGGATCAGTCTATTCATATGATCATTGTTATAATATACATTATTTGAATGGACTTATTTTATACTCGAAATATCATGTATACTCTAAACGTCTAGAGAGATTTTCCAAATTGTATGTGTGTCTTTATAATTAATATTTGAATTTATATAAATTTTGAACAAAGATGTTTCATGTGTCATGTTTTAGAATTTTATCAGGCACCTAATTCTGTTTCAAGTTATCTAATAAATGGGGAGATGTGGAAAAGTCACAGTTATAGTTCATGAAATTTGGCATAATCATGATTATTTTGCCAAAATTGCAAAAGTAAAAATAGTGATTCTGGTCATTTGATAAGGGGAGATATACTTCAAAAGTCACATTTTATTTGACATTACAAATTATTATATATTATTATATCATAGTTTTATATGATGAAATTAAGTACTGGTATATCAAACTTTGAAATGCCAGTGTATCCTAGTGTCTGACCAGCCTAGCATGATTTCTGTTAATTTATTGTCATAGTCCTGAGTTGGGTTACATGTAGTCAGATACAAAAAATAGAAGCTTCAACCAACAGGAGGCGAGCCAAATGACAGTGCCTATGAAATTCATAGTTTAATATCCTGTTATGTCTATTATGTGACAAAATTTTCAAATAATTTGTGTATATGCAAAATTTAAATGATGTTAAATATTACACAATTTGAAAATCCTGAAAAACATATTATTGATTGTTTTTTGCTTGATACACTAATATTATCCATTTGACTGATATATACTACACTATTTTTCATCTACCTGTACTTTATAGTTCTTTTCACGTGATATTTTTTGAATTTTCATGCAGATATGTAGCTGTAAATATCTACTAAAATTTGTTTGTGTAGTAGCCTAGTAGGTTAGTTGCATTGAAAAGTGCCAACCACCATGCAAATCATAATTCATGATTCTGATGTTGTTTCTATGATATTAGAATATCTACATTCACGACAATTGTATGAAAGTGCTATAGCATTGGAACGGGAAACTGGAGTAAGTTTGTTCTTTGTTGTTCTGTTTTTCAAGATTACTCAGCAGCAACCATGCCTCTGTGGTATGGCGCATCATGCTAAGCGTTAGGAATAAGCTTGCCATTGCACCTCTGCGCAGGTTCGCTGGTTTGACTCCTGCGAGGAATAATTATGTGTGAGAAGATTGCTGGACTCCTCACCGCTGTAGGTTGGTTCGCGACTTTCACTGGTTTGTTTAGGCTTGTTGCACCATCAACTCCATGCATCTGAAACAAAAACTGGTTAAATAATCCCATATCTGACATGGACTGGTAAACGGACCAGAGCCAGTGGTACGCCATACGATTGAGTCTATCTTCTAAACTTTCCTTTTCGTCAAGGTAAATATGAAAATCCTATCCAAGTATCCTATTGCTCACATAAGTCTGTAAGTAAAACTTTCAATGTTTGCCAGTTTACAAAATATTTCATACTAAGAGGCTGTAAACCAATCAATACACCCTCATTCTAAGAATAGCAACATGCTTTGTGCAAATGACCGGCCATGATGCTTTTTTAGTTCAGTTGTTTTTAAGTACCAAAGTCAATTTCAATCCAGGGGTATTAATTCATCGTATTTGCTGAGGATATGTTTTATATATTTTTAGGTGTTCCACATTTAGAGTATATCTAATTATAATCAGTGACTGTTTATTATAGCACTATAGATTATGGATAAGGTGTTTTGATTTTATGCTTAGTATCTGGAAATAAAAAATTGAAGTTCAAAATTCTTGCATTATTGTCCTTGTCATGATCACTAGGCATAAATTGTACCCTGTACTATCAAACATATTCATCTCACACTGATGATTGAAAAGGTACATTGCTTTAAGTTTCCTATTTCCTGTACCTGCATTTCCTATGCAATTTGATATGGATAAGATATATGTCTGGAAGTCCATTAGGAAGAGTTATCAATATTGTGATTTAAAAGTGCAGGATGCAAACATATCCAAGTCAAAACATGAAGTTTAATATTTAAATTGATTTCACAAATTCAAATGAATGTCTCTCAAATTTCGATCTCGATTATTATACTTTTATTTTATTTAAATTTGTCTGTTATTAAGTATATTTAGTTTATTATTTTGTTCGTTGTATTCGATAATTATGCTCATTGCAGCAGTCATGGTGGTCGTTGCCTATCCTGAATTAATTGAAGCTTGACCAAAAATTGCTTATTTTTCTGTAAAGTTAGATAAATAATGTCTTGTTCTGAATATAATTTTAATTTCTTGCAGGTTTTTCCAGCTGCTGATGGATCAATGCCTGAAAATCTTCAATATTTGAGACGATTATCTTTAGATGGGGAGTGGGATAATGTGTTGTTTTATCTAGAACCTTTCACAGAACTAGGTAGATTGTTGGATAGGTCTTTTCACTTTTTTTTGCAAATCATGTTTTGTCTTCCGTGTACACAAATTGATGCTAAATCGGGATTTCTGTATTGAAATTTGGTCGATATCAATTTACCTAGTATACTTTTATATTACGATATGAAATTATTCCAATGTGCCAGTTTATTACTGCATTACTTATCTAAATGCTAGAATATTTCTGGACATCTTCAAGCTTGTTTCGCAGACAGACATAATATACCCTAATTTAGATTTGAGTATATTCTGTTCTATTTTGTTTATTTTCAGGTGAATTCAGCACTGATACTCTCAATTATCTAGTACTGAGACAGAAATATATTGAAATTTTGCATGGAATGTCAGCAAATAAAACATGTTCTGCAAAAGAGAAAGAAAACCTAATTGTATGTTATTTAGTTTCATTATCAGTTATCATACATTATTTCTTGCTTATGTAATCTGTACATGAAAGTATGGTAATATATAATGCTTTTTGATTGAGCTGCAATTGCTGGTCTACTACACTACATCAACCATCAAGTTTTTGTCATTTGACTCATTGCATGATATTCAATGTTAATTAAATGAGTGATATACATTCATATATTATGAATAACAAGCAGTTTGCATTTGACTTCTAAAAATAGCTTTGGTTTTCTATTTGACAATATGTTGATTTCTTATAATAGGCTTGTTTGCTGTTATGCTGTAACATTCCCAATCCCATTCAAGTTTTGTATACAGTACCATCATGCATTCTGTCAATAATATTCTACACTGTAAGTGTTTTAGAGTATATTCTAGCAAAAAGCAATACTGTATATCTTACAAAACCATAAATGATAATTAGTATCAATTCAACGATGCATTCATCTGGCATATGTGTACGGAAATGTATTATTTTATAACAGTAGAAAATGGTGGTACTTGGGATGTATTTTTAGCAGTGATGTAGGGAATTGGCGTCCGAATCATATTTTCAAGTTTAATATTGAGTAAGAATTTCAGACTTTTTTTGTGATAATTCTCACAAAATCAAAATTTTGACTAAGTGTTTCTAACAGTCTATCGATTAAATAGGGTTTCCACGCACCAGAGAATTTATAATCCAATTTTATTTTCATGAGAGAAGCTGGAAGTCTGAGACATAATTTTGATTCCGTCTCGATTGTAATTTTATTTCATTCACTGCACATCCAAGATTTTCCGTCACCATTTGATGCGTTACAGTTTTATTTGTTCATAATTTTAGAAAATACTCAAAGAGATTCAACCATATTGCACTGCAGAAGAACTCAACCAATTGAAGGTAAAATTTTATTTAGGATAAAGAAGATTACCTCATTAAAAAGTTTCTGTTCTATTTGTTATCAGTTTGTTTATGACGTTTTCACAAATGGGTTATGCTATAGTCGGTCTGTACACATTAAGCTTTTAAATTGGGTGGCAGTTCAATTTTTAAAATTTTCATGCATGTATTCTCAGTTGCCTCAGGCAGATAGGAAAATGATTTGAATAATTTTGATTTTGCTGTTTTCTTGACAAAAGGTGCACCAGAACAAATTTGTCTGTCATATATTTGTAAATATAATATGGATCATTTCACATGATAATGTCAATATCGCTCAATTTTGTTCATACTCCGCATTTTTGTAGAGAAGGATGTGCAGTACAGTTTTTAGTACATTTCATGTTATTGATGTCATTACCAGTAATCACTATCCACATTACACTTAAAGCCACAATGAAGATGTGTGTTAAAACAATATGAGTAAAATTTATCATATTGAAGAGATTCACTATTTGTAAGTAATATTGAAAATGGTTCTCATATTTGTATAATTGATCAAATTTCAGTCACCATATTATGACATTATGTTATCAGTTATTAAAAAGACAAATCTGTTCAAATGTTGTTCTTGTGAATCTACATTTAACGAATTTTCTATTATGCAAATTCTTTATTCATCCAGTCAATTTTTCTACTTTATCACAGGCACTGGACAAGTCTTTATTTAACGAAAGTGGAAGTATATCTGCATCTAGATTTCGATGCTTTAAAAATATCCTGGATGTTTTATCACCAATTTTTGATTCCTATGGGCCCGGTGCAATGGGCGGTGAAGTCGGGGGCCAGTGGGTTCATCAGAAATCTTCGCAATCAGATTTTACAAGGTATCTAATAAATTACATGGATGCCGTGTTTACCAAGCTTTTAAAAGCATGACTTTGGAAATTTTTTTCCTAAAATGGTCTATACCTTATGGTCAATGCACGCTACAGAAACATTGCATCAATAATCTTGTATTATTCTGTATGCTAATGTACATAAGAAGAAATCCCACATATTTCTGTAAATAGCATTTTTCATTAAATTCTAATCAAAACAGTTTTGAGTTCAGTTATATTAAGCATTACTATAGAATAGAGATACTAAGATACATCTTCTAATCAACATCTCTCATTATAAGTATGAATCAGCACAAATAACTTTTATTTAAGATTTAATATGGTTTATTTAACCAAGTGAACTATATTATTCACATTGACTCATGATATACGAAACTTTATATGATTGACTGTATAAAAATAATCGGACCTTGTAATGTGAATGATGTCAATATTAAGACATCCGACTCTAATTCATTTGCCATGTTATAAGTTATTGAGAAGCTTTTATTTCTTTACTTCTATTCCTTATTCATAATTCCTCAATTGGTCGAAACAATTTGTCAATAGGTTCATTTCTATCGTCTGATTAGGTAATTTTCTAAATTTTTTTATATTTTCTAAAATGATAATTTTTTCATAGGTTGGAATCTGTAATGTCAGACGCAATGTTATTGAATGAGTGTTGTAAATATTGCAGACACAGAGCTCTATCTGACAAGAATGAACAGTATGACGGAGGTACGTTAACTGTTAACTGTTGTGTTACATAAGTTACAACTTACAACTGCACGAAACATCTACAATGCTTACGAAATTTGTAGTTATATCCTGCATAGACTTATTCTTATGGCATAGAATGAGCTAGCGAATTTTGTTCACCTATGCATCATTCCTCAAATCAGTTCAGTCACTTTATTTTAAGGTGTTTCCCAGATTAGGATGTTTATTCAGGTCCCTAAATTCGTTCTATAATCAGATTCGTGATCTCCATGTTTTTTCATTATTTTCTCTTGTTTTTTTGCTATATAAATGACCTTTACTGTAATAATCTACCTTTGATGCTACACATGAATAGCCATTAAAGTTTCTCAATACCATTTGTCAATTCTGTTTTTCTTAGGAGATCAATCACTCACTTCACACAGTTCAGGCAAGATAGATTATGACGTTAATAGTAATGCTGGACTTATGTTTTGGATAAAATCATTGCGTCATAATGAATTATTTCGACAAAAATATGAAATCAACGATATACAGGTATGTATTTTATAGTATGATTGGAAAATTCAGAATAACTTTCGATTGTGTACTGTGTAGTGTTCATCACCAATGCACTGCACTGCTGTTGCTAATACCCTGGTGCATCTTGTCTATCATTGTAATTACTAATTAGTGCTGTTAATTCGGAGAAAAATTTACTTTCAACTCAAACTTCAAACTTTGTGTCATTCAAAAAACAACTCTAGATTTCTGATTGACAAAAATGTTGATTCCAGCTCTTTGACTTTATGATGAAGGAATTTTGGCCCCCAGAAAACTGATTTGTGACAATAAAAATAACTGTGTATGCAAGCCAACTGTCCAGAATGCTTGCGCAACTAAATGCTCTTTTAGTTACTGTCTAAAATTTTGACTTCATTTGCTCCATCGGAAGTCTGAAATTCAAACTACTGACTTTGATGCTACTAAAACCAGGTCAATCAAAATCTCACTGCGACTCCACTGTAATAATGCAATGTTAAATGGGATTGAACCATGTACCAATTGCTTTTATAGATAATATATTTCGTAAGACTAAGAGTCTTCATAAGAACATATAGATGGAGCTATAAACTCATAAGCTCAAAATCCATTTATTACTGCTGTTGATTAATGATATTTAAATCGTCTTCTATTTGATTTATCAAATATTATTTTTTAAAACCAGTTTGGCTTTGTATTGCATACACTAGGTAGGTTGGTGAGCTATCTTAATAATACCTCTTATCCTGCCCGAAGAATTTTTGTGTGTTTTTTTCTTTGAAATATTTTCTTACCTGTTATTCATGTTATCTTGCTTTTTAACTTATTGGATTGCTTTTGCATTCAATTCTCAATTCTTCTTGGACTTTGTAATGACTCCAGCACCACCTCAGCTCCACCTCATTCTATTTTTGAAGGTGAACTAAACAATGTCCTTGGTTACCGGCACCGTACTCTGTGCGGCCATATCTTTGAAATGTCGTTCCCATGGTTACATTACTTACTGTGCTCGGAGTCTGGAGTTGTACGTACGTTTGAATTTTGCTGCCTTTTTTTCCCCATGATATAATGTTTGACTTCTTTCTCTCTTCTGTTTATATTTCTGTTAGACTAATTCACGGGTGTCACTGCTCGTTAACCAGTTTTTCGCGATTTCTTTCGCCCTGAAATGCCGCATTCAAATTCCTTTTTTATATTTATTTGCATGAAGTGTTTTTTTCTGTTTGGTGAAAATATAAATTACTGATTACTGATAAAAATACCAGTCTTCTCAATGAAGTCTGTGAATACTTATTCTGAACCTTGTTTAGAGCAGACGTGACAGAGGCTTTTGAAATTTGAATATCGTATCAATTGTTCATTTATTATCTGAGGTTTTCAAATTGAGTCACTTACTAATGTATCATATCAATGCCATGCATGCTAGGTATCAAACTGTATGAGGGTGCTATACTTTGTATGCCTAATGTAATTAAATCCTTTGATATTTTAGTCATAAAATTAGTAATTCCAGAAAATTCACAAAGCTCTGCTTAAAAACAAACCATACATTTTCTTATTTGAATTGTTATTATGCATTCATGCATAAACATCATAATACAAAATTGATAACAAAAAAATATGTATCCTATTTTAGTTGAAGATTGAACCGATTCGAAGACCAAAATCTTCACCAAGTAAAATATCAGAATCACCGAAAAAATTTTCATCTTTTGCCTCACCAAAGAAACAATCTGAAACAAGGTAAATAGCTGTAATAAAGAACATGAGACTGAACCAAGAAGTATATATCTGATGACTGTTTTTTTTTTTTTTTAATTATCTCGGTTTTTAAAAGTGTAATGCTTTTGAATAGTCATTAAAAATGGGGTTCGAGACAATGCATTAATCACTATGCCATCCTCAATCTCGAGAAAGCATAATATTTCATTTTGGTAAAAATTGTTGATACATTATCTTTATCGTGTTACCTGATATTGTTTGGTACCATGTAAGTTAATTATTCTATTGCATAAAATAAAATATTTTGCTCCATTAGTTATCAGAATATATGACATAAAATATCTTTTGTTGAGTAGATGCTTTGTTATAAGCCAGAAGAGTTTGTTTTCAAAGCATGGCCAATTCTATCGACGATATGATAGTACTATCATGTCATGTTTATTCATGGCTCCTGTATGACATCCATTTCCAGAAAAAAAATTCATGTAAATATTATATTAATCTGTATTTGTTTGTCAGATATACGAGTCCATCAGTTTCACGAAGCGCACATTTGCATTCATCAGAGAGACCCCAAGCAAATCAAAATCGCCTTGCTTCGTCTGTACCTCCTCAACATAAAGTATCGCGGAGTTTTTCGAATAATAATAATAACAGCAATAATAGCTGGGTAAATCCAGGTATGTAATGTTCAAGTTATTCAATTTCTATAGATATTATATAAATTTACTTACAACAATTTTGTTTTTAAATTCAGTTTTCTTGAATTTTTTGCTGCCATACTGAGAATTCCTATTTTGAATTTTTTTTATTTATTATATCCTTATTCCTTGTTGACAAAATGAATTAATTGATGACAAGTGTCTCTTCAAATATCTCTTGAATTGTGTTTCAAAAATAGGCTCTTAAACTTCATTTATGACTATTTGAAAGCATATGCTTACGGGCAATTTCACATGGTAACTCTAAAGTGGCATTCTGAGCAATTTTTCATTTATTCCAGCAGGAATATAAAAAATGAAATAAAAAAATTAATTTTAGTAATCTGTGTTTAGTAGATGATTAAGTTCAATAAATGTTCAAAATTGCTTAGCTCTGTGTATGGCGTATTTACTGATAACATGTAACCACTGTTTATTTTTCTCCCTAACGTTTTGCTTTTAATATTGCATATTTGATAATCCGACATGAAATACTATTTGTTGCTATTTCTCAGAAAACCAAGAAATACATCCACAGAATGAAGATGTTGAAATAAAAACAGAGGAGACAGATACTATAGATCCCAGAAGGTCTCACCCAGTCATAGCATTTTCAGAAAATATACAAAATGAAGTTTTGGAAAACGGTTCAGAACAAATTACAACGCAGCATGTACCAGTATCATCAGTTGAGCATGAAGAGACACAAGAGAACAAATTACAACAGCCTTCTCAAGTTGCAGCAAATGTATCTGAGAAACCTTTGAGAGATTCATCGAATTTACCTATTGCAGCACCTGTGCAACATGTCAACGGACAATTGAAGGTTAATTGGAATTATTGCATCAATAGATATTGACAATGATATTTTTGTTTGTCGCATTTGTTTGCACATAGCTTTGCACAGTTTGCAATTTCCCAAATTAGTAATGTTTTCTAGATTTATTCTTTAAAATTGATTTAAAACTCGGGTAATCTGAATGGTTTTATTTTAACTATAAAATTGAACATATATTTTAGTTTTACCAAAATCGTAGATTATTTTTACACAGCATTTTCATGTCTTCACTCATAACAGGTCTCTTTAATATTACCTAGCCACTTGATAGTGGCAATCATAATTTCATTTTAAATAAATTCTCCATGCATCCATACATGCAAAGAATTTGGTGTAACTAATTTATGAATAACAAATGCATTTTGTTTAGGTGGATGAATCGTATGATAAATTTTTGTCAGAAAAGAAAAAGCAAAAAGTGGAACATCAAAAATTTTTGGAACAATTGAAAGAAAAAGAGAAAAAGAACGACGAGATTCGACAAATACTTTTGCAACAACAAGCTGATAATTCAAGTATGTTCGGATATTATATTTCGTTACTAAAAAAGTCACTGAGAAATTGTAGTGTGAAATTATTCAGATTCTGTTGTACGAAGAAGTTTTTAGACATCCCTGACTCCCATTGATCTAAGTATCACAGTTAAAGAACACAATTTTAAGAAGTTTTGTTGATTGAATTTAGGACTTAAAAGACATTGGGTCCATTCCAGGTCTGTACCAGCAGCCCAGCATGTGTAGCGATTCATAGATATCCTGTTCATCCTCTCTTAATATTATACAGTTTAAGCATACTGCTTTTTATTGCCAGAAAAAGCCACAATGGAAGAACCACAACATCATACTGTAAAACCCACTCAACCAATTCCAAGATCACTAAAGCAGAAATCATTAGATTCTTCGCTCTTACATACAGGTTAGATAGAATCTCATAATTTCCATGTTTTGAACGTTCTTTTTGTGTCCATGTTATATTTTTTTACGGATTTTTGTTAGGTAATTTATTGCTATATCAGATTTTATTAAAATTGCAATCTTTGATTTTCCTGATTTCAGGATTTAATGTTTGTCAAAATGTTTCTCACCTAATGAGAATGTACTCTGATAAAAATAACACATGCTCACTCAAAAGCAAAAAACTCATGCCATGAGTGACAAATAAAATCAATATAACTGAGCTAATGATCTGCTGACAAGCAGAAATTTTCAGCCACTATTTAGCAAACTTAGTCGTCGTATTTTGTTTTTGTGCTTGTGAACAAGCATATCTGGGACTTGTACTTACTTATCCATTAGAAAGAAATTAACTTGGCCTCATTCATAGAGGGATGTTGCGCTATCACCATTTAAACAATGGGTTTGATTTTTAGAGCAGAAACACATGATGTATAATTATTGAATTCACCTATGAAATGCTTTTATTTTCAGTCTCTTTGCTTTTTTTAATATTTCATTCTGGCATCGTGTTTTTATCTACCCAATTCAATTAAGGCTAAGCATTTTATATTTTTATTCATTTCAGATTTGCCGAAGACTCCACCTCCGAAAAAAATCTCATTTGTTCCAATCGAATATACTGAAGATGTTCAAGCAATAAGAGCTGTTGAATTTCATCCGAGTGGTCAAGTTTATGCAGTCGGTTCAAATAGTAAAACTTTAAGAATATGTAATGTTCCAAGAGATTTGGTTTTAAATTACGGGTATGTGATTTTTTGGCTATTTTTTTAATTGTGTTCAAAATTATCTGAATGAAGACACTTATGTTTACAACAGAGCATAATAAGAATATCTGATATGGCTTTTGTTATTTTATTTATTTTTTCTCCTCCAACAGTCCTCTAAAATAACAAATTTCTATATATTATCTTCATAAACATTTTTCGGTACTTATGTAGTATGTGAACCAAGATACTCATGTAGTATGTGAACTAAGATGGCGGACACTGGAACGTAGTATATGTACCAGGTTAGGGTTAGGCTATAATTTCAGGTACAAAAACCACAGGAGTCACTTGACTAGTCCCCGAACTTGTAATAAAACTAAAATAAGGAAAATTAGAACAAAATTATGTCTTAACCCTAACCAGGTACACATACTATGTTCTGGTGTCTGCCATCTTGGTTCACATACTACGGGAGGGCCCATTTTTCAATCCAAAGCAGGATCTATATTAGCAACCACTGTTACTTTTGCATAAGCTACTATTTTCAGGCAGGAATCTTCCTAGTTTGGTATTTATTTCCTACCCAAATTACCACATGCTGGGTGAGGTAACAGGTATAGCGTTTAGAACTCCCAATGTTATAACTACTAGGCCATCGCTACAACACTATTATGTTGAAAGTGATTATTGGGTACTCCCGAAGTATGTGCAACAAGATGGCGGACACCGTAACATAACATAGTATGTGTATCAGGTTAGGGTTAGGCCGTAATTTCAGGTACAAATACTACAGGAGTCACTTGGCTAGTCCCCGAACTCGTAAACGAACTAAATTAAATTTAAAATATGTTATAAAATCTACTTTGGTTTTTGTATTCATATATTGTTTTACTTCTTATCAAGCTCTTCGCCGAGAAGTTTGAAGAAACTGGAAGATATAAAAAGTCGCACACCAAGGTCTTCTGATGTTCTTGTTAAAAAATCTGAATACCATCGAGGTTCAATATATTGCATGGGATGGAATGGTAACAATTATTATAGTTATGCAATTGGTAACGAAGTTCAGGGGCCAACTTACTTGACTGTTGCACTCAAACTGATAGTTGTATTGGACTTCTGAGCAGCTCAGATGTTCAAACTAGTTTTGTTACTTCAGAGACAAATTATATTTACTATATCTATAAGAACAGTTCCCCATCTGCATAGCTAGAATTGAATTTCAAATTGTGAAGAAGCATAATAGTCTGCAACATTTTTATAGATATTTGAAAAGATAGGTTTGTTAGTATTTTAATTATTGTTTTTCATTGCAGCTGAAGGATCGTTGCTGGCTACAGGTTCAAATGATAAATTGATCAAAACTCTTGGATTTGATATATTGGGAAAAACTTTAGATGGTATGCATTAGTTCTAGATTTGCTGTATAATTTGTTTTAATTTGTTTGACTTTAAATAGCATTGCATTATGTTTATACTGTTTGAAATAATATACCAGTTTATTAGCGCAAATCACAAAAGTCATTGCTTTCTCGTGGCTTTTCAAGACGATGTTTTTTAAATGCTTTTATTATTTTTTACTATACATTTACTACACAGAAACACCTCGAGAAATGGCATTTCATCGAGGTATTGTAAGAGAACTTGAATTTTTACGAGACAGTAATAATATATTGGCAAGTGCTGGGGCCGATGCGATGGTCTTTATTATTGATTGCAATCACAAGAAACAGATTCACAGTTTGGCTGGTCACACAGGTAAGTAGAGCTATTTCATTTTGAGTAGGAATTTATGAGACTACCATTTGTCTAGGCATGGAAATTAGATATTGAGATTATTTATTTACGAGTTTGCACTGAATACTTTGTTTGCGGTTCATTCATTATTATTTAGAATTATTTTTCATTGGCAAAATATTCTTTACTGTCCTATTGAATTAATTAACTGTTTTCGATTGTTACCCGTTCAATAAACTATGATTGTTTGGCTAAATTGTTTTGTTTCTGAATACATAATTTTCTTTGCAGCTGATCCCAAGTTTCTAGTATTCAAAATGTTTGATACTTCTAGAGGGCTGGTAATTCATTCATAGTCATGTGGGACTCGATATTTACTCCCAAGATTTTTGGGTTTTATTTCAATATATTGGGACACTTTTTATGAAAAATTGGAACACTTTATTTTGTCACGCTTGTCTGCTTCCATCATGCTTGTCCACTTTGTGATAGATGTCGGCCGATCTTTTATCCGACACTGGGCTCGGCTAGATAGCTAAATAGCTAAACTGGTACTCCTGTAGTATGCGAACCAAGATGGCGAGCACTGGAACGTAGTATGTGTACCAGAAACACTAATAATTTTTATGAATAGTTTGTGTTAGTAAGTTTTTATTTTGTTGGATCTCTGCTCTAACAGACTCTTATTATTGTCTGTCTGTGTGTCCGTCCAACTGTAGCGTCAGAACGACTGGACCGACCTGGATTAAATTTTTCATGTTGGTTATCCTGCCGTCCTAATGTGCGTTTCATCCCAAGTGTGAATTGATGCCTTGTTTCCATGGCAGCAGCGAAAAACGTGTTGATCTTTGGGAAATTTTCAATTAACTCACTATTTGTCGCCATTTTCTCGTCAACGCCACAGTGCAAAATGTTCTTTCAAACGAGTCGTCTTTAATCTCGATAATCCAAAACTGGGAAAGCCTTAGGAATTTAGTGAACATGTTTCAATTATTAGCCACAGAATACCACTGAAAAGGAACTGTCAGTTTGGAGTTGTGCATTCATTTCCATGGTACTCCAATACTCCATTACCTGTTAGCAACTCTAAAATGGCGCACACCTGAACTACAGGCAGATATCCATACTAGGCACCAACTAACTTTTTTGTTTACTTTTTTGTAGTTGTTTTGTATATTTATACTATGACAAACAGCCTAGATAAAATATTTTTTATTTTATGTTGAGTGTATGCCCCTGGCTAGTTGATTGGCTTAGTTCTCTCAATTCCTAATTTTTCAACAACATTAAATTTTTCAGATAATGTGCTTTCTCTGTGTTCTTGGGATCAAGGAAAATTAGCTACGGCTTCCCAAGATAAAACTATTAGATTGTGGGATGTCAGAAGTCCGAGGCATGTACTCGTATATCTTCTTAATACAGATCAGTTTGAATTGTTGTAGTTTAATAAATGAAAGTGATGTTTTCGCTCAGAGATATACGATTTTTAATTGGTCCTTGTGATTGTGTTCACAATTGAATCATTACTACTTACTAGCTTTTGAAGTAAGAGATGGTAATGTCTGCAAATCACCAGGTGATTTGTATATCACACTTCTGCGCTGGGTAATTTTCAGCTCAATACTGTATTTAGCAGACTTTTTTATTTGGTGTTCTCACAATGTCTCTACCAAAAATCCGGAACTGTTTAAAATATTGTTTAATGTTTCCAATATGAAATTAGCCATTTTCAATCTATTTTATTTCTAGTTGTGTTTCGATTTTCGATACCAGTCAAAAGGAATCTTGTTTTCCAACAAGCGTTTGTGTTGATAACAGTGGAAGATGGGTAGCTGTTGGTTTGACCAATTCTAAAGTTGGACTGTATGATCGAACTGCAGGAAAAATGGCTATTGTACATATTTACTACTTTCATATTCTCTAATACTAATTTTATTATAAGAAATTTATTTAGTTTAATTAATTAACAAAAAAACAAGAAGCAAATAACTGGAGTGTTCGTAAATGTATGAATTCCAAATTTCAGATGATCTGGTATTCAGTTTGTTTATTTACCTAAAGATATTTCTAATTTAGTAGGTTCACCAATTTCTAAACTTAGTACCATAAGGTTGAAGGGTTGTCTGTACCAGGCCTCAACTAGTTATTAAAGAACCAGTAAAATATTTCGTGACTTTTTGTAATTGGCCTAGGTCATGATTCCCACCTATATTTCCTTCCACTAAATACAATTCACATTTTACGATTAGATTTATTTGTTGTTTTCACGAAGAAGATTAAATCCCTTTTTGTATGGATGAAACAATTATATTATGACTGACTTTTCTTCTATTTTGTAGGAATACAAATGCCATAATGATGAAGTAAGATGCGTAAGATTCAATCCTGTCTTTGAAAATCAATTATTGTCATCTTCTTATGATGAAAATGTTGTTTTAACAAATGTTGATCAGATGATGTCTGAAAGTAAGTCTTTTTCATATGAGTAGAAGTAAAAAAATTAAATACACAAACACATAATTGCTAATTTGGTCGAACACAGAACAATGGGAAAATAAATTTATGTTACGCAATCCATTTGTTTCCACCAATATATTATACCCGAGAAATAGAAAGTATTTAAATGTTATCATGGTATTCAGGATAAATTTATATTATTGAACTACCCACAAATTATCTACTAAATTTATTTCTCAGGTATAATTTTAGTTGTTAAATCAAGTTCGAATCAACAAACTTCGTCACAATAATTCTTGAATAGGTTAAGAATTTTTGCAGCAGGCTGTTGATACATATAGTACATGTTTCACCAAGTATATCTTCGAATGGAAATGTCGAAACTGTCACATAGTTTAGATACATGGTATACCTAACAGAAAATAACAAGCCTATCATGTCCTTGGCTACTTTTTCAGCATGTAATATGCATGTACTAAGAATAGAATACATACAAGTCAAAAATTATAATTTATGATCGATGAATATAAATACATTGAACAATGAACATCCTTACACTTCAAATGATTTGATTATGTCATGTAAATTGATGGGTACTCCCAAAGTATGTGAACCATGAGGCCGGACACTGGAACGTCATGTGTACCGGGTTAAGGTTAGGCCATAATTTCAGGTACAAATACTACGGGAGGCACTTGGCTAGTCTCCGAACTTGTAATAGAACTAAAATAAGGAAAATTGGGATAAAATTATGGCCTAACCCTAACCTGGTACACATACTGTCTGCCATCTTGGTTCACATACTTCGGGAGTACCAATTAATGAATTTGCAGTATTATGAATAATTTACAAATGTATCAACTCCAAGAGTGCCTTGTAAAACAATACTAAAATAAAATTTTCTTGCTTGACTTTAAGTGATTTTTTTATAGGATTTTCCATAATGAAGCAAATTTAATTTTATTACTTTCATTTCAGTGGATCCAAGTTACTCTCAAGAGCGACATTGGTCCGTCGTTGCAAAATGCAAGAACAAAATCATCCAATGCAAATGGCATCCAAATGGTGAAGCATTTGCCACAACATCGGTCGATAAAACTTGCAGATTGTGGCTGAAAGTGATCAATTGATTAAAAATTGTCTATTCTTACTTCATAGCAAGGATGGGGCGTCCTGTATGATGATACTTGAAATATATCCCATTTTCAAAATTTATGTACAAGCCAAATGTCAAAAATTGTTTATAACTGTACCATTGAGATGACTCTTGCATTAATAAATCTTCAGCAATTTATAAATGTTGTACTTTATCACCTGTTTAACTATCATACATTTTTCAAATGTTTCACAAATTTTCTCCGAACAATACTCTACACCAGCTGATTTACACACATATGCATACATTCATTAATGTGGCTCCTTAGATTTCCATCTCAGAATGCTAGCATGGGGCGGAAGTTTCTGAGTTAATGAATGGTCTACCATACCGAGTAAGTTTCCCACTCCATCTTTGAAGCAAGATAACACAATCATCATGGTATTAGAGTGGCTTATAAATATGACTTGTTGTTAAGCATGCTTTGCATGATCACATCAAAACAATTTTGCTGTTAAGTATTGAGATTATATTGTATTTTGCTAAAACTTTACGATAGATTTTTGTGAGTGTATCAGAGTTTAAGCCAATCAGTAGTTACTTTGTTGAGCATATACTTTACATTTATGATAACGTAGCGCTTCACCTCTCCAAATACAATTTTCAATGACTGGTATATTTTTATGCTGTTAAAATTCTATTTGGAATTACTATTGTCTGGATAAATGTCATACAACCTTCCAGTAAAATTATAGTTTGAATTAATGCTATATTGCTCTTGAGTATTCAAGGCATTTTGTTAATCTTATTATTACTAAGTGGGTTGTATTGTTGAAACAACATGGAGCAGTAGATTGTGAACAAAAATTCATTGTTGAAAATTTGTTCACTTTTTGATATACCCTTTACAGCAGGGGTCGGCAACCTTTTGTCGCTCGCGGGCCAAAATCGAGGGTTGCAAGTCATTGGCGGGCCGCACCCATATTTTTAGAAAGTTGAAAACCGAACGGATGATACGTTTTATAATGAAAATTAAGCAGTGATACATCTCTAGAATAGAACATATGGTCATTGAATATCATCGGCGACTTTGAACCCTTTTCACAACTTTTCTGCGTTTTTTTTTCAATTGTTTAATTGTAGTTAAATTATAGGCTCATTAAACGAGTAATTGTGAATTTTATACCTATTAGATTATAATTTAATTTAGTCTATACGTGTCTCACAATAAATTCTGTTAAAGAATATGTTCGTCAAAACAGCTGTTTTGTTACTATAATTCAGTGAAGCGTCGCGGGCCGGATTAAATCACTCCGGATCCGGCCCGCGGGCCGTAGGTTGCCGACCCCCGCTTTACAGCATGGAAGATCTCCAAGAATGCAAAATATTGGTGTTCGTTCATGCCTTCATACTATTTTGACTTTTTTTTGTGTACTGTATATTTGATATTGCCTTGCACTGTGTTTTATACTCATTCCATGTTTTGTATCTGTACCTGAACTGTATGATATATTTATTGGTGGTAATTCAGGTGCTCCGTCTAATCTGTTGGTAATTGCATTATTTATTTGTTGACTTTTCAAAATAGAAAAATCTTACCCTTCATATACCCCTCATATGAATGTTCCAACAAGATGTTCCAAGTATTTTTTTACCTTTATTTTTTATTAGTAGATTTCATATAATATTGTGGTTGATTTTTTTCAAGAACGTTTTCAGAGCATTTATTCGAGAACATGTGGTTGTATTGTTCTTGATTATTAGAAAAATACTTCTTGGATGACAAAAATCTAAATATAATGTGAACCAAACATCTGATGTTTAATGGATTCGGCGCCGAACGACACTAACTGTTACTTTAGCATTGTCGCCAAGGATAGCTTGTTCACCTTTACCGCATTGTACTGTATAATTTATATTTGCAGAATGTTGCATTGTTTGTCTTAGATGCAACTCATTAAGGAATGTACACATACTTGCGTGACTCATTAACCTAATGTCTGCGTTTCGCAATCGGGTGTAAGACAGCATGTTTGTTAGTGAGTCATGTTAAGTTAATCGTATAATTATATAGGAAACGTTAAATTTGCGGTTGTGGTACAATTATATAGATTTTATGTAGTTTTTTCATATAAACTTCGTAATATTAATATGAATGAGTAAAATAAATGTTTAATTATTATGATTTGTTCGTTTGTAGATTTTTTTGAAAGACAGAGCCTTTGTGGGTTTGATGTATTATATAATATTGAATCGTGTCGTCAGTTATGAAGGATCTAAATCGACTTCTCTCTTGGATATTTTCCGATGTTGTTTACTTTTGACAAAAAATTGCCGAGTCTTGAATACATTATCAAACTGTATTGTTGCGAGAGATAACATAGTTTCAATCCACAATTCTTTGCATCTAATCGGTTAGGAAGATCGACTGTTCTTAAAAAGAACTGTGTCAAGATATGCATTTAGATATATACATACATAACGAATGAATGCAAAGAACGTTTTGCCATCGTGGCTGTTTCTGCGTCAAGCGTTTCTCATAAGGCATTGGTCTGGTCTAATCTAAATTATGTTTACAAAATTGACTGCGGATTGCCCCTCTAACCTGTCCATGCCCTCACGTCGCCGTATAATTATGAAGTTTGCTCTCAAACAATATTTACAAAACGAAAAAAGCCTGGCACGACTAGCCACCACCAAGTAGTGTTTGTCACCCCCTCACCAATATCTGACAGAGTAACATTCTTGTAATTAGAGGTTTTTAATGAGGAGTATATGCGGTAGTTGAGGGATTTAAACAAAGATTGTTTGAGATCTCTGGACAATGGAGATCCTTCTACAGTCGGATTGTAAATATACAAAGTAAAATGCGTAAAGCGAACCAGCGATGTTTTAAAGAGGTTATGGATAATGTGTGACTGGGGAAGTAAACCTGATCTTTTTTAATCTTTGCTTCCGAGAAATCGCGCTCAGGTTGTGAGGCATGAATTCATTTTTTTACCAGTACAAACTCTACGACACTCATGGCGAGTTGTTATCTTACCCCCATCCCTCACCCTGCTTATCATTCAATATGTTTCCGATGTCTGAAAACGACAATTAAAAGCAGGTTACATTTTTAAGGGCTATTGCACAGCCTTTTTGGCGTAATGACGATGATAAGCACATCTGTGAAAACTCTTTAGCCACTATTATACGACTGATTAACCTGTGTGAGTATACATGTTAGAATTTTGGGGGTAAGGATCGCTGTTGGAGAGCACACTGTAGCGTGCCAACCTGGGCACCAAGATCGTGGGCAGCCCACAATTTGGAGGAGGGCCATTTTTGTTGTTTTTTGACGTAATACGACGATTACTTATCTTTTGCTCCGAAAAAGGCTGGATAAAAGCAGGTAACAATATGTCTCTACCAGCCTACAGACTTACTTCGTGGTCAAATATTATCCACATTATATAAGCGCGGATTTTCATCAAATATCGGTTGGTTCATTTGGAGAAAGGATTATTAATAGTAAGCCAGGAAATGTCAGGTTTTTAGTACATCGTTCAAGAATAGAGTAAAAGTTGTTAAAACGGCGCAATAATTTATGTATCACTGCAAATGCCGCAAAATTGCCTTAAAAAAATTAAAACAGTGGCTACGCCTATGTCGGTCACCCATGTCCACAAATCCATTCTGACTGGCCAATGACCAAGACAATATTTCAATGGATATCCATCGAAAATGCAATGTTTTACTTTTGTGTTTTACTTAATTGCACAGGACATATTTTGCTTTATTTAAAAAAATATGATAACCAGGTGGAGCTCCTACCTTGCAGTGACACTCTTGGTATTAATTGCAGGTATGGGGAATTATTGATTTCATAATTTAATTATTATCAAAGCTTGCTAGTTTATTACATTGTCTCCTGGCATTTTGAACAGGACTTCAGAAAAGCAAACCATGGTCTATGGTGTTAAATATATAAAGCAAAATAATCAGATAAAAACTACGGTAATTAAAGATATGATGAATAGATTCATTTGAACACCCTTTCATTTAAATTGATCCACCTGATTTTTAAATATGCTTTCTGGTGGAAATTTCACGAACATGCACTATACCAGTATGAAGTATATTAAAAAAGTAATCTATCATGCTATAAATTACGTACTCTCTTTTCTGATTCTAATGTACTTAGGAAATATAATCTATTATAGCAATATAAAAAAAAATTCATCTCAAATAAAAGCCAAACCAAAAGTTTTGGAGGTGTGAGTAAGGGGCAGTTGGAAAATTTTTCGAAGTTCCATATGATACTTTTCTTTTTCTGCCATTATTTTATTCTCACATTTTTCATTGTTGCAGAAGAATGTCAGGCAGATTGTCCTTCTGGCTGGATAACTCATAATAATTTTTGTTATTATGTATCCTCTGGTTTACTCGGATGGAATGATGCTGAATCCTATTGTCAAAAAGAAGGCGCTCATTTAGTCAGCTATGCTGATGGTACGGAACGGGTAAGCAATATGTAAACACATTGAATAAAATAGGTAACAGAATAACTGTATTTGTACTAATCGACAACGGATGAAACTTCAGCTTACTCTCAATTTTTATTTTCTAAGTTTGTACACTTTTATATCTGGACCAGTAAATTTTACACATATGATTTGTAATCTTAGTGATTCTGCAATTGTTTTTGCTGTAGTCCTGATAATCATTGAAAAGAACAAATAGAGAACGTTTTTGTAAAATTAAAGCTAGGGTGTAGGGATTACTGAAGCTCTATGAAATTTAGTCCAGTAACTAAACCATCCAATTTTCAGTTTATTTATGGTTTTTAAGTGGTTACACCTTCTTGTTTATCTATTTTTTACTCATATGTTGTGAAGACATGAAAATTGAATTTGACAAAATAAATATATATTAAAAAAATCTTTATTCTTAGGATTGGGTTTTCAATAATTTCATATCGGGATCAGGTAATAAGTGGTGGATAGGTCTGAATGATATCAAACAAGAAGGAAACTTTGAATGGACTGATCAATCAGCTCCCAACCCAACAATTTAGTAAGATTAATTAATTTTTTGTAATCTGTGCTATAGACTAGATATATGAAATTGGTGACAATTGATTTAAGCGTGATTACTACTCTTCTAAGAACACAACCCTCTTTGATAGTTTTAAAAGAGCATATTCACTGATGATAGCGATCTATCAATAAAGTTGATTTGAAAAGTTTGATCGGAAACCTCCCAAATCTCTAAGATAGTATGATGATTGAGAATAGCAACACTTATAATAGTCATAGAAGTTATGCTGGCTGGTTTTATATTAATTCCCTCTCATTATACATTTTTACAGCAATTGGAAAGCTGGTGAACCATCATATTTACAAGAAGAAGACTGTGTCGTTGTAAGTGACGAATTGCAGACTTTACCGGGAGGTCCTGATGGTGCGAATTGGGCAGATGCTGATTGTAGCAAGAAAAGGTCAACTTATTTAATTATTTTTAAAGTAAACAAAGAATTAAATGTAGTCTTCTAAATAAAATTCAACACAGCTTTATAAATCATGATGTAGTGCATATGTTATACATTTATGTTGCCTATTTGAGTGAGTGTGTGTGAATTTTGTAACTTTTTGAGATGGGGAGGCACATAGTCCTTTTCTTGGAAATACTTACCTCAGTGAGGGAAAGGTAAAATGAACTCGTGAAGAACTAGAGCCACGATGGTAGTGCAGCTACCTAGATGTTCAAATGTTTTATACTGTTTTTAAAATGCAAACTTTTACCAACATCTACCAACTATGACAAAGACTGGAATAAGATTTTGTATCTGACATGTAAAGGCGAGTCAATTATATGACAGAAAATAATCTGTCTATTTCAGTATCATAGAATCCTAATAATTGTGTTTCAATACAAAAATACATTTAACCCTCATGGACAGCATTGGCTATTGAATTCTGTTGTATGTTTGTAATTATTTATTTGCTTTCAATTCTCAATTCTAGGAAATATGTATGTAAAAGAAGCACAGCTATTGTTGAGGATTGTGATTCCAGCAAAGGATTTGTCAAGTATGGTTCATACTGCTACAGATACATGGACCAAAAAAGAAAATGGCATGATGTAAGTATGATGTTCTCTATTAGTAAAAATGGTATTTAAAAGATATATTTTCTTATGAAAATTAATTAAAGTGAATTAAGTCATTAACTAATAATTTCACTAAGATTTGGAAACACTAAATCTCTACTCGAAACCTATTTACTCATTTTAAACTGGATTATTATGCTAGCTGTATAAAAATCATATTTTGATCCATAAAGCTATTCAAAGTAATCAGTTGAGTTAATTAATGTGTATTGTATATAAAACTGTATATAAGTATACACGTATATAGCCGGGTATCTCTGCATTTTGTTTGTTTGTCCAGTTTTTGTGTTGTTTTGTTTTTATGTCAGAGTATCGAAATAAATGATTGATTGATTGATTGAACTCTTGGACATTGGCCAACTTGAGCATTAATCAACAACTATCAGAATCTATCAAAAATAAATCATGTGGTATTTTTCAATCCGGATTAATTTTGTATGCTTTGATTTGTAATGTTGATAGGTATTTATCTGTTTGTCTGTCTGTCTGTTTGTCTGTTAGCTGCACGCAATATCTCACGAAGGCGTGGTTGAATCTGCTCCAAATTTTGCATGTGCATTCATCATATCTCGGACCAGAAGCCTATTGATTTTGGATGAATTATGTCGTATAATTAGCGAGTTATTAATTAATTAGTGATGGGACACGCGATGTCACTATAGAGTCATGAATCGAAACCGCAAGTCTTCGGTCTCCGACCGATATTCTCGTCTTTTGAAGTTGTCGATTAAGTAATGCTAAATTAAAATAATCATTTGCATATATATATATTATTTTAACAGGCCAATGATGAATGTCGAGACAACTACAATGCAGAACTCACTGCAGTTTTATCAGCAGAAGAACAAATTGCAATAGTGGATTTAATGAAAATTGGAAATGTTGATACATGGATTGGTTTGTCTGATTCAGTAAGTCACAACGCATTGTTGAGGAACAGACAGCTCACTAGAATATTTAGTTCAGGAATATTTAGGATGGTATTGCAACAGTATATCATGACAGTGGAATTTGGAAAATTTGGTGTAAATTTTTCAAAATTAATGTTATTTGAAACTTTAGTATATGGTATACTTTGATCACTCTCCTTATATGCGCAAAAATTCAAAAAACATGACAGATAACTCTTCCTGTGAAAGAGGACACCTTTCCACGAGAAAACATACCTTATAATTGTTTGTATGCATTCATTAAAACTACTTTTTTCTTTCTTTCTAGGTTATACCTGGGACATTGCAATGGAGCAATGGACATGATAATTTTGTACCAGGAAGTTCATATGAAAATTGGGCTACAAATGAGCCAAATCAATTGTGAGTTTTTCAATAATACATAATGATTCCATATTCTACACCAATAAGATGGTATGTAGACGTTTCGACCAACTTTTCCTAATAACGAAATAAGAATTTAATATAGTGGGACAAAACGCCTGATCCGAAATATCTGTGGGCTGAAGCGTCTGTAATCCAACGGGCTATCAATGCCATTATTTATTTGGATGCTTTTTTGAGAATACCCTTTATATTGATATTTCAAAGCTTGGTATAAATCGGTATTTCTGCACAAAGAAAACTTTATGTGAAGCATTTTTGCTCTGATAAGGCTCTAAATGAACTTCCACTAAGGAATAAAAAGCTATCTATCAAATTTGGCATTGCCAATTTAATTATGTCCCAGTTGGGGTGGTGAAAGTTGGAACCCGCTATCTTGAACATGGAATGCCATCATAGTTATGTGCGCAATGCTGATCATTCAGCCATTTAATGGAATTTTTATTTCTTAAAAGATAGATTGCTCTATTCATATAGAAGCAAAAAATATAATTTGAAGACATGGCTCACCACAGCCATTAACTTGATTGCCAGACGCTAATCGATATGGTTAAGCCATTTAATGTTCCTAACCACAAACATAAATGGAAGCATTGCACCTTGTGCTTGCAATACTGTAACTAATCTATTTAGATATGTCTAACAGCATTTGTGTACAATATACAACAGTCATTACTGTATCTAATGCTGATTTTTGATTGGTAGAACATAGAATAGACTTTGCAACATCAGTAATTCACTTTTTTAAGTCAAAGTTTTTTTTTACTTCTTGTTTTATAATTTTGCAGATATCAAGGAAGCACATGCATTGTATCAACAATAGTTAACAATGGTCAGTGGAAAGTTGCTATGTGTGGTAACACAAAGCCATTTATTTGTAGAAAGGGCTTAAAAGGTAAGATGTTAATTCTCAAATTTTTCAAAAAGTATATTCTACCTCATTATGAACGGAATTATTATATTTAATTAGGTTTTGAAATATTTAGGACAGAGAAAAACAGCGCAACATGACAGCAAAATATTTTACATTCTTTTTTCTAAGCATTTGCAATCAGCCAATTTAGGTAAATGAGTAACATAATAAATAGCATATGCAAATACATTCTCATCATATGCTCGTATAGATCTTATATTTCTTTTATCATTTATTGCCTAACTTTTTTAGGTACCATAAGTACCGGTAATTATATATAACCTCCTTCATCTATTTTTCTTGTTTTTGTATGTTTTTTCTATTATTTTTGAATAATAAATTTTATTGTCAGCGGTCTGTCCCGATGGATGGGCTTATGGATATGGAAAGTGTTATGAAATTGTGCTAAATCCGAACTTCTTTTTAACTTGGACTGAAGCGAACAGTTATTGCAAAGCAAAGAATGCAAGATTGCTTGAGATTCAAACGTATGCTATGTTTTGCAATGGCTTTTTTATAACCAATTAACTGGAAATTTGTTGAGTGATCAATATTGATTGACCAGAATTTTTTTACAAGTCGAGATTGAACAGTTTGTAAGTCTTAGGAACAATTGCCATTGTAGGCTTGAAATTGATAAAAACTGCAATGCAATTTATTATCACAAAATCACATTACCCATTGGATGAGTGCATTTTGTTCTACTTATCCAAATTCGCATTCTCACACATCATACAGATTTTGTGGTCCTCATGTAGATATACTTAAAAATCGTTATCAAATTACCAGAATATTTCAATATTTCTTTGTTGAAAGATCAATCAATCTACACTTGAGTCCAAGTAAAACTGTTATATGTATGCATTTCAGAGCTTTGCATTTGGGAAGATTCTGAAAGCAAGAATAACAATGAGTGTATTAGTCATCAAAATTATTCTTTTCTAAAATGTATAATTTATTTTTCAAATGTTATGTTATTTTTATTTTCAATTCTAATCCAAGTTACGACATTTTTACATTTTCTTAAACACTATGGCTATGAAAATATGATATGAAACAACTTTTCTTTATTAATTTTAGAGCGGAGGAACAATTTTTTATATCATCGTTCGCAGCAACTCTAAACAAAGAAGGAATTGTCGCTGTTTGGCTTGGAATATCAGGTAACAAAAGTAAAGTTCAGGTGAAGAACTGCCATCGTCGTATACTAAAAATTTTAGCGGAATTGTACTGGAATTGAAGCTATTTCATAAAACAGTTTCTTACTTTTGATACAATTTCCTCAGCATTTCAAATTCTTCTTGTTGTGTGTTAAAGACCATATTCACTGCAAATTATCTGAAAGATATGAAAAAATCTTTGTTATACAACAACCAGGCCACTCTCATTTAAATTTTAACAACCATCTACATTAGGGTTACCATATCTGGTAAGGAAAAATCCCTGATAGAATTTTAACAAGCCACACTTATTTTGCAACCAAAACACTTCTGCTGTACAGTATTATGGTATAAATCCATGATGTATCCAAAGGCACAAGCTGTCGTCGCTTTCTTGTTAGAATAGAATTAATACAGAACAAAACGGAAGAAGCAAAATTGCCTAATCTTGAGCACTAATGACTAAACCCTAGCACGGTGCAACCAAGAGACCGATTATAAAATGCTGGCAATTCAGGTCATATGTGACATCACAATTATCTGAATACGGTGCAATCCGTGTTGCACAAAAATGCTAGAATGTGGCATATATACCTCTGAAAAAAATCGATTCGTGGATGTGCAATATCTGAAAATTCGAGTATTTGATGTCAGGGAAAAATATGGTGTATGACAACCCTAATTCACATAAATTGACTGTCATGACAATGTACTTTGTGGCGTGTTCTTGGAAAATGGACTAGTCCACATTTAATAATTTATTGTCCCCAATATAACTTTTCAATGTCATTTTAATTTATCATTGAATAGAACTGAATATATTCCTGAAATTGTTATCTACTGGTTATTAGAATATTTCATTTTGCCACAGAACACATCTTCATTATTAAAAAAAAACATTCGAAAATTTTAAACAAGAAATAACATAGTCGTGATGCACAAAAGTACGGTATCAGCCCCATAAAACAGTACTAATAATCTTTTCAGACATTGGTCATGATGATGATTTTAGATGGACAGATCAAAAAGTAATAACGTACTCTCAATGGGATGTCAATCAACCAACTCATCGCAACGGACAAGATGACTGTGGAATGGTGTACACAGGGAAGGGTGAGATAAGTAGAAGGAAAAATATAAAATGCCATAGTGCTAATTTCGTTATATCACTGTATAGTATGGAACTGTATATGTGTGAGATTGAATGGAGTTGATAATTATGAGCATAGTTTGATTAGAGCAGGGGTCACCAACCTTTTCGAGTCCGAGGGCTACTTTCTGGGTACAGATCAAGCTGCGGGCTACCAGTTCAATGTACACTTCTAAAAGTCAGTTTGCTCGATTAAGCTTCAAATATTGATAATTACTGGTTTTTAGTCAAGTAGAGACACTGATAAACTTAAGGATTCCTCAGGAAATCAAACGATTATAACAAGTATCAAATAAATTTCTATCAATAACACTGCCATTTCAAAACTGAATGTTTCCAAATTGATTTTAAAGTGATCACTACTATAATATCCTAGAAAACCACAATGTACCTGGATTATTTACAAACACTCTGCACAAGTCTAAGATAAAAATGGACTTAACAGTTGTACTATCAAATGTTGCAGAGTGATGTACTCAGAAGTGTAACTTGACACTGTGACTATGAGCGAGTCTTGCAGATTTTCGTCAGTGAGGCGTGTTCCGTGTTTGTTCCTGTTGGAGTGAGTCGCGGCGGTGTGGACCATAGTGCTAAGCGTTAAGAACGTTAGGTTCGCAGATTAGAATTCCACGCGGGGATAGTTATGTGCAAGAGGTATGCTGGACTCCTCGCCGCCGTTGGGTGGTAACCGCTGGTTACGGCTCCCTACGCCATCAAGTCCATGCTTCCGAAAACTAATAACTAGCTAATCCCAAACCCGACATGAAATGGTAACCGGACGAGAATGCGTGCGTTCTGCGTGGGGAAGCCGTCTTATAGACTATCTTCTCCCTCGGAATAAATATGTAAATCCCATCCTATCCTGAGTTTATGTCAAAAATGTTGATTCACAAAGATAGGTGGAACTAGACAATGGTCTCGTAAAATAGGTTTGCTGTATGATTTGAATCGCGAACTTTTTCTGCCTGTACTGCGCTGACCAGTGAGTGAGTGGATAGTTAGCGCAGTAGATTGCGTGACAAGATGTAAAATATCTATTCGCCTTGCCATCGCTATAATCGCCCCACTAATGAGACACACGCAGGCTATTTTCATGGTGGTAAAATATGTATATATATATATTAATATTATTAGTGTTATTAGTTATATTAATTAATATAGTGTCATTCCCAGTTCCCATATAAGTGTGATTTATACAAGAATAGCAGGACAAAATTTAATTGATGTAGCTTACTTATAAGCGCCGTTATTAAGCTTAGTTTGGAACAGACCTGCGTGCGACACGTATGGTCTTCGCGGGCGACTTGGTACCCGCGGGCAACGCGTTGGTGACCCCTGGATTAGAGAGTCAAACCATAAAGTTTCAAAATATTGCAACTTTCTATGTATAAGTGTCCACCAATCCATAGCCTAAATAGTGATAGTTTAAAGCATATCACCCTCAAAGAATTCCATTTTATTTCATTTTTCTTTTTTTTTTGTTTATTTTTTATCAATTCAACATTCATCAATACCAGATTTTAATTAAGACAATTAATTTTATTATTTCCTATCAGGTTCAAACAACTGGGAGATTGTAACTTGTTATTCACCACAAGCTTTCATATGTGAAGTACATGAAGGAACATTATTATCAAGCATCACAGTACCTGAAGGTAAATGGTGTATATTTCTATCTAATGTATTTATGAAATTTGTCATAGCTAATGTTACCTGTAACAATCTAACATCTTGTCTTTGGTGTTACATTGATCTCCTATGATTACTTTGTGTCTATTTTACACTCACAGTAAGATAAGTATAGCCGAAGCAAACAATGTCTCGTTGGCATGTATCAGGATATACTTTACCTCCACAGGACATTCAATATTATACAACAGCTGTGATCTGAATCGAAATGCTGATTTAAAAGACAGATACTATTTAAATGATTTATCATGTTTTCGTATGCTACTTATATTTCGTATGTATCATTATATTACTCCATATTATCATACAAAGAATCAAGCAGTAAAAATATAACTATGATACAAAATTGAATAACATTTTAATATTTTTAAATGATTGACTGGAAGTCTGCAGAACACCAGCATGTGGATAACATGTCACATTTTATATGTTTAACTGGTATCAGCAGATGGTATATTATTTATTGCACAAAGATTTGTTGTAAACATTTAGAAAACAACAAAATCACACGATCTTGCTTCTATTTTTCTATGCTAGTGTACTACGATTGTCCTAAGGGATGGCGTTTGCTTCCACCTTACTGCTATTTATTTGGCGACACTCAAATGGATTGGTATAAAGCTGAAGAATTTTGCAATAAACCTGAGCAAGGATCTGGTCATCTTTGTAGCATTCACAATTCAGCACAACAATCATTTATTTCAGGTAATTTGGGCGAAGTATTGGAAATTTTACTTACCGGTACATATTGTCATTTAGCTTTTTGAAAGCTGGAAATGAATGGCAGTATTATGTGAACATCAAAGTATCTTCAAACCGTGAGAAAAGGATTTATAATTTATTTCAGCGCTGAGGCTAGCTGATAATACGAAAACTCATGTGGGCAAATGCATCAGCATTTGGCATACATTTAGGTGAATACTCGCAGGGTATGTGTAGTTTACTCACTCAGTGATGGCGAAATGGTTGGTAAGCCGCTTGAGCCCAGTCCTAACTGTGGTTATTAGTATTCTTTTTTTAACTGATTTTTATTCTCACCAGGAGAATTGTCATATGAATTAGGAAAATATTATCGATAAAATGAACTTCATTGTAAGCGTGGGTGAAATATTTGTACATATTTTCCCCTAACATTATTCAATATTCTATTTATTTACGTAAGCTGTAATAGACTTGGACTAGTAAGTAACACAACTCCATGCCGTGATTCGCTACCCTACGTGGGTTCGCAGATTCGAATCCCATGTGGGATAATTATGTGAGAGACGATTTCTGCACTCCTCGTCGCCGTAGGGTGGTTCACGTAACTGCTGGTTGGTTACGGCTCCTCCACCATCAAGTCTGTGCGCCTGAAACAGATACCTGTCTAACTAATCCCATACCCAGCAGGGACTGGTAATCGGGCAAGAGGCTGTGGTTAGCCTATAATTAAGCCTTATCAACTTCCCTCTCTCTGGGGATAAATATGTGAATGCTATCCTTCTCCTTTTTTCATTACTAAATCTTATCTTTAAAGTTGCTGTTTCATATTAGATGATATATCATTCATAAACATATTAATTTCAGGACATTTGGTTGCTCAATCCTGGACTGGAGGAAATGACTTCACCATCAATCAACAATTTGAGTGGACTGATGGAACACCATTTGTAAGTTTTGGATTTATCACTATTTTACTATATAATGCTATATAATGTATTATTATTAATATATGAACTATAATAATATATAATATATTCAAACTACTATATATTTATGTTAATTTGTCGTGTGAAATTCCATTCCGTTTAGGTGAGAGCATACATGTAGATATTAAATACACGCCCACATTCTACACACCATGTAGTTTAAAATGTGTGGAACGAATTTTTATCTCACTGTTTCGCTCAATGAGTTATGCATTGTATTACACATTTCATGTTATTAGTTTACAGTTGTTGAGATTGCTTCGTCATAAAAGTGAAATTTTGGATTTTGATCACATTTTGTTTATAGCCTGTTTTTTCACATCAAGCTTTAAAAAATCAGGATGTGTATATAGAGGTAAAAGGGCTTAAGGTAAATTACACAGATAACCAAAGTAGATTAATGTAAGTCAGTCTATCCAAAATGTTTCATGTCTCAATTACAATATCTCCATAATATGTTTAACATTCTCACAAAATGTATTTACTTGACTGTACAAAAAATTTGTATGAGACACATACCTAGATTTATATTGATAATTTAATGCTGCAAATGCTATACCTTCTATTGGATTAAATATATATTCAATATTTTTGCTTAATAAAAAAAGCATTACCAATATAATGATTTACAACAGGCTAATACAATTAGGCAACAGGGGCTATTTCTTTCTTGAGTAATAATTGGTATTGATACCAGGATCTTTCAAAAATGTGAAGGACAAGGTAAAAAAAAACTATTTCATGCAATGGAAGAAAAAAAGTAACAGATTCCAACTTAGCTATTTGCATTTCCCACATCTAATAAACCGTTACCGGTATATACTTTATATATATATGAAGTAGTAAATATAAAATGAAGGTGATACAAAACTTTTATCGGGATTTATTTATTACTTGCTTTCAAGAAAAACTCTCACAAGGATATTTACATATTGTAAGTTGAAATAGGATATGGATATAAAATGAATTATAAAATTTGAATTATCTCTGTACTGCTCTAGAATTTCACAAATTGGCAGCCAGGAGAACCTAATGATGCAGGATTTAATGAGGATTGCATAGCTATGTATGCAAGTCCGATTTATACATGGAATGATGACCCATGTGACCGAGAAAAATTGTACATTTGTAAAAGAAATGCCGGTGTGTTGTGTCATTTGGAATGAAATCCATGCTTAATTTTTTCCACATCCACATGACATAATGAGTTCTCATACATGCATTCATTATTGTAAATTTAAAATAAAATATACTTTTGAATTTATGTAGAGAACAATTGAAAGAAAGTCTTTCATACTTACTCCACATAAAAAACTATACATCAAATTTATCATCCATTTTCATATCATTAATGGAAATTCATCGATCGTGGTATAGCATTTCCATAGCAATATCTTACAGCTGTATTCACCTCATAATGTTGGTTAATTTTCCATCAAATGTCTTGAATAATATTTTTATCAACTTTCAATTTATCAGCCCATTCGGAATCTTGTTTCATAAATGTATAACATGCATGAGTGATTCACATAATTTTTTTTTATAAAGTTAAATGTACGCTTCACGAAATAGGTATTTTCTATATCTTTCATCGAATTGAAGTGGGTATTATTGGAATGAAGCGGACTCTTGTTGCTAAATTGTTGTTTTGAATGATAGCGGGTAGGGGGTTGTTGTGAAAAATCAGTTTTCTCCTCAAAATCACAGTCCAATGAATTTCAAAATCTCAGTATTTGAAGATGAAAGAAGTAGCTAAAAAGTCTATCAATTTCTTAAGGAGCTTGATATATCACTAAAGTTTTGCTGTATTTTTAATTCACGAAAGCATGTATGATTGAAAGAAAGCCAAAGTATGTGAAAATAATCAAAAATAGCAAACAGGAATGTCAGGTCTTCAAATGTACTAACAGGTTTCAAAGACTGACAAATGTTTTACATTTCTCCCTCGGTCCATTTTTTTTTATCTCTCAATTCCCCCACTACTCATAATAACTCTATTTGCGTTTGTTAATCATTCTTTTAGGTAACATTTGCTTGTGATATTTGCGACTTGTATTCTAACTGTCGAACAATTTGAATAGTTTATAATGTATACGTGTACATGCATTACAATAATACTGAATAAGTAAAAAATAGACACACTAAATAAAATAAGGTAAAATTCAAAATTATTTAAATTCTTCCTGGGGGAGGAACTCCTCCTAGATTATGAAACGTTGGTTTAGTATTCCTGTCACAATTTATATTATAATGAACATATGCAATTGCCGTTAATATATAGCTGCATTTGTTTCAATCATATGCATTTTTTAAAGATTAATTTTAATATCCTGGTTACCTCATTATCATGGGAGACCTTATTTTATTAATATTAATTAATGAAAGTAGCATGATGGATGCAAAGCTCCTCAACGAGTCCAGGTTTAACTGGAGATATGAGTCCATTGTTTTTTGTGCAGATATTGAGTAGATAGGAAAAATTGATACTGGTTGTTTTTTACCATTTTGACACCTTTTCATAAACTGGATACAGAATTTTACAAATTGGAAGAATGACAATGAACCCAATAATGAAGGAGATTGTGTGAGAATCATAGGGATAACAGACGACAATAAATGGGGGGCATGGACCGACAAACCTTGTACATACCTGGATCTACCAGTTTGCCAACGTCCTGCTAGTATGACTGTTTCTCATTGAATCCCTGAGCACTTGCATGTTTCAATAATTTTTTAAAAATTGAACATTTTTTTTCAATCTACGCCAATGTTATTACAATAGTTGAGCAGATTTCCAGCTTGATTTATTTTTTCATTGGATTTTAGATCGTCATATTCCAAATTTTTGATGACTTTATAAAACACTGTAGTACATGTATCTGGTCAGTTGGCGTATTATTTCCATAACAAGTCATTCAAAATATAGCCATCTTAGGATACAATTTTCTTAAACTAAATCATGACCAGTACTGAACTATCTGAGTTTGAGTTTCAAAATATTTTCAATGTTTGAGTCTGAAGTCAAGTTACTCAACACATGATGTCCATTAATCAAGTGTCATCGTAGATTTTGTAAATAACAAAAAAAAACTGATAAATGAGCTCATTTCAAAACTTACGATAGTAGAGGAGATGGTCTTCTCGTGCACTAACACCAACTTCAAAATTCTAATTTGATGTCAACAACATTTGCTATCAACATGTTGCATTTTTACAATGGGCCAGGGATTTTTAACATTTTTTAATTAAATAATTTTGTTCCTCATCAACATGAGTTCAACTATCTCTGATGGTTTGCATTAGAGTCAAGTCGTTTTCTCTGTCCAATACTGAAATTATGTTATAATTGACATTAGTTCATCTTTGAGATTTTAGTTGCAGATAAAGAAATTTCAGTTAGTAATTTCCTAGCAAAGATGTGATATGTGTATCAGTCAAGGTTTATTAGCAAAATAGTCAGTGTAGAATCTAAAGACACATACAGTCAGCACAATCATTTAATGTAAAAATAAAATGTTTATTGATTAGTATTCCTGAAAAAACAAAACTGTTCTTTCAGGTATAAAAACCTGAAAGATTTATGTGGTAATTATTTGAAGAACTTCCTCTAGGTGCAACATTCTAAGTGTATATAGAAGTATATACCTTTTTACAAAAATGTTGTGTGCTTCATGCAGTACTTGTATACTGTAAGTTTCCAAGAATACTATAATGGATTGGGCCACCTTTCATGGAAATTTGGTTGGTGCAAGATTTATTGTTCAACAGAACTTTACCAACTGGAAATACAATGGCCAACCTAATGCAGATGGGGATTGCGTTCGTATTATTGGGATACATGATGATAATGCGTGGGGTGAATGGAATGATAGACCTTGTACTGAGACAGGCAGACCCGTTTGCCAAATTGATGCTGGTATTTTTCATCTCTTTATAAAAATTGATTATTCGATTTTAACTTGATTTTAAATTCAATTTTTGTTTTTTGTTCTCAATTATTTTTTACTAATTGAAATAATTAAGTGCATAAATATAACAGTATAAAGATTGTCATGTGAAGCTAAATATAATAGTAATAATAGGATGTGGATTTTTATGTAAAAGTTCAAAGTTTCCATGATGTTTCCACTGTGGAAACGCATGTATGAGGTGTGAATTTTACAATCTGTTTTGTTTTTGTGTTATTGATGATAACATGTCAATATAATTTATATATATTTGAATTTTTGAAAGCATTTTAGGAACCCTCTTTCATATTCAATTTTTTACTGATATCTTACTTTCCAACAAAAATTACTCTCGGTAACAATCATAGATAGTCTAAAAAAATATAGCAATTTCCATTTTAAACCAATTTTAGATTAATTCCTTCTGAATAAAGTAAAAAATACTTCAAATATAAACTGTATTGTGATGATAATCTTGCCACAATCCATTGTGCTGTGTAGAGGATGGCTCTTAAGTTGAACCACATTTATATATCTCTGTTTAGTTATACGGTCTTTTGTGGTAACAGAATATTGGGTAGGTAATTGGTCTTGGTTACTATAGTAAACTAAAAATGACATTGTGTGTGTTATTGAAATGTTTTTATCAGACCTATGGAACTCGGAATGCAGAAAATGTAAATTAGCACTATACCTATAATATTATCGAGCTTCAATGTTAAGATTGTACTTTTGTATCATAGAATATTGAAAATGTATTAGTGGTAGCAGTACATTTCATGGTGTAGAATTAGTTCCCATGCGACAAAAATATTTTTTTCATATATAATTGCAAATACAAATAATTAGAAGCATTAGGGTAGGTTTTTAAAATTTTGAGAAAGTTGTTGTTGACAAGCTGTTACTACATACCATTACTTTTTCATTGTGTTCGAAGTCATTTCATGCATCAAAATACTACTCAATATTGCTGAAAACACTAATGCTCTATAATAAAGACATAGGTACGTTGTTGACAAAACGAAATGCAATAAAGTTCTTTTTTCAAATGAGATTATAAACTATTGTATTACTGAGTTTCATCTTAATTTTTAATGGCTATCCCTGTAGATTACATTAAGTGAAATCAATGATATAATCAGTTTTGCGGTTTCCTGAATCCTAAATGACTTCATGTTGTGTATAACTTGGTATTAGTATCAACTATCAAGTGCTATCTGTTCTTGCCCATATCTTCTTCAACATTCCTTCTGTGCTGGTTAAACAGATTACTGAGTCTTTCACATACCCTACAACATTATTTTGACTATGTGAGTTTTGATACTTCCCCAAAGTACACAATCAATGCTTCTAGGTAACCAGTCAGCTCCTGAACTCTTTCCTATAATGCGGAATGCTATATCACTGCTCAGACCCCAATTACACAACAAAATTATAATGATTAAAAAAAACTTTTCAGTTTAAAAAAAATTCTGCAATGATTCAAAATTTATCACAATCTTCTCTCATATTATTGAAAAAGTAAGTCTATTTAGCTTTACTGCCCACATTTTTCTGAATGTAGCCATTGTATAGAACATAAAAAAACTAGAAGAATTATTTGGTAAAAATTCAAAGAACTTTCTCTACATGTAACATTCCAAGTGAGTACATTTTTACAAGAATGATGTGCACATTTTCACCCGTGCATCCTTTCATGCATTTCTTTATACTGCAATAATATACTGAATATAATAATGGATTCGATTAGGCCACCTTTCATAAATATTTGCTGTGTGCAAGACTTATTGTTCAACAGAACTTTACCAACTGGAAATACAATGGCCAACCTGATGGGGCTGGTGATTGTGTTCGCATAATTGGGAAAGAAAATGATAGGGGCGAGTGGAATGATAGACCTTGTACTGAGGAAGGCATACCCGTTTGCCAAATTGCTGCTGGTACTTTTCATCTCTTCATAAAAATTGATCATTTTATTTTAACTTGATTTTAAATTTAATTTTTGGTTTCTGGTCTCAATTATTTTTCACTAACTGAAAAAATTAAGTGCATAAATATAACAGTATGGTGATTATCTTGTGAAGCTGAATATACTAGTAATAGCAGGATGTGGATTTTCATGTAAAAGTTTGAAGTTTCCATGATCATTCCACTGTGAAAATGCATATATGAAGTGTGAATTTTACAATCGGTTTTGTTTTTGTGTTGTTGATAAAATCATGTCAATATAATTCATATATATTTGAATTTTTGAAAGCATCTTGGAAACCATTTTTTCATATTTAATTTTTCACTGATATCTTATTTTCCAACGATAATTACTCTGGGTAACAATGGTTTTACTCTGAGTTACTGTTGAAAAAATATGGGTCACAATGAATTAGCTGTTTTCCATTCTACAATCTTAAAAAAAACAGGTCCAAACTAGAATTATCTTTGATATTTGATCAATGAGTATGAAAGAAAACAATGTGTACTTGTATAATCAGTGCCAAACTGAAACACATTTGCAGAATGAAAATTGTGAATGTGCTGGTTTCGTGTTAAACAAATTTCAATCTGAAAAAAATTCTGCAGTTACTCAAAATATATCACAATCTTCTCTTACATAGTGTTGAAAAAGTAGGTATATTTAGCTTTACTGCCCACATTGTATTAAATGTAGTCATTGTATGGCTACAACAGTGAATTACATGTTACTATTCATGTTCTTATTCCGAATTATGATTATCCAGAGTTGAAGTACAGTCACTACATTATGAAAACATTCTGGATTTTTTGTCGTGTTTATTTGAGTACTTTTATATGGCAATAATAAAAAAGATGGCTCAACTGGTAAAAAATTAAATAAAACTGTAATTGTTGCCTCTGATTACAATGGCAAAAAAGTAATGCATTCTAATTTGTTGATGTCTGTCTAGTTACAAGTTTCATCCAAGCCTATATCTTTTCAATATTATGTTATTGATGTCAGAGACTGTACTCTTGTGGAAAATTCTTGGGATCATTACAACTCATTTATGACAAGTTCTGTTGTTCTATAGGATTTTACGAACTGGAAAAATGCGGGCGAACCGAATGGTGATGGTGACTGTATTCGCATAATTGGTATAACTGATGATAATGCATGGGGCACATGGAATGATAGACCATGCACTAGTGACAACAACATGGCTATATGCCAAATAGCAGCTGGTATTTGAACTGCTAATTTTTTATGAATACTTATAAAATGAATCCTGTATTCTATACTTCAATTTGTTAATTATATCCATGAAAAGCATGAACAAAATTATGAGAATATAGCAAAATTGGAAATTTATCATAAAAATATCTGAGATGATTAGGTAAAAAGTATCTTTTTAACTGAAGGATTGAAAAACTCGCTTATGCTTTATATATAGTTGATAATAAATTACGCTTCAGGCCTATGAAAAAATTTTGGAAAACATGTAAATGAGCATGATGTTAGATATATTAGCTTGGTACATTGATTTTATGTCATTCATGCAGCCAAATTCACATTAGCTATTGTCATGAGTCACAGCTTTAAAAACAATTAGTAAAATCTATACACTTGTTCGTCAGAGAGATATTCCTGTTTTGGGTTACGGTACTTCCATTGACTAGACTTTCAAAGGCATTTCAAGTATTACCGTAACTATTATCCTTTTATTTGTATTATAGGCAAGATATCTTGTGTAGGCAAGTCTCGCCTCATTATTGGACTAGTTTTTTATTAAAATTTTAATGTTTTATACTACATGGTTTTCTGTTAGTTAAAGAACATATTTATCTGGGAAATGTATTCTCCATCAATATCCATATCCTACGGTATTTAATGCCTCAAGTTGAAGTAATAAAATACCTATTAAAGAAATTCAACACAATTTATTTTTTCTAGTATTTGTCTATAAAATAAGTATCAGTTAAAATGGGAATTGGGAATTATACATATTTGAACTTTATAGTACTAAACACAAACTTTTTCAAGTGCACTTGTACTGCCATACTCATCAAATACAAGCTCAGAATTTTCCAATCCAGCTTGGCTGGATCCTGCTGAATGTGTTTATAATGCTAGTAGGTTATTTTGTTATTGTACTATACCTAATTAGGTGATGAATCAAAGATCAAAGTAGAATATATATTTGTATTTATTACTGTAGTTACCTCCAGTTAAATATTCTCATTATATATATTTCAGATTTTTAGAAAACAAAATTTCGGGAAGCTTGCTGAGATTTTTCATACATAGGATGTCAAAATTAATTACCTTATAATTCAGTATTCGGATTTTTAGATATCGGATGTTTGAGTTTAGTTTGAGAATATTTTTTTTTTTAATTTACCATTCTTGGTGTATTGAAGCATCTAATTCCTAGCGAAAATGTCTCATTAAAAGTGAAAATAATAAAAAAAATAAAAAAAACTACCAAATCACCATTTATCTAGACTTTCCTGCATTTTCAAATTCAAACCTATTTTTTTTGGATTTACTTTCATCAATAATTTGTACTTCATGGTTTTGTACAGGTTGGTCCAAACTGCAACTCGCGGGCCGCATGCGGTCCATTGACACATTTCGTGCGGTCCGCAGAACAATTTAAGCGTACACTACTGAACCATTAGCAGATATTTATATTAATTAGCAGAACAAGAACATTTTTGATTTATTTTCAAACCACTGCAACTGAGAATAGACACTTTTCCTAATCCCGATGTTGGGATTGATGTTTGTTTAAATTATGGAATTTCATTGTTGATCTATAAACGTTAAGACAATGTCTATATGAGAATGACGTCCTGTGATCGGTAAAAGGAGAATGAATTGTCTCGTGCAGACAGGGCTGGTCAAGCCGATGAGTTGAGCTCGCGTAAAGTAGCTCCTCAGTTGAAGAGACATTTTGTGCCTACATTTTAGTAAAAACACTGCTCTATTTTCAAGCATTGGCCATGTGCCAGCGATGACAAACCGCAGAGCGGGAAGCCATTTTTAAATAACTAGAGGCTTTTATAGTTTTCCTAAAAAACTGATTAGAACGATAAACTCTTGTTCTTAAATATATTTAAATTGAGTGATCTCACTATATTTTGATCACTTTTGGGTTTTCCTGACTACCCGCACTACTACTCAAAAAGTTTTTGCGGCCCTTCAACCTCGCAACCTTGCACCACCCTGATATAGTATTTATAAAGTTATATATTTTGCCTAAAAAAAATTGAAAATTACATAGTATAATAGGGTAGTGTGTATTGAGCTACGAGCACTTTAACTTTGTTTACCTCCTACTTCGAATCCGTATGTGTCCGTTGCCACAAGTATATAGAGATAAATATGAATAACATAAATGATCTCTTTCTGCAAAATAGCAAGAATTGGTAAGCTTTTGCTAGATCACAATATAACTTTTTCGGACAAAACAAGACATGATTTTGTTTCACTGTTGATTAATTCATATTTTGTATGAACAAGTTAAACTATGATCTAAGAGTTTACTAATATACGGTACTTCTCATTTTGTGGAAGAGGATTATTCAATTTTTAGTTGAAATTGATTGATCAATTTGTCAAAATTAGTCTAGATTTTTCAGGTAAGAATAAATAACGATTTAATCATGAGATATTGAATGTGTATTTTGTTATTAGATATGGTAAAATTAGGTTTTTATCCAAAATAGCTTATAAAGTCTTATGATATTCCAAAATAAATGACAGAATTTCACAAATTGGAAAAAAGCCCGCCCAATTGAAGATGAAGGATTCGATTGTGTTCGTATAATTGGGTCAAATGATGGTGGAGCTTGGGGACAGTGGACTGATAGACCATGTGTAAATAATGGACAGCCTGTTTGTCAAATAACCGCTGGTATATTGTTTATATATCTCAGTGGCTCATTGGCAATAACATCATGCGTTGAGAACCTCACTATAATTTTAAAAAAATTCAGCGGCTGTTTATGATTTGTGTAGATTAACAACATCTAATTAGAGGCCTTTTTGTGTTTAGTGCAGATGATGATTACAACCTATCAATAGCAATTCAAAATAGGTCATTTGAAAAAAAAATGTTCTTGTCACTCTTGTCATCACTATTCATCATCTTACTCCATTCGTTTCATTCGTTGGAACATAAAGTATGCATATGGTTCCCATAATACAGCACTGGTTAATGTTATAAACAAAAGCATTTATGAATTGAGAATTGTCTTTAAATTTCTATATTGCTTCATGATGATTTTTTCATGTGTTTATTTATTTTGCTTCAAACATATACTAGTACTATTGACATTTTGAAAACCTCAATAATTTGAGGTTAAATAAATTTCTACTGGCTAGTTTTGATATACAGCTTGGTTTGTTGGTGCTATTCTGTATTTGTGGTTGTAACATCAAACTCAGCTAAGCATAATTCAAATTAGATTTGTGCTTTTTTGTTATGTTTCAATTCAACTCAATTTCATTTTCATTTCGCTTGAAAATGCATATTCAATTGAGGTTATTGCATATATTGAAATATGTTATGTAGCATAATGCTTGCTTATTGAGTTTACTATATTTTGTCAAGATTTCATTGTTGTGGTCAGATTTCAGAAAATCTAAATTAAATCTTGCTTATATGTAGGTTACCAAACTTTTAAGATACATTTATTTTCTTTCATACTCATAAGATATTTGAATTAATTATTATTGGATTTCATAATAAATTTTTGATTTGTTAATATACTGAATGTCATCAATCCAATTTTTTTTTAAATTCATCCATCATAATGGTATCTTTATGACAATTTCTGAATATTACTTAGCATGATAAGAAACAATTTACAATCATTTGCTATCAATGAATATTCCAATTCTCAGCTCCATATCATAATTTGAGAGTTTGGTATAAAAATAATTCGAATTTGACATCAATTATTTTATTATCGTTTTTACCAATAATTGTTTATATTAAACTTATTATATTCATGTCATTTCCAATAAAAAGTCTCATTATCTTTTTTGTTTCGAATGTCTTATATTTCCACAAACAATCTAGGGTAACAAAAACTTTGAGTTTCTTGCTGGTAACTTTTGCTCTCTGGTAACAAGACAAATAACTAAAATTGTACTTATAATGTTGTAACTAATTAAATTAGAATAATGCACTTTTATACTTATTGGCAATATTTAGAATAATTAATACATGCTTCTATTGTTCCTTCAGTTCACACATCTAATCCTCAACCTATTCCATCAGTACCACGTAAGTATTTCTCATTGCTAAGTGTGTAAATTAAACAAAAATGTTTTTGATGAAATGGCTTATCAGGCTTGCTGTGGCTCTGGTTTGCCGGGCTTTTGATGCAGCCGAGATTGTTTCTATATTTAAATGAATAAAAGCAGGTTTATTGCATTTCTTCCTCTATTGACGAAGACAGTTGCTATGCTAACCAATAGCAAATAATTTTTATTGATATCATGTAGGTGCAAGAAGTCTTCTTCTGTCTGTATTTCTATCAAAATTTTATGTGGAAAAAGTGGAAATTTCTACTTTTATGTAACAATTTGGCATAGCCTTTCGATTATGTAGAACATTAGTTGAACTTGAGCTCAAATGTATGGCATATAAAATTTGTGACAGTGTTTAACAAGAAAAATTAAATATATTCTATGGTCACCTATGATTATGAAGGTCGATTCATTTATAAACAATGAACATGAATATGCAATAATATTCTTATTACCAGCTAATGCAAACGATCTGTTATGCGGTGATGGATATCTTCATAACCCATCCACTCATAAATGCTACAAGTTTGTTGATGATGTTGCCAGGTATGCATGACATGTTTTTGCAATGCTGAAATTGACTAAAATTAGTGAAATCTCTCATATATGTTTCAATTCAATTGGATTTTATATATCAATTGTTTATGTGATTTACAATGTTAAGAAGAAGCTCTGGACTTGTTTTACTAAAAAAATGATTTTCACTTTGCAAAAATCTGCAATAATCTTCAAATATTGGACACATATTGACTTGTACACACGAATTGTTTTGTTTGAATTTTGATTTATGGATTGTTGTTTTTGTTGAAGTTGATATTGTTGTTATGAAAAAAATGTTTTTCTCCAAAACTATTGGAATAATCAATTCCATTTTTCTGTATTCTAACAGGCTATTTCTTATATTTTTATAAATTTTTTCCTGTGTCAAATGAACTTTATTAGGTTTTATACAAATTTTGAAACGAACCCCTTGCCCTTTGCCAGTTTTTCCTAAAAACTCTCTGTTGAGTCAAGACTTTACCATACTAATTAAAATACTTTGTTTATGATTTTTAGAACATGGGCAGATGCTCGTACACATTGTCTGGCTGATGGAGGTGATCTTGTTAGTATTAATTCACCAGATGAACAATCATTTGTTCAAGGTAAGATATCTATTCATTTTACCTCACCGCCACGTTTTCCTGTAATTGCAAGATTGGTTAAATAAATATAAGAGAAAAATGCAAAATTATCATACATAATTTCAGTGACTGTCATATATTTTTGTACTGTATTTGTAGCCAATTATCTTGCCATTAGAACTTTGCAATATTTCATAAAACTGCATGTGTGTATTTGTAGTTTCCATGTTCACTTTGTCTTTTTTGCAATGTTAGGTTGCGATTTTATTTTTCATTGGTAAATTACTTTTATTTTAATGTAGAATGACTCAATTTAAGAAATTGTTTTGTTTCCTGCTATTTGAAGTATAAATTGATTTCATTGTTAAGAAATGATGGGTCTTATTTATTTCTCTTCTGCCCTTTTACCCATTGGGAATCTTCAGGCTGCAAGTCATGTTATCTGTACAATTTTGCAAAATTTAGATAAAAAATAAAATATAACTATTACAACTATCACTATCATTTCATACATGCTCATAATAATTTTTTATTCTGCATTTTCAGTAAATGTAGCACTTTCAGCGAGGCAAATTGCTTTCTGGACTGGAGGACTCGATTCATGGTCTGGTCCAATAAATACTGGTGTTGTAGATATAACTGATGGTGGTTGGAGGTGGATTGATGGGAGTCCTTTCAATTATGTTAATTGGAATAGTGGTAAGTTGTGAAAATGTAGTACTTTTTGTGATTTTTCAAAGATTATTAAACATAAAAATGAAATTTGAGTGTTTAATTTAAACAAATACATGTTTGCTGTAACTTGCTTTTCCGAAACATAGAACATGTATGGAATGGTAACCGGCGGGTAAAACACTTTTTGTTTTTCAATTTGAGAGTGAGTAAATTAAGCGATGTGTGCCAATATATCTAAATCTGTTGTTATGCATTAATAAATCCCCAAGAAAGTTAACCTTGAAAGCTGTATTGCCCTGGGAAATAAAAAGAATTTATTTGTATTACATGAATTTTCTGCTATCTTTATAGCTTATTTGACCACAAATAGGCTGCATAAGCTATAAAATATTATTTAGGCGAGCCAAACAATGTGAATAATGAGGACTGTGTTGAAATGGTTGTTGATCATGGCTATTGGAACGATCTATCATGCGGAGATTCTCGAGGATATATTTGTGAAAAAGAAGATCCAGACCAGTATGAAATTAGATAAAAAATGTTACTTTGGTTGGTGAAATCTAATTCTGTATCTTGGCCATAATAAACAAGCAAATAAAATTGAAAAAGCAGAAAAGGCACATTTAATTTTTGATTTTTTTTTAAACCAGTACAACTGAATCCCCATCCACTGATTGCAAAGGTGTGGATTGTTGTTATCGCCATATTGGAGTTGAAGTTGGAGGACCTATTCCCAGCAGACAACTATCAGCATCTTCTCAGATGGATCCCCAATCTGGTGCAGAGAGAGGACGGTTAAACACACCTGATCAATATGTGTATGTATTTATTTCAGTGAAATTGGTAATTCAAATATTTATTTAAGCCTCTAAAGGGCGGAACCAATCTGGGTGGAATTTGCATAGGAAAATACTCTTTCGTGTCATCTTTTATTTTGTCTTTCATTTCGATATTTTATAAACTGGGAAGGAATTTTAGTGAACATGTATTAGCCCAGTATACCACCCGCATACTCATGCGGATGAGATGTGCAGTGCTCAAAATGAACTTACTGTTCCACAGTAAGCTGCCGTTATTGGCCAGGACATTTGCATGGTTGGTAACGGTTTTCTGCAATTCAGGCTTCAAGTATCAGTGGAGAACTTGAGCCTACCAGCTCGTTTGGAATATTTGTAAGTCAGGTTGTAAGACTTAATCAATTTTGACCTGATATAGATGTTCTATTCTAGTGATAAATTTGCTTATTTATGCACCTGAATATGTACTGTGACTATTTTTTCAGTGATATACTTGATTTTGGACCTGGTCGTGGTGCATGGGTGGCTGATCAGAGTGAAAAAAAACCATGGATTCAAGTTGCTTTGCAAGAATACTATGAAGTTAGGGGAGTTATAACACAGGTCGATGTATTTATGTTTTATCTCAAGCAATATTATAGTTTTGATCAGGGATGTGTGTGCAACGGGTGTTTTAACAAGTGGCCTGATCACAAAGACTGTTCCATAAGTCATTGCACAAAAAATTTGATTCTAATTTGGTACTATGTGGCGTAACAAAGAAATCTAATGACCACCGTCGGTCGTTTTATGCACTTACTAAATTAGGTTTAACAGAAATTGGAAAAAGAAGATTAACAAAAACCAAAACGATAAGGACATCCCTAGTTTTGACATGTATACTGTTATCCAATGTTTATGCCATGAAAGTAGTGAGTTATATAGCTTAATGCACCATATTAAAAAAATGTAGATTTGCTGAAATTCTTACCAAATCAAGTAGTTTTTTGTTTAAAGTAGCTGATTGTTTGTCTATCTTTATCTTTAGGTATTGAATGTCACTATGAAATGGTTTAGTTTGTTATTTATTATATTCGTTTAAAATTCTGTAGACATTACTTGACATTACTTACTTACATTTATACAGCCTTTTTACATTTTGAAAAAAGTATTACAAAATTAAAGGATATATTTTTTTAAATCATTTTATGATGCTTTATGGACACTCTGTATTCTGATATAATGATATTTACACATTTAATACATTTTCACATTCTTGGAAGCCCTTCAACCTGTATCCTGTGTATGGCTTGGCGATGTGGTGCATCTTGCTACGCTTTAGAAATACGCTTGTCATCGTTTCTCTGACCCTGTGTAGGTTTGCAGGTCCGATCCCAGTGCGAGATAAATATCTGCAAGCATTGCTGGACTCCTTGACGCCGTAGGGTGGTTGACATAACCGCTGGTCAGTTGCGGCTTCCTCCACTATCAAGTCCATGCATCTGAAACAAATAACATAACAACTGGCTAACTATTTCCATACTCGACATGTACTGGTAACCGGATGATAGGTCGTGGTTTGCCATATGATTACGTCGTCTTATCACCTTTCATGGATATATATATAAATTCTATCCTATACTTTTTGTTTTCTTTTAAAATTTGAAGTAATTTTATCTCAATAATTCTGACTTGATAACTTCTGTGTTACAGGGTCGAAACGGAATAAGTCAGCCAGTTAATCAGAACATGTGGACAAGACAAATTTCTGTAAAATACAATACACATCTTAAAAAAGAAGTTTGGGAACCAATAAGAGACTCGTTAGGGAACGAAATGGTGAACGGCTGTTTCTAAATATAATCAAATGATTAACTTTCACTCAATATTTATTTCTATTGTTTTTAGTGTTTTTATTGTTCATCAGAGAATATATTGTGTCTAATTATTGATCTAGTTTTCTTCTATTTTGTTGTTATTTTTATAATATTTGTTCAATTTTATATTATATATGAGTAAAAACAATTGGGATGAATTGATCCCGACAATTTATTGACTACAACGGCATTTAACGCCACCACACAATTTTGTGATGTGGATGTCAGTTGGTCTAGTGATAGAAATGATTGATTCTCATCATATAGAATAAATAAGAATTGTTTTCTGGTCATGTTCTCAATGGAATAGAATAAGATTTTCATATTTACATTGATTTCAATTAATATTTATATATAAATATAATTATCGATCAATCTTAATGAGCAGAAAAACTAGTCTGATGCCAAGTTGTATACGATTTGTAACTCCTAAATAAAGAATTCTTTTCAAAATTGGATTATCAATCTTGAGTAATTGTTTGAAAATATTAGCATTGTTGAGGTTATATCAGAAGGTTGTAATAACATAACATAAAACAAACATAGCTTTACCTGCTATCTCATTCTAAGTACTGTATTGATGGTAGCAACACTTTTATTCAGATATTTGATGCAAATCATGATCAGAACACTCAAGTGACAAACATCTTTGATCGACCTGTTATGGCTACTGGTATTAGAATAACATTGGAAAACTGCAGACTTGGTTGTGCAATGAGATTCGAACTTGTTGGATGTAAACCTCAGTAAGAAATTACGATGCTACTTTAACTAGATTTTGATTATCATTATTGATGTGTAGACCAATGAATATCTTCAGATATTTCAACATTTTTAGACTTTAGTATTGCTATAATACCGAATTCTAATAGATTCTATTACATCTGAATTAATCTATTTAGTAAGTTCTTCATCCGAACTTATTTTTATTTTAATTTATTTTCAATCATTTACATGAAAAAAACATTTTATTGTCATTCAAATTTTTTTCAAGTTACATGAAAAACAAAATTTGTAAGTTTAAGCCTTTCATTGCACTTTCATCGCACTTTCTCTCACCAATTTTAAAATTTGGTTTTAAAATTTATTGACATGATTACCCTTTTGCTGTTTTCACAGGTGTGATGCTTCTCTTGGTGTGGGTGCAGATGGCCCAGGAGATTTTCCGTTATTGCCTTCCACATCATTGACTGCTTCATCTTCTCAAGCTGGTTTTGAACCTGAATTCAGTCGACTCGACTATACAGAAACTCGTAAGTAACAATTCAACCAAATGATTGATTTAATCTGACCTTGATTTTTGGTGTAATTTTTGTAATTTTGTAATCTGTTATTCTGCTAATTTTCCACTTAGAACTGTTGAATCCAGCACACTATCAACTCGACAGTGGCACCATGACATGGGATTCCGCGAGACAGCATTGTTTCACCCAAGGAGCAGATTTATGCACTTGGTCTGATATATGCTCCACTGGTACTCCTATTATAACTGGTGTAGTTAGTGGTGACAGATGGGCACCTATCAGGCAAGAACCATCATTGTTGAATAAATAAATTTTAGTTGCAAACTTTTCATTCAATAAAAACTTTAATTATCCCAAATCGATAAAGTAAATATTTTCAACTTTGTTATTAATCAAAATGGGATATATTCAAGTTAAACAATCATCAATAGAAGAATTGAAACAAATTATTTTACTTAGATTTCAAGTCTATTTATTTATTATAATCATGAAAAACAATAATAGGGATTCTTCGAATGATTGGGTTGAAATCGGAGATGACAATAATCCATCAAATCCCGGTCGTGTTTGTTGGAAACACAATGAAAAATATGGAGCACCCGCTTGGGGTGTTACGGAGGGTCCATGTGAACCTTGGGCTACTGCTACTGATCCCTGTCCACACAAGGGCAATGTATTTTGCTGTCGTATGTATCATCAACATGTTTTAAAAAATAATCATCATAAAACAATCATTCATTCTAATCAAATCAAAATTTATTAATTAAAGATAATTCTCTGCATCTATGTTCAAACTTTTTTTTTAATTTTTATTATCATAATATGTTTGGGAAATGATAGACTATTGTCGTTTGTATGGATGACTCAGATTAACTACCGATAGTTTAGATTATAGTATGCTGAAGCTACAAAATTACTTGGCTGCCGGCTTTTTCCTACCACAGTTTCATTCTTCAATCATATTTATATAATGGAATGAATTGAACTGGCTAAATAAACTCATGCCCAGTCCAACCGGGTTTGAAATATGAATGTATTGAATGAAATTGTTCACCTTAATATTATTTTTTTTTTGATGGCTCTTCTTCTTGAAATTGTGTTGACCCTATAAGTGCTCAATTAATTTCAAATAATTAGCTGATTGACTATATCCATATTTATACTGATATATGAGAGAGAAAGATAGATGTTGTTTCGTGTCATAAGAGTAATTTTCTTTTTCTCAAGAGTCAAGTTTTGAAAGTTCTATTCTATTACTTTGACAAGTTTCATATTGAAAAAAGTGGATCTTGAATCAAATTGCTATAATATATTAATATGAAAATAATTCACAGTTTATTTGCATGTTGTTATAACCGCGTAATGAAAGAATATGTTTTGTAAATTTGTATCCGAATTTTTCTTGAGCGTTGCTTTACTTTCTGTTATGTAGCCGGAAATACAAACAGCTGGAAGCCTTCACAAAGTGACAAAAATCAATGGATCCAGGCTGATCTAGGAGAAACTAGGAAGGTTGGTAAAAAAGTTTTGTAATTCTGTATGCCCAAAATGTATATTTGTACCGTATTTCAGTCTTGGAACTTTTGTTAAAATAGATGTGATTACCGTGACACCTACCTTCAAGAAATCAAGAAATCATTAAGTATTGTGTGCTTAAGTTGACAATAGGAAAACTAGACTTCAAGCTGCTCGAATGAATATGATGTCAGTTTGCTAACCAGTGGATTATTTTATTTATTTTGTGTTGCAGTTTTTGTCTCTTTTTCGGAGGAATTTAATTAAATTTGTTTGTATTGTTTTATTCAATAAATAATATGCTGGGGAGGTACTTTGCCATACGACAGGAGGGTATATCATCTACATTTTCCAATACCCAGTTCTGAATATTCGAAAAGTTACACGTACCTGCCACTCGTTAATCAATAAATTTTGTGTCAAATTGAATACTAACTAACCTTGCATTTATTTTATTTGCAGATTTCAGGAGTACTTTTGCAAGGCAATCCACAAGCTTCCGATTGGGTCACTGAGTACTACATTCAATTCAGTGGTGATGGAAACAGTTTTACCACATATCTCGATACAACTGGAAATTATCAGGTGATAAATAAAAATTATACAAAAATTATTATCTTTTAACGAGTTTTTTTTTTTACAGTCACTCAATTTGCATTAAAAATGAATTTTTTCGCATAATTAGAGATTGTTGACTACCGTAGTTATAATCAGAATGCAGACTTTTTGTCCTAGCGTTAACCTCGTTGTTTCTTTAAATAATAATAGATAATAGTGAATTAGTGATTATAGGTAGAAGATTCTGAAAGGTGCAAAAACTAAACTTAAATACTTGCTTAGGCACCCTTTTTCACGTATAAAACCATTACTTAGTTTACAGTTCTATTTACAAGTTTTGGGTATTTTTGCAACAATTATATATATATCAATGACATGGTTCTTTTCTTATCATTGTTGTAAACTGCTTGTCTGATTTTGGTCAGACGAAACGTTACAGAAATATATTTGTGTTAGTGTGCAGCAGGACTCTTGAATTGTATAATTATATATATGTACCGTATGACATTTAACACATCTTTTAATTTAATAACTTGAGGTCTTTTTTTTTACTAGAGTATTTAAACCAGGACTAGAAGTTAGAGATAATTCATAGCATTTCATCTCATTTCACTCTCAAGTAATCAATACATCGAAAACTTTATATTATAAATGTTTGAAACTTGATTTCCAATTGTCATACATTTGAGTTGTAGTATTGTCATCGTAATTAGACATTACAAATGAACTGCTTTAAACATTCTAAAATTAATAATTTCATAGATTTATGCATTTATATATATTGCACTTTCTTTTTAAAAAGTGTTTTGTTGAATCATGAATTAGAAATGGTGTGCATATATGGGTTTATTTGGAGAAGCAAATTTACATTAAATGTATATAATCATAATTATATCACTCCTTTGTTATAAAATATATGAAACAGTTTCAGAAGATTGATATTAGAATTTGGATTTTGTGTAATTTATCATTTACTGTAATTTTTGTCTAGCTATTCCCTGGAAGTACAGATCAAAATACAATTTCTGAAGGATTTTTGAGAGAACCTATAACAACAAGATATGTTCGAGTCCAACCACAAGCATGGAATTCAAGAATTGCATTGCGTTTTGATGTAATGGGATGTAAAGCCGAAGGTGAATTATGCTGTTATTTCATAAGCTGTTACTTGTGACTGCATTGCAATATATTTACAATATTTAAGGCATAGCTATGACATGAAGTTAGGTTTGTCAGTTGACTTTACTTTTTACTAAAGATCACGAATGTGCCCTTACTGCAAGCTAAAATTTTTTGATGTTTCATTTTTATTTGTGGGAACACTGTTTTTATTCCACCGATAATTTCACCAAGATTTCCAAATTTCTTTCTCAATCGAGTTTGAACATAAATTTGATGTAATTGCACTCAGATTTGCTATATCTTAACATATTATTCATGTTTTCAGATTTGGCGACTTGCACAGATACTGCAGAATCATATCCTGATGAGTTTACAGTTTCATGTCCAACTGGTTGTGATGCCGGATCACCAAGAGTTTATGGAACCAGAGTTTATACAGAAAATTCTGCTATTTGTCCTGCTGCTATTCATGATGGAATGTTCTTAGGTATACCTCAATGTCCACTTCATTATTTTAATAACATTTTAATATGAATGTGTGAAAAAACAAAATACGGTAAGTATTTTCAGTTAAAATTTGTAATCCACCAAGGCTGAATATGTCCTGAAAATTGGATGTGTGTATTGAGGTGAAAACTTAGAAGTCTAGGCAGCATTTTACTGGTAAAATTTGTTATACCAATTTTACTGCACTTTAAATCAATAAACTAATATAAACGATTGAATTTCTGAGCTTTCGTAAAAGTTGAATTTTGTGCTTTATGCTTTGAATTTTTTAGCTGACCATGGGGGTACCGTGGATGTGAGAAAAATAAATGGAAGAAGTACGTATACTGGGTCTACTCAGCAGGGTATTACATCAAGTGATTATGGACAAGCAGATGCATCTTTTATTTTCCAGGGTATGATTTGCTGGAATTTATTTGAAAGATAATATTTTTTTCTCGCAAATTGCATTTAAAGAAATTTATCAAACTAATAAAACTGTGCTTCAATAGTACAGCATTGAAGGACACTAAAGTAACATGCGATTTTGAAAAAAATTTTTTTTCAAAACAATGTTTTTGTGGAATGTAATTCAAAACATTTATTTTTTAAGCAGAAGAAGTCGAATTTTGTATATTAAACTGGTATTCTTCAAACTTTTCCGTCATGACCCAAATTTTTTGGTGACCTTCAGGAATTGAAAAAAAACATAAAATTTACAATAGCTTCAATTAGACTGATATGTTTGCATATTCTCGCACAAAATATCGAATATCATCGGCTCTATTTCAGTGGCAATGGGTCTCACTTCTGGTTCCTAATTTTCCAAGTTTGATCGATATTTTGTTTTAAACTACCCAAGTGAGTGTTAAAATTTTTTTTACCGCAACCCTTATTGAGCCTTTTATGGGGGGTCGGGACCCCCAGTTTGAAAAGCCCTGTATTAAACGATGTAAAATACAGTTTCGCAAACACAAGGGTAGATGAATGAATCTTGAACTCTGCCATGGTAATCTATTTTTTAAGTTTTCTGTTTCTTTAGGTGATCATCTTGGCTGTCCTGCTGGATGGGATGGTTGGAAAGATTGGTGTTACTATACTCCAAGAATGAGTACTAAATTTAACTGGGCTGATTCGAGACAATATTGCCAAACATTTGGAGCTGATTTAGTCAGTATTCATAATCAAGGGGAACATGATTTTGTTACTTCAATGTTCTTTTATCAATGTAAGACTTAAGTTGAATGTTTTTTATATTCAATCTAATATTGTAGCTCAGTCAATGTTATATCGATTTACCATGAAGAAAGGTACTGCTTTTAATCATACTGCATTTTCTGGATTATATGTGTATCAGGCAAATAAGACGATGCTCATTTTTACCACTAAAAAAGAGGGTTTATTAATATGAACATAAAAAAATTGTTTATCTGTTGGTCAGGTAAGCACTGATATGCGGTCATAATTTTATATGGTCAGAACCAGGACCTGTATGTTTTTGTAGAAACTCACTTACAGAATTAACTACTCCTAACAATAAAGCGGTAATTTAGCTTTAAAAAGGTTGGAGAAATCATTTTGAACAACCCATTAACTGGAACCTTAAAATAACCTGTGAATATGGTGTGATAAGTATCATATATCCATGGGTTATTTTAACAGCTTTGTTTCTGCATTTTTCTCTGAATCAGCAAAACCTTGAAGAGGTCTTAAAATCACTTCATCTTGTGCTAGTCGTTTTTATTTTGAAGTACTCTTCAGGCATAAATAGAGAGTGCTTCATTGCACAACAAAATAACCCTACCGAAATCAGGTCAAAACATTTGGTCTAGAAAAGTGACTTAATAGCAGGAAAACACAGTATTACTCTCTTTGTATAAGGCATTCCTGGCTAATCAATGGTCTTATTGGTCATATGCAATTTTTCCGTCAGTAACCTTTGCCAATTTTACAAACATCACAAAAAGTTTAAATGTTACAAAACGACAAAATCATCCTTTATACCAAACTCCTTAATTCTGTAGATGCACTGGATTCTGCATGGATTGGGTTCAATGATCTTGATACTCCTTTTTATTATCAATGGTCTGATTTATCTGAAGTTACATGGACAAGATGGAACACTAATGAACCAAATGGACATCATGAGAGATGTGTGGAAATGTATAAAATAAAGTATGTATTTTGCACATGAACATTGTAAAAAGAAAATTCATTTTTTGATTAATGCTTTATTTTATACTTTTTGTGCAATTTTTCACTGAACAAGAGTGATCTGTTTTATGTGTATGTACTGTTGTCATGTGTCCATCGTACCATATGCACAGTATGAACAAAAATATTCTTGTTCTTTATTCTGACCAATTATATATGATAATGATCAATATTGATTCATCTGTGGTCTTGATAGCAGTTTTTTAAAAACCAATTACCATTATTAAATATATCAATATGTAAGTAACGTTGTTTATAATTTTGAGATGGCCTCGACATGTGTCAGAGAACCGTTGGTTTAAGTATTTGATTTTAAATCAATAAGCATTGAAATTTACCTGGTAAAATCTACAATTTTGTGATTTTCTCTAAAATTTTCAGGGGTCTTTGGAATGACCAAGCATGTGATGATGAGGCTAACCTTATCTGCAAAATGGATAAGATTCCTGTTAATCAAGATCAAGCTGTAATTGATGGATGTGATGCAGGATGGATTGCATATGAAGGATCTTGTTATTTCATTGATTTGACAAGAATGGTATGGATCAATTCTGAAAACTATTGCAAGTAAGTTTTTTTTATTTATTTGTTCAATTTTCATTTATTTTCTATTAGATTCTCATGGTAATTTTTAGCAAGTTGGAGAAATTTGAATTGGATACCAATTATTTTTTCTCAACATAATCGTCTTATCTATTTATAATCCAATACTTTTCATTTATTCAGGCCATGTGTGTGCACATAGAAGTGTGCACATAACCTGATATTTGGCACAATATTTTATATATGGCTATCACAGAGAAGTACCTAAGTCATATCCTGGCCAGGTTGGGCATTGTTATTTTAGGTTTGCTTTATTAAACCAGGTCTATAAATTTAGGCAGAACTATGGGGATTCCTGTGCCATTGATGTGATGTGGAAAATATTAATTTTAGAAACCACTTTTTGCTTCTAATATTTTGTATTTTTTACTTAGGGGTGTTGGTGGACATCTTGTGGCAATCACTAGCTATGCTGAAGAATTGTGGTTGACAAGTAAGATTTCTGAAGCGGTTCACTCATCTGATAGTGAAAAATTCTGGATTGGTCTCGGAGCTTACATCGATCCAAACAGTGATGCCTTGATATATTCATGGTCAACAGGAGAACCTGTTACATTTACGGCATGGGAGTCAGATCAACCAAGTATGATTTTGTTAAACCATCTATATATACCAGTAATTGATAATAATATTCTAGTGCCTACTCAAAACTTGTTTTGAGTGAAAGCGAGATATATATTCTTATTCCTGGTATGTGACACACAAAATCTGATATGGGGTTTTGAAACACTTATACTAAAACTCATGAATGTATATTCAAAGGTTTACCATATATTTAGGACTGTATTGAAATATATTGATCAATTTGAATTATGCTTTATCTCAAATTTGAAAACATTGTTTAAAAATTTAAATAATTTAAAAAAAAAATTTCCAGTTTTGGTCATCTCTGATACTCATGGATTTTTTATTGTTTTATTACAAACCAATTATCAAGTTTATATTAGTGCAGGTATAACTGTTAAATCTGCAAAATGTAATTTGGCATGTAAAATGAAAATTTGATTGGAAGCAAATAAATTTTAACTAGGGATAAAAAGTTTAGTCAAATAAATGTATGAAAATTTTTGCATTCCGTCATTTGTTGTTATCAAAAGTTTGTACTTATAAAATTTATAGTTTGTTTCATTGTTTGAAAATGACTAAAAACAAGTTATTTTCAATCATTTTGTATTGATAGGTTTGAAATCCCCCTAACCCACGTATTATTTGTCCAGCTATTTTCAGTTTGGAACAGAGAAACTCAGTTCATTACACTCACAGGTTGTTTATTAATAATTAACTTTTCAAAGTGAGTGTACTTTGGCATTTTTACTCAACACGTCACTGATTAATATGTTGTATTTTATAGGTATAAAGCACACATGCCATTTCCCATTCTTGTATGAAGGAATAGAATATTATGAATGCATTGAGGAGGGATGGCCTGCAACACTTCTAGGTCAGATACTTTATTATCAAATATTTTCCTGTTTGTTTTATTTATTTTTTATTAGTCATTTGTGCATATTTGATATTGCAACAATGTAGGTTTGCACTTTGATAGGATAATATTTGACAGACCTTCACCTGGAATTTTATGACCTTTGCATAATCATAATTTCGCGAATATTTATTTGAATACGGTACATGTCACCCATCCATATTTTAAATACTTTTTATAATTAATGAAAATAATCTAATATTTGCCTAGTTTGTCATGATATACTCACAATTTAAATTATGCTACTGACTGCAGTATTACAGGTTTTCACAACTTTTTTGTTAAGGACCTCACTTGTTTTGAAACTTTACTCACATCTTGCATTTTTAACCTGATTGTCCTTTTTCATTAGTGTATTGTATCAATTTTTTCAAATTTGTATGAAATTTAAAAAGACCTGAAGTAGGGCAGCAGTTCATTTGTTTCATGATATATTACAATAAATCTGCGAAAGGGTTGTTATATTTGTATAAATAGAAATCTGTACCAAGTAATACATGTAACTGATATACATATACCGGTAGTTCAAATAATCGGTTCAGAAATACAAAAATAAGTTTCTAGTTCATCCGAATGACATGTTCATATGGCCCATTAAGAGGGACAAAAGTAACTATAGGTTAAGGTTGGCATTTCATTGCTGTATTACTTTTAGGCCCTTGGTGTTCTGCTGACCCCGTTTGGAAAAATCACCCTGTTGCGTGCAATGGCTGGACAGATACACAAGTTGGTTGCTTTAGAATGGATAGTGACACTGGACTTTGGTCTCAAGGACAGCCTGTTGCTTGTGGATCTGATGCATATAAGTAAAAAAATAGAACACCAGATAAATTTTTGGTATTTTAGATTAAGGGCTGAAGATGGCATCCCATGAATATTTTGAAACACTTGGTTAAAATGAGCTGTAGTTTGAAATCTAAATTTTGTTATTTCCGGACATCAATAGATTTTAATAGATTGCCATTTCAAAATTACTAAAAATACCAAGAAGATCTTAAGAGTTTTTTTTATCATTCTTCATAATAAATGTGTTCTTTTGCTTTGCACATGCAGGATTTGTGAAAAACCCCGAGTCGGTTATACTAATCCAGCATTACCAACTACACCCTCTCCAAATGGTAACTGTCCGTTTGGATGGTATGCAGAGGCAAAATCCAACTATTGTTATCAGGTGAATACAGCTTTGAAGTTTGGAGCAAATTAGTCAATTTTTGCAATTCATGTTTGGTTTAAAACCAATTCATAAAAGAGTATGCACCTAAAATTATTATTCACATTGATTGCAAGCAGTATTTTAACCATAAATAATTTTCATTATTCGTTCAATATACTTCGTATTGAATGACAAGAAAATTTAAATATCTAGAATTATGTATGGGTAATTCAAAAACTTATAATTACTATTCTACATATAATAGATTAATGAAAAAACATCCACTGAAAGAATGACTTGGGAAGATGCAAATGTACATTGCCAATCCCAAGGTGCACAATTAGTCAGTATGCACAGTCCACAAGAGGAAGCAGTTATTGCATCTGGTGTGAGGTAGGTTTTCGAAACTCAATTTACAACATTCCGGTGATGAGAAGAAATCCACCAATGTCACAGAATTTTAACCTACAAACCTGAGAAAAGTGGTTTCATGGGCATGGCAATAGTGTTTCAAGCAATTATCTCTGTCCGCCAAATGAACAACTCACATGTTACATAATCCCCATTGGACACTAACCTTTAAAATTATGTTATACAATCAGCAGTACAATAGAAATTGTGTTTTTATTGCTTTGCGTGATGTAGAAACCTTAGCCATAAAATTTAGTGGCCACTTTGAACCACTCTATGTTGGCAAGGTAGGTTAAAGTCTTGAAAAAGTTACCATTTCGTCTGGTATAGGATGAATTGGGCAGACAATCAATGCTTGCATATAGACTTATTTGGGGGGGATTGTGAAACACTGCATTAAATAGAAATGTATGAATGGGTCTGATTCAAATGTCATATTATTTATTATCATAATCACAAAGAGATGCTAAAAAACTCTTGTCAGTGATGCTGCTTACTAGAACGTCATTTCAAGCTTGGATGCGAAGCATTTAACAATGGGAGTATATTGACTATACTTTTATAGTTGGAAAGAAACTACAAAACCTCAAATTTAAGACTGATTTAACAGAACTATGGGTACACCTGAAGTATGCGCACCAAGATGTCGCATAACCTGAACCCTAACCTGGTACACAACCTGAGTTCAGGTTGTGCGCCATCTTGGTGCGCATACTTCAGGAGGTCCGAACTATGTCACTAATATATTTTTATTTCATCAATATTATTTTTCCAATCATAGACATACAAGTGGAAGCAATTGGTTTTGGATTGGAATGAGAAGAAAGCAAACTGGTTCTTATGGATGGACTGATAACACTCCCTTATCATACACCAACTGGGTAAGAATTATGAGCTTATGTGAAATTTTAGTAGAAACCTTATGATTGACACATAGCACTAAGCCTTAAAAACACACAAATACTTTAGAATTGACTCAGTGGTGTGGCGCATCATGTTAAGTGTTAAGTATACGCTTGCCACAGCACCTCTGATTACTCTGCATGGGTTCGCAGGTTCGAATCCCCAGTGGGATAAATATGTGAGAATGGATTGCTGGACTCCTTGCCATCATAGGGTGTCAACATAATCCCTGGCCGCTTACTGCTTTCTTCATCATCAGGTCAATGCACCTGAAAACAAATAACTGGCTAACTGATCCCATACCCAACATGGACCGGACAAGAAGCCGTGGTACACCATATGATTAAGCCATCTTATCTCCTTCCTCCCTCTCAGGATGTTGTATATCCTATCCTTATCAATAGTTATGTCACAACAAAAAGCAAAATATAATGTTTGTGCATAATCAAGCCTTAATATTCAATATAAATCATTCCCAGGGTTCGGGTGAACCGAATGATTACGATGGAAGAGAAGAGTGTGGGATGGCATATTACAGCACGAGTGGCACCGATATGTATTGGAATGATATGAATTGTGAAGCAACTGAAAATTGGATTTGCAAAGTTTTAAGAGGTTTGAAATTATTCTATTTTGTGCTATCCCAATAAAATTATTACCTAGTCTTACAGTTTATAGGATTATTATTGGTAAACTAATATTGGTTATTCATACCAGAAATTATTATTATTTTGATCATTACCTTTAACCCAATTTTTCGACTAAGTGTGAATAACTTCAATGATTCACTGGCTAGCTATTCTAATACCGAGCTTGGGCTGGTAATTGGCCAGGAACATTTGGTTTACCAAACGATAATAGCCTTTATTGACTTTACTTTTTCATGTAAGTAAATTTTGGAAAAATCATTCAAAACACAAAAACTTTTACTAAGTTGTAACAATCAGCCAATAATATATTATTCTAATTCAAAATAGTTTGCTTGTTAAATAATTTTCAACAATTTTCAACGAAACATTTTTAACAATAAAATAAAATTTACATCTTCACTTATGTTTCTAGGAACAACTTTATTTCCACCTGTAACTCCACCTCCTGGAACTTTCTGTAAGTTGATATTTTATAGAAGAACCCCTGATGAAATTAAAACTAGTCGCATGGTCCATTTTTATGACATACCGGTAGATTTTATTGGGTATAGGTTGGTTACATCATTCCTAATAGTGATAAATATTGAAGAAACATGTTTTTTGTATTCCTCCTGTTATGAAGAGTCTTATATATCAATAACATAGATTGCATAATTTTTATTTTTGAAGTTGGGTGCTCTTTTTGCTTGTCGGGGTATAAATACTGATCATTCTTCCAGTATCTACTGTTTTCTGTGCTTATTATCAATAAAAATTATCGATTCTTCTCTAGCTCCTCAAATTTGTGGTTATGATGTTGACTGGGTTGCCTATACTCCTCCTGGTGGAGTGATGTATTGTTATCTTTTTGCTCTTTTTGCTTGTCGGGGTATAAATACTGATCATTCTTCCAGTCTCTACTGTTTTCTGTGCTTATTATCAATAAATAATATCGATGCTTTTTAGCTCCTCAAATTTGTGGTTATGATGTTGACTGGGTTGCCTATACTCCTCCTGGTGGAGTGATGTATTGTTATCATTTTGGAAATATCCCTAAGATATACTACGATGCAGGACAATATTGTAAGAGTCTTGGAGGAAACCTTGTTTCAGTTCACTCTCTCGATGAACAAGCATTCCTTGTTGGCAGAGTAAGCTTAATTCTTTCGTTGTTTGTCAGAAGAAAACAAAAAAATGAATTTTTTCAAATGATTTAATTCTAGTTTCTCATGAAATTGGATTCTATGATGTAAGCAGCGGATATAGTATTCTGGATTCTGCTATTTCTCATGTTATATAATTGTTTTTCCAAAGTATATATTTTATCGAATTGAGGCATTTGGATATTAAACAATTTGTGAACTTTCTTGAATATATATGTGTGTTTTTTATTCAAATATATTTTGAATAGTTTATTCAGATGTTTGTATATGAATAATTGTATCTTTTTTAGTCACTTCCTACTCCTAGGATATCTCAAAATCATAAAAATTTTCATTAAAACTCAGCTCAGAATTGTTAAAAAATATTTGGGTTGAAATGAAACTATTTAAATCTATCCTGACTTCCCACTCCAAAAAATTTCAACGTTGAAAAGATTCCATTAATAACCTGAATAATAAATATCATTATACATTATAGGCAACTAAAGTGGATATTCAGCAAATGTGGATTGGTTTGATCCAAGAAGCTGTTGGAGGTTACTATGTTTGGGTCGACCAGACGCAACTGGTTTATACAAATTGGTGGGGAGGAGAACCTAATGATTTTAGTGGTCAAGAATCATGTGTACAGATGGATCATAATTATGGTATGTGTAAAATTCGAGTGGGTCAACTTTTTCAAAATTCTGTATCTACTTCAATCCCTTCTATACTGTACCAGTTACTAGAATGCTTAAAATACAAATTTTTTTTGTGAATTTCGAGTCAAGAATACAGTTCATATATGAGCAGACAATCTTTTTGTTCAATAGACTTTTTGAGCATGCAACCTCAACCTAACTAGTTAACTATGAAGAAAACAATGTGTTTGATCAGCATATTGAAAACATCTAAAGCTTCGAATTTGTGTATTTTGCTAATGCCTGACAATATAAAAATTAACCACACATTTTATTGACTTTGTATGAAAAATTATTCTATATATCAAGTTCAAATTATATATATATATATAACTGCTGTTGCGGGGAAAAACAATTATATCATTTCAAAGTGGAAAATAGCAATTATTCAGCATTTTAAAAGTAATACATACTTGCATTATAAATTTTATTCCATAGATACTGTAAATATAAATCATTTTCCTTTCATAGGTCAATGGGCTGATTCAAACTGTGGCATAGTAAATGGATACATCTGCAAGAAAACTGTAGGGTCAGTTCCTAGTGAGCCAGATCCAACACCAACTATGCCAGGAGGTTGTCCAACAGATATACCGGTATAATTGATTTAAATAGCACAAGATGTTTTATTTGTTAGTTGATGAGATATGAGCAAATCTTCATATTTATGGTTGCCGGTCCATATCATAAATTGCTAAATCAATTCATTGGAAACATGGGCGCGATTATCATGCCATCTGTTACTTTAGTTAGTTTGAAGTTGTTTCTCAGAAAGATGTCTCTGATGTTGATCATAATTGAACTTTTTTACATTTACACTTGACACCACAATACTGCTTAACTTATGCAAGGGCAACATGCTAGATTGTCAAAAGATCACACAGAAGGGATTTCAGTTTTTTCATTATTGCTGGATCATACACCGACAGGTTATGGATTCCTCAGTCAACCACATTCACCTATTGGCATAAATTAACTAATAAATGGGCAAAAATCCATTTCTTGTTTCCATGTTTAGCCAATCTTGACCCCTTTTTCTCTTTCTTGGGCCTCAACCATGCTTTGACTTCGAATTTACTTTTGTATTTCATACACAAGGGTTGGCAGTTGTATGGCAGCAAATGTTTTCTACCAGTTGGATTTGAAGACACAAGTATGAGAAAAACATGGGCTGATGCAGAAGCTTACTGTAATCAACAGCAAGGATTCCTTGCTTCAGTTCCAAACCAGTACTATAATGGTGCATTTATATTTTTCTTTCTCATTCCCTAATATTTAATTTTTTAGTGAGAAATATATGTATGGAATATAAATTTTGATGTTTATTGTCAGTGATAATTATCGTATCTTGGAGGTGTGAATAGTACCAGTATTTAGAAAGAAACAAAAATGTGTACTAAATTTATAGATAAATTCTTACACCTGCATATTTTTATCAGTCATTATCTAATGTTGTTATTTTATTTTTGATGTGATAGATGAATATTGCTAATATTGAGTGGCTTCAGTTACTAACAGTTTGTGTTTTATAATTGTAGTAATGCTTTCTGCTTATCAAATTTTTTGTACTTCGCCAAAAACTTCATTACATATAGTCTTATCATTCAATCACTGTTCTTCAAAATAAAGTCATCAGCAAGAATTAGACCTTATTTAATTCTTAGCCTGATGATCATAGATCTTACACGCTACCACCAGTCCACTCATTGTGCTAACATATCTATTTTAATTTTCACAGCTTTCTTAATATCAATGGTATACTCAGTACGTGCTAGCATCTGGATTGGTTTAAGTACAATTGATTCCAACAGAGTATTTGTTTGGTCAGACAATGAAGCTGTCACTTTTACTAATTGGGAAGCAAATGAACCGAATGCACAAGGGGTTTGTATCTTGAACTATTTTATTTTATTATTATTTTTATATAGTAACAAACATATAAAAGTTACACATATGATTTGTTGTCTTCAAATTATATTTCTCCAAACAAGACTTTTACCAAACACTCATCAACACCATTACCGGCCGACTAGAAAGAATCTAGTCCATAAGGAAGTTGGCTGGGTATGTCAAACAAGAGAAAATGTTCTTTTTTTTTCAAATTTGGTAGCTTTCTATATCTGAATGACTACTTTTGTATGGACTTATAACACCGCAGAAAAAAAAGCCATAAAACAAACTTACAAATGCCTCTTTTTCAATTATTAAAGACTAATATTGTAAAAGTATGTCATAGTACCATTTTTTTTTATTTTTATTTTATTATTTAATTTGTTATCAGTTTAAAACTCTAGGAATAGTAGTTTTTGATTTTAAATGTTTAATTGTAGACAGAAGAATGTGTAGAAATGTATACATCGGGAAGATGGAATGATAAAGAATGTGATGCAACTCGACCATTTATTTGTAATGTTTGGAGATCAACAACTTATGCGGAACGTATGATACCTTCTGCTTTAATTATAATAATATAATAGTAGTATAATACTTTAAATATAAATGGTAAAGGTATTAGCAGCTTAACGTAGAATGATGCCATTTCTACCATACACCTGAGGGTTTTTATCATTTTAGGAAAATGTTAGTCATTTGAGTTTTTAATGTATGATCTGACTATAAAATTCATTAATTCATAATAATTTTCTCTTGTTTCTTCAAGTGTGTCTGATGATGTAATGGCAATAATCTCTTCGTAGTTTTATTTCCTGGATTCTGAATTCCAAAAATAAATTTCCTTTTAGCTACACCTGATGTTACCGGATGTCCAAATGGATATGTGAGATGGGACACAAGTTGTTACAAATTATATTCTGCTGATAGTGATCAACTTTCATGGCAAGGAGCAAGAGATAAATGTAGAGCAGATGGACAGAGTTTAGGTATATATATATCCACATCATTTTTATAAACATATTTATAAACATATATAAAAATTCGTAGCTCATTGTGGTTTGAAACAAATTGCACCTAGTTCATGCATATGGCTGTCATGGTTATATTTTCAGGTATGACAATGGACTTGACAAGTATTTGGAACTGGTATGAAAATAGTTTTCTTAAAACAATGTTTTGGCCTGATGCTCACTATGATTATACATGGATTGGATTGTACTACAATCATGTAAGTTAAATTTATATTCAATAATCTTCGTACAGTTTTAAAATAAACATGCTAAACAGTGGAAGTTTTAAGGGTATTTCATCGCCAATTCTGTGACAATCTGCCAAACCAAATTTAGACTTTATTATTTGATTTCAATCATTAAAAAATATACTGAAGTTAATGATGTGCATACCTTTTCGGCATTTGTATTTAGATTCTCACTATAGTTGCTCTAAAATTTACATAATAAGCCACTGTATAGGCACACTATATAGCCACAGATGAGAAATTAATTACATATTATTCAAATTGTCAATAAAAATTTTACAACTTTGCCAATATGTGTAAGCTTATCCCAGGCCAAAATATAAATAAACAAAAGACAAACATAATCAAGTAATAAATATCAAGTATTTTCAAAATATTTCTATTTTTTTTAACTGTCGATTGGAGTCTTTCTTTAGGTTAAGTCTTACTTAGTCTAGCCATCTTGCCCTATATACTACTCTACATAGACAGTTATACATAGTAGACGGCCAAACCATTTTTTTTTTTCAAATTCTGTATCGTTAACTACACTTTCCCTGTTACTTTTTTATAGCTAAGCATCCGAACATAAATAACAGTATGAATTTTATTTATTACCAGAGCTTAACCAACGGGCAAACTACATTCCAATGGTCTGATGGTTCAGCTTTATATTATACCAACTGGGAGACAAACCAACCACAAGAAATTAATGATAACCTGGGATGTGTGGAGATGAGAAATTATGGGACATGGTCTCTTGTGTCACCTTCAGTAATTGGCGATTCTGATTCATGTGACACAAAACGACCATTTGTGTGCAAACATGAGACTTGTGAGTATTCTGTTTTGAAAAAAAAAAAATACAATTTGCTATGAAAATGTTTGATGCTGGATTGTTAGGATATTTTTGTGTCCTTTTTGTGTCATGGTCCCACCCAACGTTGGTTTTTGGCAAGTTCATGAACAAATTTTTACTTGTACCATGTAAAAACATGGTGACCGTGCATTTGAACCCACGTACATATGAACCCATACATTTGCACCCGTATATCCGCGGGTTCAATCTATATGGGGGTGCTGGAATTCATGGGTTAGGGTTAGTATGGGTTTAAATATCCGTTAAATTTTTTTTCCATGGGTGCAATATGATGCAGGTGCAATTGTTGTGGGTTCAAATGTAATGGGACCTAAAAACAACTCAAAATGCTATTTATACCCCATTCCCATCCTTTCACACCGCAACCTGGGACATGAATGCGCCATAAACCTATTATTGTATATATCGTGTTGTGCAATACCTCTCTGTCTTGTGTATTGTACAAGAGTTTTATTTTCTATATTTCATGTCTGTTGTCCTACTAAAATGCAGCAGTCCTAAACTGCAGTTATACTTTGGGGTACATGTCGCACATCCATGTCTTAGGCCAGTAAAGTCTTGAAAATGTATCCCGTCTCTTTATACTGTTTAATTCTTATGCAGATACTGTTACATTTTTGAGGGAATTGAACATATATATATACATACAATAATTATAGTCCATTTTATGTTGGAATTAAGCTATCATATTGGTGGATTGTGTATGGTTTTGGCCAACTGCTAATCCTATCTGATTCATGAATAATTATTCCATTAAGATGATCTTGACATCATGATTGATGATATTCATCTTTGATACAAAATTAATATCAAACGTAAAAAATAATAATATGTTAAAAATAATTACCGGTATGTCCAGCATAGAGTATGAAAATCATCACAAAATATTAACTGGTACCAAAATTACACCCCACTATTACACAATTGTTTGGGATTGTTGTTTTTGTAAAGATTTATAGCACCAACATTCATTTGCAGTAATATTACCAACACCTGGAGATCCAGGCCTTGGCACTTGTGATCCAGAATGGGTTTCCTTTGGAGATTATTGTTATTTTGTAAGACCAGGTAAGAAATGCTAATTTTTGTGATGAACAATAAAATAGTTTGTAAATAATAACAGATCTTATAGAAACCTATCAAGTTTTGGTAGCTAGATCATTGGTTTAATAGCCTACGATATGTGTGGTAAAATGACAATTTTTGGCAATGCTTCTTTCACCTCTCCGTGCATTGAAAGTTTAATAAGCGTGTCTGGTATAAGCTCTTTAAGTTAGACATTTTAAGGCGTTTATTTATTAGTCTTCCTTCACTGATATATTTGAGAGTCTCAAAGTTTTAATTTTCTCGAATATCTTATAACCAATCTATTTCAACATCAAATTCAGGATATACCAATACTGATCAACGATCATGGGGTGATGCTGATTTGGATTGTAAAAAACGATCTGGATACCTTGTTAGTATTCATAGTGATATTGAGAACAAAGCTATAAAAACATGGGCTGGCGGTAGGAATGTATGGCTTGGATTAAAAAGGAATGCATGGGGTTTGTATAGATGTTTCACTTACTAAAATTTGTAAGGCAATTTTATTATGATTTCTTATTGGGTACTCCTGAAGTATGCGCACCAAGATGTCACATAACCTGAACCCTAACCTGGTACACAACCTGAGTTCAGGTTGTGCGCCATCTTGGTGCACATACTTCAGGAGGTCCCTCTGACAGGTACAGTGGTAAATATTTGACATAAAGTTCTAAGAATATAATATTGTCTTAAAATTGATTTACCTATTTCTGGAAACATATTACTGGTAGTACCCTGGCAAAATAAGATACATGCCGCTGTAATAATAAAGCCTTTTTGTTTTACAATGAGATTTTGTAAAATTTAATAATTTGAATTACTGATATTTTATTGTTTTAATTATATGAGAAAGTCATAATTACTAATCAACCAATCAAAAGAAATGCTAAATTCCTCAACCTTATTCCAGCAGCAGATTGTAATGAATTTTGTTTCTTGTGTTGAATCCAAAAAAGTATTTCAAAGACTATATGTTTAAGCGGATGTCTGAAATAATCAACGTCAATGTGGAATTTTAAACATTTTAAAATTAGATGCTATTTTTAGAACATTTTTATAGTTAAATTTGAAGCATTTTAAATAATTTTAGATATTACGAGTAATTTTGAAATTTTTATCGTAGGTGGATGGGAATGGACTGATGACACCCCATTGTCATATGTTTATTGGAAAGATGGTGAACCAAACAATGTAGGTGAAACAGGAGAACAATGTACTGAAATGTATAGCACTGGTTATTGGAATGATGCAATTTGCTCAAACTTACGAGGATATGTCTGCAAGAAACATAAATGTAAGAAGTAACTGATTATTTTGTACGGTTAATGTTTGTCATAAAAATCTTTATTTAATTACCCAGAAATAGATTTATTGATTGATCAATATAAGTGTCTAATAGCCTTCAGTGTAACGCATTTCTACCAACTTGAGAGCTACTTTTCGAATCACAAAATGACTCAACTTAGCTTAGAATTGATACTTCAAAATGGTTGACTTAATAAAATAGGATTTCAGTTGCTTCAGCTCTTACTAGATTTCTAGTACAAATGTAACGAATCACTGTCGTTACTGACTTATTAATTATGAAACTGATCCAATTTAGCTTATAGTCATTGCTCATTTGATGCTTCTCAACGAACTGATTGTGGCTATGATGGCATTAATGAATATGAATGTTTGGAAAGAGGTTGTTGTTGGGATCCAACCGATTCTTCTCAACTAACGTGTTACTATTCAAGATGTAAGTAATATTTGGCAGCAACTTTTTATGTACTAGGACAACACTCACCCGTTATCAAATGCTATTCTTTCATACTCATCGAATTCCTCAATGTAGAAAGTGAACAAATTAAAGTACCTTATTTATAATTTTCCCAGAATTGAATCTCAATATTTATTTTCAATAATTATTGTGCAGACAATAGGCATATACATTTGAATTTTTATCTGTAATCTTTGAAACATTGTCAACTACATTAAGAACACCAACAACGATCTAAAAAAACGATCTATCAAGACAAACTGTGTCCAATGATATGACAATGGGACTTGTTACAGTATTATGTTACAACTTTATTTGTGTGCATGTGCGATATGCTCAACTGAAGCATATTTGAACTGATGGCCCATTTTATGTTTTTCATTTCCATCCAATCTTTTATATTACGAAATACCCCCATTTTCAGATGACGCTGAATGTTTGGAGAAAGGCGGAGCTTGCAAAGATTACAGACATAATGTCTGCGATCTTGGTTATGAACAAAATTTATGCAGTGGCAATACTCATAACAGATGTTGTTTTTCATGTGCCGCCAATGACGATACTTGTAAGAGTTTTTTTGTTTTGCTTTGGATTATACATATTATATAAATTCTATGTTTAAATAATATTCAAAAGTTGAATATGCCTTTTTGTGCATGATGGCATTGTGGTCAGTGTTTTGACCCAACTATGTCCGTACCACAGAATAGATAATTTTAGATTCAGGCTTAGTTTACTTCACCAGTCAACAGGCCACTCTAATAAGATATATTAGATTAAATAGTTTATTTCAAGTCATAAATTATACCACCTCAGTAACTGGCTGTTTATTATTACTTATTTGGAGCTTTGATTGGTCTAATAGAAAATACTCTACTATGAAATTGAAACTTTCACCTCATCAAACTTAAATTGAGTAGTCCATATCAATACATGAATGTTTTCAAGCTTTGCATTCATTATGGTATACATGCTTCAAAGTTCCATTTTATAAATTTGACCAATTCACTGGGTAGTTGGATAGTTTTCAATAACAGAAGCTATAGAGGTTTGTGCTTGTGTAAAATTGAACTTTCATTGTATTACTAAATGCGACCTTTTTTGTTTTCAATTTTTTATGTTCTTTTTGCACTTGTTACTTAGGTAATGACCAGGTTGATGGTTGGGAGGAAGACGATGGCCCATGTCAAAGTCAAATGTCAGGAAATTGCCAGTATAATTCTAATTATTGTGATGGATTATATTATAGTGGATACTGTGGTGGACCATCTGAACGACAATGTTGTTCTAGTAAGTTAAACAGTATCCCGAGAGTTGAACCGAATAGCAATTTTTTGGTTAACATGTTTCTAACATGTATCAACTAGTAGTCTATACTAGGTCAAGAAATATAGGTATAATTCAACACCTTAATGTAACACTATATAATAATAACAAATACAAAAATGTTGCTGATTTTTGTTGTGGTGTAAATTTCAAATAGAAAAAACTCTTGGAAAATTTTGTTATCAGCACTGCACTTGTATGTCAGTTGTCAAAAATGAATCAGCATAGACTTTCAGAAGGCCTAGTGGCAGCATCAAACACGATAACACTTTTTATTCCAGTGACAGTGACTAACGTTTTGTACTATTTTTAGACAAGTTCCCACCAACTGATAAACCACCACTGACAGAGCCACATGATACTGAACCTCCACGTACCGATGAAGGACCCAAAACAACGGAACCCACAAACACTCCAGTGACAACTAAACGAGTAACGACTACAACTGAAAGTGCTATCCAACGTAAGTCTGCTAGTTAGTGACTGTTTCCAAAACTGTTATTCAACGGAAAATTTTTACTATTTCACACTTTAAGTAATCATTCATTGAAATCTGATATATATATATACAACTACGTCCCCAGTTTATTTTAGATTCCAAGTTTTCTATCTTTCTATAACTCACTCCTCAGTGTTTATTTTTATCAATTATTTTGTCACCTGTTATGCTGATTATAGAGTCGAAATAAATTTATGTTTATACCCTATTCACACTTTGTTGGGTCATAATAGCATCTTATTCTTAAGTCTTCATATAGCTCGACTAACTTTTCACTAGAACATAATCGAACTTTGTCAGATATTGATGTGTACTATTAACTTTAATTTCATCGTATCATTGTAAGCTAGATATTATATATATTCGACAATATAAAGAATATTGAACAAAAGATGAAAGGATCATTTACAATGCATTTTATAAAATCCACAGTTTGTTGGCTAAATGTTCGGAGCTGACATAAAAGCTAATCTTAATGTTATGTTTTCGAAATGCCTGAATACACATCGGCTCATATTTTTTCAGCGGAAAGTGGACTGAGTGGCGGAGCCATTGCTGGTATTGTCATAACTGTTGTCTTCCTTGTGGCTGGGGCTGGTGCAGCTTTTTATTTCCACAAACAAGGAACTGGATTCTCGGGATATAATTCGTTCATGCCATCATTCAATAAAAAAGAAGAAAATGGAAGCGAAGGGGGAGGATTTGACAATCCAATCGTTTTTACGAAAGTATGTTTTATCTAGAAATATATAAGTAATTTGGGGATTATGAATTTGTACATTTACATGAGATGTCTCACAACTTCTTTCTCAGTAGACCCTTAAGCTAGCAGTAGACGGATTCCATGTCTGTAATAATATGCTTCTTCAAACAGTTTTGTGAAGTTACATTTACTAATTAGCCTATAGTGTAAAGTAGTGTGAAAATGTCAATTTTAATATCAATGGACATTTTCCAAACTCTAGTTGCTACCGGTATGTAGAGAAAAAATTACATCAACTTGCCCGTTTGTGGTGCTATTCAACAGCACAAATAGGTATCACAACAAAAACAAATAAGTATTTGTATGATTAAAATCATTAAGTAATATGCTAATTAACGCTACTTGAATTGTCAAATAACTCTTACCAATGTCCGAACTAAAATGTCGAATGTCCGTTTGTATTGATTGCTGTATATGATTCTTGGCAGTTCATATATGAAAATTATTGTTGATATGAAATAAGCTTTATCTTCTAGTATAAATTTCTAAATGACTTAGCATGGTTGCAGTACTCTTAACAGTCATATTTGGTTAGCAGTTTCATCAATAGTTTTTGTTCTAGTTGAAAATGTCCTGTCATTGAGGGGGATGAAAAGATTTGAGTGCCCTAATTATCATTTGATCCCAGTCTCCTCCATTGAATCGAATTTAAATGTGACATATAACCTGTTTTATTATGTTGATATTTTCTCAGGATTCTGCTGATGTTGGAGGAATAAGCGACGACATGGGTGCAAGTAATGCTTAAGCTGTAAACTTTTATGCAATAATATTGCCAATTTCGAATTATGTTGTATCATTTTAAAATTCTTTGTTTGTTTTATTTATACAGGCTAGAATTTATTTTGGTTTACTTTTGCTCACTGAATACAGTACTTGTCTAGCATTGGTTCATTAAAGGCTTCATACATTAAATTGTGTAACCCACTAATTTTGGCATTGTTACAGTACACTGTAATAGGCTTTCTCATTTGGCTCGCTAATTGCATTTCCGTTCCTAGATTCGCAATTTTTATTTTAAAAGGTTGGACGGGATAGAATATTGTATCACAGAAGCATTGACCTTCGAATGGGTGCCATTTTTTCAATTCTATTTCCAATCTTTCAATCTCATGTTATAGACTTATCCCGTTCCAGATGTTTTTCACTATTTAGATAGATAAGATACATTGTTGGTGTGGGTTTCGCATACGCTTTTCACGTGCAACACACTTAATAACTCTTGTTGGCTTCTGCGGTAGATAAATCACCTTTAACTCCATTTTTATTTTTTTATGTTCGAACGGTAATCTTGAGTTTCCATTGGTGACCATCATAAATTCTTGTCTGTCATTATTTCAATTTCGTAATCAACCCAACTCTTGTGCAATAAAATTCTTTCATGATTTCTACTTTGTGTGTATTTATGATGAGTGAAGTTGTTTATCGCTTGCTAAAACAATAAATAACGCTAAAGACGGTTCGGCGGTATGGCGCATCGTGCTAAGCGTTGCGAATACGCTCGCCACCACACCTCTGACAACCTTGATCTTACACCCGACATGGACTGGTAACCGGACGAGAAGCGGTTCGCCACATGATTAGGCCACCGTATCGGCTTTCTCTACCCGGTAATATATATAAATACTTTTCTGCCCAGTAATGTTAACCAAGTCTGGTACAAAATATACTAATTTCATGCACAGCTTGTGTAACAAATACTAATAAACATAACGATCGCTCGACGACAACAACTTAACAATTCATTCGAATATGCCATTGCTGAATGAACGTTACCCATATGGTACCGGTATGGGCGCTCTGAAAGTATGTGTGCCAAGATGACGCACAACCTGAACCCTAACCTGGTTCACATACTATGTTCAGGTTGTACACCATCTTGGTACACATACTTCGGGAGCACCCCGGTATATAATGGCATTGTGTTGTAACCATTGCCTACGAAATATAATTGTGAAGCGAAACACAAGCCGATTCTGGAATCAGATTTGAGTAAAGCATATATGGCAAAGTTCGAAAATAGCACTAATGATTATTGTAGATCTGGGCTTCGACTTTTTTACGTAATTTGGCATTCTTTCTCAACACTCAACAGACAATGAGTATTGAGATATTTTGGTTGTACATGGTATAATTGGGTGGAGGTCCGGTATCTCGAAAAATATTGGGAACGCGAATCCGTTTAACTCCTTATACCATATATAAAATAGCGCAGTGATTGTCAACCTTCCTACCCCGGCGTGCGTGTAACATCGAAATGCTTTTAGGTCGCGAGAGGTCACAGGATGAAATCGAAAATTTCCATGCAACGTCTCCTGAAACTGTCTTCGGTTCGTTAAAAATGCCTGATTTTTCACGATCTAATACCCCTTTTCTGTCCCGCAATATTCAATCTATGACAACTAACAGGAATTCGAAATGTCTCTCTATTTTACTTCATTTATGTTCAAGGTAGCTCGCGGTTGCGGCTACTCATGACAAAATAAACTCATTACAGATCTAAAATACCACTTCAATCCCTGGACATAAGGATGTGAGATCACCTGCCCGACAATATTTAGTTTTGATATATATTGCGCTCATGCAAATTCGTTATTGTCGTTAGAAAGATCTGGTATAAGATCTCAGAAAGTATATATATTCAATTTAGTACATTGAAATTACATATAAAGTATATTAGTAAATCAGAAATACATATTCATCGCCTCATAACAGCCGCGGTACGGCTCCTGAGTCAGTTGTTGAGATTACACCACTCGTTAAAATAGCCGACTTTTTCAACGGCCCATGATCGATATAAATATTTGAAATGGTTGCTTTATCCACACTACAGGTGTGCCGCGGGAACAAGGAATATACGAGATTTGCGATGTCTTAGAAAGTGTTTTTGAACTGTCGCGTTCCATCCCATAACAAAACCCGTTGGTGTTTTAGTTTTAGTGTTTTATAATGCCGCTTTTTCCATCGAGAAATTTTTGGTTGCGGATTCACTTCTTTATTCTATCTTTAGCATCTCGTCGCTGATATGATTATATGTATAATAAAAACTAACTCGTTTTCCCCACAGGTGTCATGGTTCCATACGAGAACGCAAAAAGTAATTATCATGCCTTCGCGGCACAAAATATTTGTTGAGAGAAATTTCCGATTTAGGGAGGTAAACACCGAAATAAAGATTTTTACGGCTTAAATAACACGTCACGCGGACGAAAACACTCGGAGATTTAAACAAAATGCAATCGCAAACGTCATTAGGGACTTTATTTTTCAGCGCTCAAGGGCCGGGAAAAGTTCACATGCATAATTACTATTAACATTTGAACGGCTTTTTTATGCTACAAATCTACATAAATTCATTTGCACTTCTTTATTGTGTAAACTGTAGTTTGACCTGGTGGTTGTCCAAAGGTATTGGTAGTGAATCTTAGAGACGTTAGGCAAGCCAAGAAGTCTGTAATTGTTGTGTATTTTCAACACACAGTAATTATTTTTGCATTGCTCAATAGTAAAGTAAATGATTGAAATTTTACTTATATACGTATAAGTTTTACGTATATGCAGAAAATACCTTAAAGCGCAAAGAGCATACGTTTATTGCGTGTTTAATTTTACATAAAACTTAAGTTGACTTCACCAGGTATTGCAAACTGAGCGGAAAAAAGAGAATGTATGATGACCAGTATTTGTGTATGGCTTTATACATACGACAATAAAAGGCGAAATTGTACCCCGATGCGTTTTATACCTATAAGCAATCTGAGCAATGACGCTATGAGACCAACACCCCTACAGCGCCATCTTATTATAAAGCAACCTGCCCAAAAAGTTTAAGAACCACTAATCTAGATTCTGGAAAAAATCACAAATCACCAAAAACAGTTAAAACAACGAACTGTCAATTACATTTACGTGGCAGAAGAAAACGTTTGGTTCATTACTTTCTTCAGAGACAAATTCTTTCTTAAAATCGTGAGCGTCTTATTAGTATTTTAATGTGGATTGAACGCTGGATACAATACCAGTTTCACTTGATTTTACTAATAAAACGATCATTTGAAAACGAAATTAGAAAATTATAGTATTTTTGCTCTTTGTTTAATGAACTATTCATTTTGTCTTAATTCCACGATACTGATGTAACATTGTTAGGTTATGCGAAGGCGATAAGGTCTAAACTCTAGAGATACATGTGGCTAGTTTTTTTTCGTAACTTGTTCTTTTCGGCAACCAAGTGTTTGCGTTAGCAAACAATGAAATTTCCCACAGGCCGACGTTTGGGACGCTGTACTGGTGCCTGAGCAGTAAATTAGTACTATTCTCATATTAGATAGAAACAACAGGAAATCGAAACCCTTGGTTTCAAAGTATCGAGAGTTTAATATGTTGCCACAAACCTTTAGATTTGTAAGATGACATCAGCGAGTATGCTCACAACCCGCTCACGTATGCGTAAGTCGGGCAGGTACTCAAATTTACATGTATTTGACAATCTGCTTCTAGCATGGCATGTCCGTTTCCTCACTTATTCGTGAAAATAATTGGTTTCGCTGTTTCATTATCTAAAATATACAAATTCTTCTGCTCTGCGAAATATTCCAAATGTAGAAATAGCGTTAAAAAAACCAATACTTTGAACCCTGCGTTGCGCGCTAGTGTTTTGTTCCCCACGTACGTAATGATCGAAACGAAAAAAGGATTTTACCCGGCGAGGTTTAATAAGAACGAGCGATTAAGTACTTTCTCTTGCGTTGATTGTTTATAAAGGTTCCCTGTTTGAAGAATTGGTAAGAACAATCGTCTTTTTAAATGCAAGCATGTTCAAACACTTATGATGAATATTTGAATAAAAAACTCGCTATGTCACAATACAGAAGCTACTATCGATAGTTACTGGTATGACCTTTACGAATCAGTCACAGCATGCTAATGTCTGTTTTGAATGAATCCAAAAAATTCTTGTTTGTGTGATTCAAAATCAGTTGGGAGGTTGATGGACTGAATTTTACGCAGCAATAGGACTTGGTGAGCGAGTAGTCTTTTGGTTTTCGCTCCGTTGTGTTAAATGCAAGGGAAAGAATTTTGACAGTTATTGGAAAAGAGCGAAGACTGAAATATGTAAATGCAAAATAGTATTTTGTTGACGATGGTCCATATTCGCATTACGTAACCGCTGAACACGGAAATGTTGCCGCCATACGAAATTAGCTTAGAGTTGGTAGTATGTAATGTGCGTCACAAATTACAAGTGCGTAATATTGGAGAGTAATATTACAATTAAATCAGCTATCTTTCGCAAGTAGTACAGGTATCAGCGTCTTGTTTTCGCTGTTAGATGAGAAATTGTAGAGGGATTGCGTGGTCGAGGTTATGATTGAACAAATTGACCTGGGCCGCTTGTTGCTAATTCATCTAGATACTGACTGCGTTTCTAGAATAAAGTTATATTTACTGTCATTCTCACCCTGTAACTGTAACTAATATCTAATTCTAATTCAACACATGCCCGCTACTAACGGGAGGTATATTCTGTACAGCATGTGATTTTGAGCTTAAGTAAGCTTGTTTGTCGTATTCAGTGTTAACAAGAAAGGAGTACCATAAATACCTGGTGAAGTTGGCCGATTTTAGGGTGTAGTTTCAACTTATGTCTGGTTCAAAAAAGGAGCAAACTTATAGACTTGAGAGTATCCTAACTTTTATTGTTTTCGAAGAACTGATAATCAATCGGACGCTTAGCATTAAGAGTTCCAAAGGCCCTTTAATTGATTTTTGCTTCAGGGCTTAAAATGAATTTTTTTTTACAACTCAACGCATCTGTAACAATGAATTGGTAAATTTATTATCCTCATAATCGACAAGGACTCGCAACCCGAGCCAGGGGCCGTAGTTAGCCTCACGGTTCAAGCCGTGTTATAGCCATTGTTCTCCTTGGGGCAAATTACGAAGAACTATCCACGCCGGGACATTGCTTGTATCTTCGGATTCAGTCTGAAATAATAAGCCCGTAGCGTGGGCCCCCTTGTGGTTGATATTCAAAATATAAAATTTAAAAGTTTGCAATAACAGAGTACTAACCGTTCAAAATAAATGTTGGTCACAACTTCCGAGATACCTGTTTCAACAGCTATGCAGTTTGCGACATCGACGGTGAATATTAGTAACAATGTTGCATCAATCACTATGAAATTAGAAGATCGTAGCAATGTATTTTTGTGCCAGTTTGATTCTCAGGTGAGCCTAAACAATGTCACGTGTTATAGTACAAATATTTAATACGCAGTTTGAAGCCATGTTGAATTTTGAAACATTGATGAGCTGTAATGGGAAGCAGGGTCAATACGTGGTACATTCATTTGGGAAGGATATGCGAATAAATTGCATTAGATCGAAGGTCCACGTGAGGTATTTCAACTCGGACAAACAAGCAACAGTACGCGGGAACTTGTATGTCTTTCTGAGCACGGAGATGTTTCAGATCCGACTAGGCTTATCTCATTTTTTTGCATCCTAATGGGAGTGCTGTCCCTGAAGTTGTTTTTAACCTTATTACAGCAGGTTCAAATAACTGGTCGTGTGCTTTTTATTGTTATAATTTTGTTGGAAATTATATATCAGGTGTTTGTTTATTTATTTTTATTTTTTTTCAGGTAAACTTGTCGATACCAATTATATCACTTACACTTGGGCTGATTGGACACATTGTCGGTATCGTATCAGTTTTATACCGTAAATTTCGTCCACTTCCTCTCATGGTCTACGCATCTGTTCGAAAGTTGAATATAAACGAGAGCACAGTGAACCACATTGAAACATCTTTGGGGGACGGTGAGTCCTGTCTTGCTCGCGTTCCACTGAATTCAGTAGGAAATAATTTATGCAAAATCACCTAAAACCAATAACAACAATACTACATAGTGTGGTGGTTACACAAAAAAATTTTTGCGATAATAACTGTTTTACCCACGTTTCTGGTTGAATATAGAGTCTCAAATTGGATTTGCGACCCTGTTCGTTTCTCCATTTTACGATTGATTGATTTGATGTCAACCCGATAAAAATCAGCATCCCCAGAATTAAAAATGCGATCCGTTGTCTATAAAAGCATTGTATCTTTTAGTAAGTACTTTCTAGCCCATTTTGTGGATCGCAGCATATAAAACTCACTAAACAGCTCCAACTAATCCTTGCTTACAGAATCCTCCAACAATCGAAAAGTAGAATTTCACGGGAAAAAAACTCCGGCGAAAAAGTTTGGAGCTTTTCATGTGTTTGCTTGTGCATTGTTTGTCGTCGATATTTTCGGCATTTTGATGTCATCGCCTGTTGAAATTTACTTATACTTTTATGAGGAAAGCGTAGAGGTAAAATTGATTGTTTGTTTATTATTCACGACTGTTAAAATATATAATTTAGGTCCTCCAAAGCAAAAAAAAGGGGAAATTTGATAGAAAAAATTCTGGTTCTCAATGAATATGTTTAGATCGCTTTGATTAGATCGATTCTTTGATACATTGATTCAATATGATTATATGTCACATTATACACTTTATGGCGTCTTTGAATTTAAGATCCCCCCATAACAAAAGTAAATAATTTAAAAACTTGTGCATGCATACGAATAAATTTATATAGAGTTCGAATTTTCAGATATAGAAATTTTCGTCAATATTTATTTCGCATTTATAAACTAAAAAACTATTTAATCAATATGTCACATTTTAGCGAAGGCAGACAACTATAACAATCATGTCTATTTTCATTACCAGGCAAGTACCCGGAACCAAATTTGCAGTTTAGTCAAATTCACGACTGTGTTCATTCCAATTGCAACACTATGTTTCATAATGTTGTGTGCTATTGAAAGAGCAATATGTCTCAAATATCCGTTCTGGTATCACGCAAAAGTAGAAAAACTTATCGATAAGGTGAGACCGTAAGCATTTTGGTCAATAAACAGAAATGGATTAATTCATCAACTTCTAAGTTAAGTATCGAATAAATACAGTTGACTCGAGTATTGTCGAGTCAATATTTGGGGGTTTCAACCTCGCAAATAGAAAATTATTTGCAATTGTGGAATAACATTGGTTCAATTGACATTCCTTTGGATTAACAAAAATGGATATATTTATATATAAAATTTGATATTTCTGCGAAATTCATAACGTCTACAAAACATTAAAATCCATGAATTCATTTACATTAAATATCTCATTTTTGTTTTCAAATGATAATTCTTATTTGCAATATTGTATGCCCACATTTAATTAGAAATTTTCGGAACGCAGGAACTCCGTCCCGCCCTAAAAACTACAGTTTTGATGTACAAATGATTATTTCCTGTAATAAATGGTTCTCAAATGATGTAAAAGTAGGTATGACAGCAATATAACTTTTATTTACGTATTTGCAGGTTTTTTATTTCAGCATTATTCTGGTATTATTTTTTGCTGCATTATCTTCAATACCTGCCAGTGGCGTTGTGGGAGTTCCAACAATATATCCTTGCCTGTTGTGTCTTCAAGTGCAAACAAAAGATGAGGTGGGTTGATATTTTCTTTAATTTTTATTCAAAAAGCGTGTTTGTTTTCCTGCTACTGTCAATATAATCATACATTCGTTACAGGCTTCCGTACTACCGAAGCTTGAAGTTGGAAACGGGAAGTTTGGATTATTTGAATTTTAATTTCATACTAAATTTAATCCCTTCACCACTTACAGGATTCAGCAGATAAATAGTATTTTAAAAACTGCAATCGTTATTGACTTCCATATTTTCGTTCAATATACGCTCAATATTTCTTTGAATTTATTCTAGACTTATTTCACGCTAACGGTATTGAAACGCCTTACTTCCTATTCATTTTTTTCTCTCCGAATTCGACTTTATTGTGGAAGATAATACCACAACATAAAATTTCGCAAAGCGTTGGTTTGGGGATGGCGGCGGATAATCCTCAGATGAATGGAAATAGTTTGTATATTATCCATGAAATAAGTGAAGTTAAGAATTTTTTTTTCCAATGTGTGTCGCCGGATGTCCAGTTGGAGACGGTAGCAAACACATTATACTTGCAGTAATCAGTAGTTTATTTTCTCACCATACTGAATGCACACTTGATATACAAATTGCAATAAATGTTGAATTTCATAGCAATTGACAGGAACTGGGGAAGGACCAAAAATGGTCATCATAGGTCTGCGACACCGAAATTTAAAACGAGTCAATATTAAAAATTGAAATAAAAGAAAGCAATAAACACAAAGAGAAACTTAGTCATTCAAAAATCTGATATAAATCTTCATATACAATTTTAGAAAGAGAGAAAAAATAGTCGTGGAAATTCAATTGCTACACAGTAATTATAAGCCATGGCTATTTGACGGTGTGCGGAATATTTCAAGACATACATGGATTTCAGAGCGAAGACGCTGAAGTGAAATCAAAGTTATTAAATCTGAACTCCTCATTATTTTCCAGATTTTCAGTTACGTGATTGCAATAATTGGAATTATTATGATGTTGATTATGACTGTATGCAATGTATATAGTTTTATTGTGCTTTCGGTAAAACTGAAAAAAAATAGCAGGTTTGGAATTTGTGAAATGCTTGATAAAGTACAACAATACATTTTTAAAACTCTCAAAAATATTCTATTAGCAGTCGTTGTTGGTTTATGCAACTTGTGAAATCATTTTAGAGACGTGTCTTCGGATCGAAAATTTCGACTGGTATACTTAAATGGAAGTTCACCAATAGATATTCCAATAATAGGTCAATAGGATAATACAGTGGACATAAATGGTATTTAGTGTTATGGTTATGAATAAATAAATAAAATATCCACTTCCCAGGTGTAATATGTCGTTTGTACTAGTATTTGATTGTTCGGAGACTTTTTGGGAGCAGCGCTGTAAAATACCGAACCCAAACAAATTATTTCAAATAACTTTTTTAACATTTTCAGAAGCACATAATAATATTGACATCGTAGAAATATCTGTGCTTTGAACTCAAAATCAAATACGCTGTTCCTCTATGAATGAATTTCCTAGCTCATTACACCTTTATCCCTCCTTTATTCAGAATGATCACGAATTATATAAACTGGAAAACGACAGAAATTCAGAAAATGATACAAAAGATAATCATAACATGTATTACTGTTGCATGTTGGCTACCTTTTATGGTGAGTTGATCTAACAGAAAGAAAATTAACTTAAGTTTACTATCACGCGCTTTCATATCCGCTATTGAATCCGTAACTAGCAATGAATGTTTCCTCGTCCGAGTGTCTTTGCGAGTTGTGTGTCAAAGCTGGGTTGGTAACTCCAAAAATTACTAAACCCGGAATAGAAATTTTGAATTGCTCGGGGTCGAAAAAGGAATTCCAGTTTTGTTATTTTCGATAATCAAAGCCAAAACTTCGTAAAGAATCTCAAAAGATAAGTAGACTGAGCGGTTTAACAGTCTTTTCAAGAGAGCATGTAACGTTGAAGATCGTTTTATCAAAATTCGATTACCTTGGGAATTTAGTGTTAGTGTTGGAGTCAAAATTTTTATATACCCGGGACCATAGTCGAAGTCAATTTTTCTGAAGTCGGTGGTTGGAGTTTATTGTAAATTTTTCTCGGCCATGGCCAGCCGTGGCTAATTCTAATCAAGTCAATCACAGTTGTTAGGACCGTTTTTGGTCACTTCTATTTGAAATGGAGATATCTCCTAAGAGAAAGTAACCGCTCGATGGTGCAACAGGGACGTGTACGCTTCGCATACAAAATCCAACAATGTCTCGGGAAAAAATGCCTAACCATTCCAGTGCTTAAGAGGAAAACGCTATGGATTTCCGATTGCCCTGCTATAAAAATCTATATCGTACGTACGCAAAACATTGGCAAAAAATATTCAAACATTAGTAATTTTGAAAATGTTAAAATAATTTTAGCACAATGAAAATGTCACTACTATATCTAAAATAGTTTATATTCAGCCCGAAGGCCGGAAATTAGTTTGGGTAGTTTGTTTTTTGCATAGGGAAAAATTGCAAATTTTTGGCGCAATGATGAATTGCATCAAACTAACTCTTCCCCGCTACCCATTTACATTCGCGTGTGAGTATAGTTTTGAACAGTGGAATTTGCCAAATTATATATTTTTCAATAGATCCAGTTACTGATCTATCAAGATGAAGCGAAATTAAACCGTCAGAACAAAATAGCGATGCAGTTGGCGGCGATAAATCTTATTTTGAATCCATGGGTGAGCTTATTTTGTATTTGCTATTTAGTATTATAATTGTAAGTTATAAATATCTTTTGGGTACTTGGGTCTTGACTCTTGGATTCCCATTACTTGACTTTTTAACGACGCGACGGTTTCGGAAAAGTATTATCCGCCTCGTAGTTATTTACACATAGACCAGAGCTATTTATATCTGTTGAATAATTTCGAAGAGGAAATTGAACGGAAAGCGTTGTTCCAAACTATGTTGCAAATTGTCTGCTTTATATGTTTTTTGTACAGGCACGGGCATTAACTATCTCTTACCCTAAAATTTGCAATGTACGTTTTTAAACGTTTATTTAATTGAAATTTACAGTGGTTTCAATCTTTTATAAATTTTGAGTAGTTGGTGGAATTGACACATCGTATTACACGACCGCAGTACTTGTCCAGGTCATTTTGGCTAGATACCAACAAAGTTGCATGAAAATTCTCGCATCGTGAAACTAGCCATTTACATAAACTGAATTGACCCTATATCATTATATGTTACGAATAATACACGAAAATTACACGTCATGTTAGTTGAAGATTTTGGTTAACAATTGAATTTGGAATAATCCGCAGCGATAAGTTTGGCTTGACTTCGAACAAATTCATCCTAAAAATTTTTATACAGATATTCTGGCTGTTACGAACCAGTAACTTGATTCGATTTGTCAATTTTGTGGAATTCCGTTGCTTCCATTTAAAACCTAATCACGACGATGATTGTAAGTGTTATTTTTTATTTATCATTTTTGCTTTCACTAAGCTATTTTTACTATTTTTCCTCGAACTACTTATAATATAATGAAATATAACTTAAAAATAAAACGCTCAACATACCGATGTATGAAAATGAAACAGTTTATAGTTTTGCGCGCCGCGGGGAATATTCTAAAATAATGTATGTATTGCTACTATAAATAATATATTTTTCAAAAAGTTTTCGATTTACCTCACATGTTTGTTTAGAACAATTTCACTTTCATTCTCACCATAAGCCCTTCTTATTTTTATGAGATGTTTTGCACCTTCTAATTATAGTTACCTTATGCTCTCTCTTTAATTTCAATTTTTATCTTTCAGTCATTTCCTCGAGAAATTCGTTATGCTCAGAGAACAAATATAACAATACAGACAAAATCGTGAAACCTCAAAACCAAAAATATTTGTGTCGATGATGCCTCTCAATAAGTAAACTGAAATGCCATACAGCCTGTTTCTTTTTAGAAAATTCGAAGTAAACAGCACTTGATGTGGACAATAAACAAAAAAGAATCATCCGTGAACGATCTCTGCAATTATGAAGACATAATATAATATTGAAGTTGTGGGTGATCTATATTTCATACATGTAATTTTGAAAATATTTAGGCCCACGAAAAGGAATCTGGCATTGGAAACAGTTATTTACGTAATCAATGTGGACGAATTTGCTGTACAGTGGATAGAACGTGAACTGCATACGCTAATTCAATATTTTTGCATAAACTGAAATACCGCTCGTGTTTAATATACTAATGCAAAAATTCTAGAGAGCTATACAACAAATGATATACAAGACAATTGCGATAAAGTCAGGTGGTCACGGTAATAATGCACTTGACGCATTGTAATTAGATTTAAGGTCATGGAGTCACGTTTTTAAGACGCAACGAAATTCTCAATACACTCCTATTCTACCTCATTTTCAGATTGTAAATACATTCATGCAAAATGAATTAAGCATATGAATGAAGTTAGTTTGCCGTTGTTGTTTGTTAGCTGTTGCCGACAAATATTCGAATCTTTGTAGTGTACTTACGTTGTGAAAGGACCTAGTTGATTAGATAGACTATTCTATAGCATTTTTGCCGGTGTTTGTTTATCCCAAATTTTATTCGAGAACGATTTTCTGATTTATTTACTGCGCTATGGACCCGAATTTTACACATATTTGATATTTATTGTAAAAAATATAAATTACTATGCAGATTTTTATTTGATTATCAATGCTGGTCAATCAATAGTTTTTACGTTTCAATTAAAAAAGACACAAGCACTTTTATATCACCTACTATATTTTTAATATGGTTTCGTTTTTCAATAAATGGAATAGACTCTCGTAAAATGTTTTGATCTGTTTTATTTTGTTTTCTATATTGAGGTATAACTGGAAATTAATATTGTTCTATTGTCAACAAGATTATAAACACGCAAGCCGCGATAAACAAACGGTAATTAAAAGCTGCGTGATAACCTTGAAGTCTCCGAAGTTTGTGGTAGGAAAAGTTGAAGCAAATCAAGGATATACCGGGTGCAAATCTGCTGCAAAAATAGCTTACAAACCTCAAGTACTGCCCGCGAGCAATTCGCTAGTTAATTGTCGTAAAGCGTCTCGATGTTTAATGTTTTCAATTAGATTACTGAATTTGAACCTACTGTCATTGCAAGTTCCTCTATCTTTTAGTTTGGTTGCCACATTGCATTACGATAAACGACTGCACAGTACATTATTTTGAAATCGTCCCCGTTATCCTCTGTTAATGCGCTCTTGCAGATATGGAATTTGTTTCATACATCCATACTAATCTTTTCATAGCTCGCTAAAGATGGCAACTGATGATACATAACTATATTTCCTATTTACGTGTATAGAAAAGGTTGTGAAGTAGAAATATAAAAATTCTCCAGGCTATTCCCCAAGCTTAGTTGCCGCACGGCGCGGAGTGGCAAACGGACAAAAGGGCCGTTTTTCGCTAGATTTATAAACCCTCCTACTTGTTTCTTCTTCACGTGTATGGATATGCAAACTCTTATCCTGGTATATATAATTCTTAGTCTTGCATGCCTATATGCAAGAGAGGGTATTTCTATTTTCTTGGGACTATTTGGTGTGAAGGAGGCTAAGTTATATTTTTTTTAAACTTGAACTTATAAGATGGGGAAATATGTTTTCTTCCACATGATGGTTAAAAAATAAACTACTGATTATTGACGATGCAGTCGGCTTGACGGAAACTAATATTTTGGCAAAGACAACAATAAGATGATCAAAAGCGTTTATTACAAGATAACAAAATCCTACTAGAACCGTTTCGAGCATTCCATACCACATTTATATTATGTGGTACCATCACTCAAGGGTGTTGTATTTATGTCCAAATTCTAAATTTTAGTAATATTTATACATGCAGTTTATTTCGTGTTGTGTTATGTTTTATTTATGAATGTGGCATTGTCTTACAAATTCCCTTGTACAAACAGTTTTGTATACTCCACCCTTACCCCTGTTACCACACTCACCCACTCTCCTTGCACAACTGTCTGTATAAGGGACCATATGTATTCGATTTATTTATATTTAAAACTTTTCAAAGGGGGTGCATGACGCACGTTTGTGTTTTAGGCCAGTATGGTCTTGTGCATACATCCCGTCTTCAGTAATGATAATCTATCTACGCTTTTGTTGCTTTTTACGAGACAAATAAACATACATACATAATTCACGTTTTTTTTGTAATTTGGCATAAAGTTGAAGATTTCCAAGATCGGATTTAGAACATTCGAATCGTGATCTATTTCGGTTGACTGGAAAGAAAAATTGCGGATCACGAATCTTAGCTCCCGGCGTAATTAAACTATTTTGAACATCTAAACAGGTTTGTTGGTCGTAATCATATCAGAAATAGGATAGACGACGCTTCGGGCCTAAACATTACCGAATGTCACGAATTTCATATATATACATATGCTATCATTCCTAAAGCACAGCGGATTTAAACGTTAATAGCGAACAGGAGGAGTGATATAGAAAATATTTAAAATACCGATATTTGACGCGAAAATAGTAATAAACCAGTAACAACGCAGTTTTCAAATAATACGTGCCTTAGGCAGCAATCATTTTTTTTGCGACTGGTTGGTTATAAGTGTCGTGTGAGTCGTGAGAACCCCATTCTAACTGTCTACGTCCGTTTGCTGTAATTTTTTTAAAGTTTTTTTTGAAATATTTCGTATCGCTATATTAAGAAGATTTTAATTTTTAATGAGTCGTAAGGCTTACGGTAATTTTTAATAGAGATAACTTTTAATTAGGCTTCTCCGAACTTTTCATAAACTCCAATGAGATGTACATACGAACTTATGCCAGACGTCTTACATAGAATTTAGTAAGCTGATACATGTCTTTCATAATAAAATAAAACGGATCTTTAAATTGAAAGCACATTTTTACAATGACAGCTTCTATTATTTTGATATTTTTATAGTGATAACACAACTCAATTATTAAACAGCCGTCGATAAAATGCTCAAGTTTTGTTTTGAGATTGTTATTGTTGGAAGTTTTCTGCAAAGTTTGGAGGGTGAGTATTAATTTGCTTCGCTAAGAGCGATATGATACAGCCTGTTTAGCTTTCACTGCAATCTAGTGTGAAATATCAAGAAAAGGCGAAACTGAACAGAACAAGAAAGCCCTTTGTTTCCGTGTTAAAATATCTAGAAATACGTAGATCTGGTATAGATAGAAATACGTATGATCTGGTAGAAATCCCCGCAAAATTTGAATCCGCTGTGGCTACATAATTTCATGAATCATACTAGTTAAAAACTAACCGAACTCCTTGTTCAAGCAATGAATTATATAACTTCCGCATATTTGAGGGAGACTTCCGCGAGGTAGCGCGGGTGCTGTCTAACCAAAGTGTCTATAGTCACTTTAGTTCTAACTTTCGGGAGTTCCCCGATTTTGTTTGTGTTGTTTCAAGACTATTTGCAATAAGGTGGATCCGATCCCACTTTTAAGTCGCACATCTGGAATGACTGCCCAAAATGTAAATTACCGTATTTTATGGACCATAAGGAGTACTGGACTATAAGACTTGAGTATAGGCGATAAAGCGATCTATTTTCTAAAATGAATAAGTATTTCAAGCATGCTTTATGATCTGTAAAATATGGTACTACATTACAATATGAGCAATATAATAAAAATGAAATAATTAAAATAAAGATTTAAGCTGTTATATTGAAAAACAAGGCATAAAACATTGTGATCACTTAAACAAACTTAGATATTCTATGAATGAAGTTTATAATTTCATAAGAGATGATATGTTTTTGTTCTAAACAAGAGAAATGAAGAGTATGAATATTTTTTCGTACACTAAATTTATATAGTAACGGTTGTATTTATTTGAATTCTCTCTCTATATATATATGTCGATAATGCTTCACTCAACGTAAGTTGTGAAATACGATTTATAATGTAACATATTTTCAGCAACCTTTTGTGACAATGTCATATTCAAAAATGGAGAAATAACTGAATCAAAGAAGTCTCCATATCCTGTGGGAACCATCCTCACTTTTGAATGTGACATCGGGTACAAAGGCGTTGGAACCAATCAAATAAACTGTTTAAGTAATGGACATTGGTCAGATCCTGTTCCTTTCTGTCAAGGTAGACTGTTTAGTTTGAAACAGTTAGGTATTGATGCAAAAATCTGTTCTAATTTCAACATTTGCTAATAATTGTTTTTTTGGATCTCCTGAAGTATGCGCACCAAGATGGCGCACAACCTGAACTCAGGTTGTCTACCAGGCTAGGGTTCAGGTTGTGCGACATCTTGGTGCGCATACTTCATGAGCACCGTTTTTTTCATCGTTTTTAGCATAAGTATTTATTACTTTCCTATGTTTCAGGTTCTCATGCTTTCACTTGAAATTCTTTCTGCCATGATACCTAATTAGGGGTTTTTGTTCATATTTATCAATTTCAATACCAGCTGTCATTCAATTATACAAACCACCACCCGTAATTTGTAAATAAGACTTCAAATCTATATTTCATTATCTATAATTCAATCAATTCAATCTCTTATTCAGTTTTCTGGTCTTGTATTGTGTAAATGAGCAATAATGAAACAGAGTGTGTGACTTTTATATCAGTCATATGCTCTTGTTGAGAACTCACAAATATTACACTTGTAAAATGATGGATTTTTTTACCTAATAGTGTCAAAGCTGTTGATATCTTATAATTGGAGTCTAGATTTTCATCATTATTTTGAACAAAATTTTTTTTGAAACAAAATTTTTAATAGTATCAAAAAATTTGCACACACTCATGCTGAGGCTTGGCGGTGTGGCGTATTGTGCTAAGCGATAGGAATGCACTCGCCACCACACCTCTGATTAGCCTGCGTGGGTTCGCATCCCATGTGGGATGGTTATGTGCGAGAGGATTGCTGGACTCCTCGCCGCCGTAGGGTGGTTCACGTAAACGCTGGTTCATTACGGCTTCCTCCACCATCAAGTCCATGCTCCCGAAAACAAATAACTTCCTAACTAATCTCATACCCGACATGGACTGGTAAGCGGACGATGCGTGGTTTGCCACTTGACCCCCACAGCACGTAAATCCTATCATGAGAAAGTGTGTTGAATGTATCGAAGTCAGATAAAACTTACATTTACAAGACATTTAGGATTGGAGTCTGGAGAAATTTCTGTTATTTCAACATACAAATTTAGTTTGATTACATTAGTTTCAAATTTAATTTTGGTTAGTAAAATTATTATATCAAAGTATTATTGATCTTCTTTGAAATTATTCAAAACATGATATGAAATGAATAGCACTGAAGATTTCCAATTGACTCTGAATTTATTATGCTCTATTTCTCATATCAGCATTTGTTTGCTCAAAAAATTTGAAGGAAGTAGAAGAGGGAAGAACTTGTCAAAAGAGTTGTATCGACAGCTTTGACTGTCCAGGAAGCTTCACACGATGCCTTTGTGATGATGTTTGTGGAAAATCTTGTTACAATCGTGGTAAAGTTAATATAAAACAATTAAGTGTTTTGTTACGTTTGATTGGTTAATAATATGTAATGAGAGGTATTATTATTTTCTTTGTCTAGCGTTCAAATGTCCTACACCAGAAGCTCCAGAAAATGGTTATGTCTTGTATAACAAGTTATCACATGGACATACAATATCCTATGGATGCGATAAAGGTTATGCTTTATCTGGACCCCAAACAAGAACTTGTAGATCTGATCAAAACTGGTCTGGATATCAAGCTAAATGTATTGGTAAGTTGATCCAAACAGAATTAAAACAATCAGAACTCATACTTTGGTTTTACTGTAAAAAGGAGGGTGATGGATAAATATGTGAAAATGAGAGCTAGCCGTGCATGGGAATTCTGATAATGACAGCCAAGTGTAGTAGTTTTTCAACTTTGTAGCCCATTTAAAATAATTGTGTGACCTTCCGCTCTTCAGTAAAAATAAATTGTTTTGTTTTGAAGTTGAAGAAACCATACTTTTTATTTTAAATCGCCTCAATCAACATAAGTAGTACAAAGTGAAGGCTCTTGTTAATGGCCCTCCAACATATGGCGTCATGGCCATCTAGAGTGGGTAATGGCCCTGTCTGAAAAACACTGGCCTAGTAGTTAACCTGATTTACCTAACTGTAGTTGCATAGCACTTGAGATATTTCAAGTTCAAGATGTACCTATCAATTCTTGGTGTAATAAAATAGGTAAGTTATGAGTGAAAATATGATCTCAATTTTTTTGGTACAATAATATATTATGATTGCTCTTGCACCTTGTTGACTTCCTGTGATGTATTTTATCTCTTTCACAAACCTTTAGAATATGGAGTTTGTGGTCAAGCAGGGGATGTTCAGAAAGAAGTAAAATCTAAAGTTATTGAAGGTACAGATGCACAAATAGGAGCATGGCCCTGGCAGGCACAGCTCTTCCGAAGAAGTGAGGTAATTTGAATAAGAATGATGGTATTCTTAATTCAGTTCAGCATATTGTAAATTTAGTGGTCAAATTCGATTTATTGTGTTTGTAAGTCTCCGAAATCTCCGAAATCAAGTATTTTTTTGTTGACAATCAACTGGGTTCTACCTACTTATTTGGCCCTATAAAAATGCTTCAGCTGACTATACTGAGTGAAATATATTATGGCTATTGGGACTGTTTTAGATGATATTGGTACATAAAAGATGAACTTTCAATTTATTTAAATTTTAAATATTTCGAGTAAAACAATTCTAAAGCAAAATTTTATTGAAAAATAAGAAGTTGGGGCGTACCAGTGCAAATAGATTTAAATAAATGTTTTTATTCGAATGATCTTCATTCAACTTATTGATACTAATTGAAGGAACTATATTTTATAGGGTTTGCATAAAGACAGTGGCTTTGGTGGTGGCTCCATTTTGAATAACAAATGGATACTTACAGCTGGACATAACTATCCCTTGGCTTTCCCAAGAAATAAAAATACTAAAGAGTGGAAAAAATTCTTTTTGGTTGTAGTAGGTAAGCTATATAATCACAAGTTCAAATCCATGCTCAAAACGTCACTTGAAGTTTGAAAAATTTGGCAGAATATCTCGACATGAAAATATACAAAGCTCTTTGTTTACGCTATGTTGCGAATTCCTTATTTTGGGTTCACTACATTAAAATTTATTTATATTCTATCTACTGGGTCCTTGAACTATTCAACCATTTCTTTGACAAACTTTTATTTTGAAAACTTATCTGTTCGTTAGATCCAAAATAAACTTCTGATAACTATTTTTAACTTATTTTTTTCTCTGGGAGGAGTGTGAAACATGCTTTGTATACTGTATTTTAGTACTCTTGTGGTTTCTCTTATGATGATGGATGCACTGATCGCATAAACAATTTTTTTTTCAATATTTTATCTTTCCATTTTATATGCAGGAATATCAGAGTATCCAGAAAAAGGAAAATTACCTCCTACTGCAGACATCATTGAACCTGAGATTTTATTTACTCATTCAAAATTTGAAATGGAGACTAATGATTATGACATTGCATTGGTAAGCAAAAGTTTATTCAACTCAAAAAAAATCTGATTTATATTGTGAAGATCATATTTTGATTGAGCGATATGCCAATAATTGAAAAGTTTTGAATAGTTACAATGACGTCTTTGATTAATATTGTACTTTCGGTACGCATTATAAATTTAACTACACACACACACACACATATTATATATATATATATATATATATATGTGGAAAACACACACTGAAGACAAATTCTTTATTCTTATATTCAAATGGGGGTGGAATTGTAGATGTCAGTCAAAAGTTTATCCTAATTAAAACGTTTATGGACTAATTCAGTTGATGTTATAGTGAAAGATAATGTTCTTCATAAATCTTTATTTTACAGATTAGAGTAGGAAACCATGTTAAGTGGGATGGAGAGAAATTCGTCATTGACTCAAGTCAAACTCCTGGGGTTCTAATCTACTCACAATATATACGTCCAGTTTGTTTTCCATGCATGAAGGATTATGATTCTCCGCCTAACGATTTTGTGAATAAGTTTGATTCTGCACAGTGTTCTACTTTAAAAGGTTGTATGATGAAAAATAAGACAAATTTCATTGTCTGTGTTTCAGTTTTTAGCTCACTTGTACAAGACTGACTCATTAGTCAGTTAGAAACTTATTTGCCTTTACACTGCTTATTACTTGATATTGGCTCAAAGATTTATGTCATCACTAGATGGTCACAATTTTCCTCACTATACATGATGTCTACGCATTTGAGGATTAACTGCCTAACCTCATATCTGAGCCAGAATGGTAACATGAAAAAGGCTGCGAATCAGCTCATCTATCTTTTCATCAAGATGTATATAAAAAATTCTATTCTATAAAAGCGATTTTATAAGATGAAATTTTATTGAAATATAATTAAATGAAAAAAAAATGTGAAAATATGTAATTTTAACTAAACCCTTTTATTTATATTGTCTAAAATTGCCGTCAATATCGAACAAATAGTTGAACGAGATTCAGAATCTGGAACAGAGACTATAGTAACAGGTTTCGGATTCAAAAGAGATCCTGGATCATCTTTTCAATATGTACCTAAAGTTTTACAACAGGGACATTTGTCAATATTGGCTCAAATAAAGTAAGATCTCTACATAAATTTAAATTTTACTTGTTTTCCCAAACACTGTTCTTTGCTCAATTTTGAATGCATTATTGTGACCTCATAACCATGTAGCCAAGGTAGAAATATATTTGGATTATGGATGACGGATTATGATGATTACATTTAAAATGTGTTCTTTCGTAAAATACTCAGGTATTTTTTTTACATATAAATGTACATAATGTATTAGATTGCTTGGTCTCGGCCGCTTAGCTTAGTGTTTTGACCCACTCAAAATACATCCCAAAATACATAATGGAATATTAAATACTCACATATAAGCCGAGTTTGAAACTCTAAAAATAAGTTGCCAAACTAAGGGGCCGGCTTGTATGCGCATAACTCATAACACACTACAAAAGGAAATGAAATGTGATCGCTCGTTGTGATTGTACTCTCTCTGTAATGCAAATAACCCCGCCTGACCCCGCTGATAAGGACTCTTATCTCTGTAATGATGGAAATATTTACATTACAGATAATAACTTTTCAGTCATGACCATATATGAAATGGCTTGTTATTACATTCTACCAGACAGATTTACAACTCATTCCATTTATAGAACTAGCGTTTTCTCCTGGTGTAAACTTCAAAAACCTCACTTTGAATATTATTACCGATAATATCTTTTCCGTAAGGACCATACATGAAATGACTTATTATATTCTACCGGACTAAGATACAACTGGATTCCATTTATAGAACTAGCGTTTTCTCTTCGCGTGAACTTCAAAAACCTCGCTTTTCATGGTATTACCCATTATATCTTTTTAGTCATGACCATACATGAAATGGCTCATTACATTCTACGGGACAGAGATACAACTTTTAACAATATAATTTTCAATTTTGCGACCTAATGGAAATAAATGTAAAGTAAGAAGCCTTGCAAAGAAATGGCAGCAATGTCCACCACGCAACCATGCAAATGTCTCGCAACAATATGAATTGCATAAGGGTCGCACAGAAGATAAACAATCAAAGTGCCGATTTTATTTATCGTCGTCCTTAAAATGCATGGCAAAACGCTAAAATTCATTTGAACATTTCTCTTGACAACTGAACATCGTGGTGAGGGCGAAAAGTGACTATTATTCAAAAATCAGCCGAAAAAGTATTTAAATACTTTGATATCCTTGACTGTGCATAGGCGTGTTACAATTTGTAGGCTTATATGCACGATCGGTGTATATATGGGAATATATGTTATATATATATTTAAACCTGGTCATTGTATGAAAATAAAGTTTTGCGTTGTACGTTATATATGTTTATTCATCTAGTAATGATAAAAATATAGATTAGTTAACAATGATGTTGGAGACTGGATTTATGCACAATACCAGATTGGCCTGAAACACAAATGTCCTGCATTCACCCCTTTTGATAAATATTAAAAAAAAGTTTTTTCACAGATATAAATTAATTGAAATTATGAAAATTGTTTAAAAGAGATGTTTGTAATTTTTCCTATGAATTATTTGCAATATCAAATATAACTCAAAGGATTTGAACATGCGAATCTATGCAAAATAATCAGTGGTGTTCCTGGCGCTTCGCACAATGCGCCAGAAATTATATGTGTTGTTGGTCCCATTCCAGACATATGAAAAAAAAATTCAGACAATCTTGCAAAATGCTTTTTACATTTTATTCAATGTTTGTATCCATTTTATACTATTATACTACCATATTTCTGTATTAAACTATTCTTAGGTGTATACAGGCAGCACAGAATTCTCAAATAGCCAGATTTACTGATAGAATGATTTGTGCAAAAAGTCATAATAAGTCACAGTATGTGGACTCATGTCAAGGAGACAGCGGAGGACCATTGGTTAAGGTATCTAAAGATACAATATACAATTGAAAAAATAAGTTGTGGCTGTGCCAGATTTTTACATGTATTCAGTTTAGTCATTGACTGAATGTTCCATGAATTAGAAACAGTTGACAAGGTTTTGGTGAGCAACTCTTTGTTCAATAATTTGTATTTCATTGTATGGTTTGAACTTAATTGCACCTATTGACCCTACCTGCTTTAAATTTTAATTTATTTCAACTGCTTAACTTGGTCTTTTATATTGTATTTTTTTTTTTTTTTTGGATCAAACCAGCATTCATTCAGAATAATTATGTGGCCTTATACTGAAACTAATCTGTATTGAGTCAATTGATTTGAATAAGGATGAGTGAGCAAATAATGAAAAAATGGCTAAACTGCTGTTCATTGCCGGGTACATTCTGTAGAATAACCTTATCCAGTTATTGCGTTTATGTTTCTGGACCAGTAAAATGGTCAAATGATCTCCAGAGTAACATGGTTTATTTATATGGCGAACCATATCGTATCGTTCATTAGGTTGATTATACTAAAATTCTGAATTATGTTTATCAAAAGGACCACTTTTCAATTTTTATGGGGTGTTTCAGCCTTTTCCTCAAAGCGAGGCTCTAAACAAGCAGCCATGATATGCATGCCGTAGGATAAATTATTCATACAATTTGACTCTGAGAATGATTTCTGGGATTCAAATCTGCATGCAGTTCGAATCTGAGATTAATTTCTGGGATTCATATCTGTGTTCACTCATGATCTTTCAACCTCATAATATGACCCACTAATTTGCCATAGCAAGTGGTAGTAGTAATTTGCAAATCATCTCCACTTGAGATATGATGCATTGTGTATTTTATATCACTATCTCCAATAAGCAAAACCATTTACAAAATTCATAAATGAGCACTGAAATATTATTGTTTCAAATAGGTTGTTGGCCCCAAAGAAAATCGACGTTGGATACAAATTGGAATCGTGAGCTGGGGTCTAGGTTGTGGAAATATGTATCCAGGGTTTTATGCATATATACCATATTTAATGGATTGGATAATAATGACAATAAAGAAAAATGAGGAATCAAATAAAAAAGTACCAGGTATATTTTCCTTACAAATCCTGGCTCATACGACATTAGACAGGAGAGTTTAATTATTCAATAACGATGGGAAATCTCATCTTGTGACATAAAAAAACACATATGAAAAAGCATGATGAGATGACTCTTTAATTGGGCTTGCAAGCATTATGGCAATACATTAATATAAGTAAAAAACACAATGAGATACTCTCTTATTAGGCTTGAACTTTGTGAGCATTGTTATAATAAATACCTGTGAAATGAATCCTTGAGCAGTGAAAATAAAAGTGAAATAAGTGGACACAGATTAGCGCAGACATTCTGGGTTACATAGTCTTCAAAACCAATCTAAAATATGACATGTGTACACACCACATGAGTGATGTATATATAATATGCTGAACCTAAACGAACAGCAGACTGAACCGAACGAAGACATTTTTGGTAATGAAATATGCCACATGATTAAAAAAAATTATCATGGTAGAGGTTTGGAAACAACTTTTGCATCATTTTATGTAATCCTTGTAAACTAGAATTGTTTAAAAAAGGTCACATGTAGGTGAGGAGTAAAATCTCCTATTGTGATATCACTTAGTGGAGATGTATTTTAGGTACAGAGGCACCAGTTACAACAAAAGAGATTACAACACCAACTACATTACCCAGTGAAATAGGGTGTGGCCAAATAGATAGCAAGTATGCGAATAGAGGAGAAACAAAATCTGTGCCTGGAGAGTGGCCATGGCACGTTAATATTATTATTACCAGATCAGCATGTAGTGATTTTGTGAGTATATATGTTTCTACCATATTCTGTGAAAAATATTTTGCTATGATTGAGATAATATATAAGTAAAAATATGAAGTTTTTAAATCCAAGGCAATTCAATCCTATTTGCAAATTGCACCGCGTTTCCCAACTGGGAAGTGATTTCTTTCCAGGAGGGGGTTTTGATTTGTATTTGCTGTAGTACTACTAATATTCTTTAGTTCCTCTTCATTACTATCATAATCATTCATGCACACATTATAAGCTACTTAAATAACGATATCTCCAAAATGTCATGTCCCACTTGTCCCAGGTGTCCCACTTGTCCCTTGGTTCAAGAGTGGAACAAGTGGGACACATGGTACAAGTGGGACAAGTCAGACACTTGGTACAAGTAGGACAAGTGGGACACATGAGTAACGGGGAATATGTGGTACAGGTGGGACATGCAGGACAAGTGGGACACGTGGTACAAGTGGGACAAGTGCGGCACGACATTTTTGAGACACCCCAAAATAATACAAAAGCATAACATTAGCTATGAATCTATTAAAGATTGAAAAATAAAATACTCCTTATGCATAGTGAGGGAGGAATTGAGAGTTTGAAAATTGGTGAAGGAATTTAACGAAAATGGTTAGGAGCCACTGAAATAGAATAAAGGAAAATTTTTGAACACCTGTGATAAAGGATTGTTGGACTACTCTACCCAGCCTAGATTATGTATACATTTGTTGGTTATGGCTTTTTCGCTAACAACGTTCATGTATCCGAACAACAAATAACTGGTTAACTCTTTCCGATCCCGACATAGTATATCATATTTCTATTTTTCAGATTACATCTGCATTACTATTGCACTCAGGGTCTGGATCACTTATAAACAACAATTGGATTTTATCAGCATCATATTTATTTACTAGCATGAAAATTGCCTTGAGAGAACAATGCGCCATTCTTATTCTGGGTGAGTACTATATTTGAATACCATGTCAACTGTCATTTACACAGCCTGAATGTATAGTCGTACAGATGATATGTGTAGAGCAGAAGCCTGTTTTTTCTGGAGTCTGTTTAATATCTCTAGAAAATAGCAAAACAAGCTACATTTTGCCAAAGCCTTGGAAAATCTCCATACTCATTGTAAATGATATCCTCAAAAATATAGTTCCTTTTTTAGCATCGCTTAGTCGTTCATTCACCTCTAAAGCATATAATGAAAAAAAAGGGAAATTACTGCATTTTTAAGGTTCTACAAAGTTTTCATCATCTTCTAAAGAAGCAAGAGCTTTCCAAGCAGCCGAGATTTTTCTCCATCCAGATCGCAACATAAGAAGCCGATATGACTATGATGCTGCTCTGGTAAATGTTGTTCATATTGTAGCAAAATACTTCACAATATTTAATAGACTGCTGAATGAGTCTAGTTTTATTTCTCCTGCCGTGTAGCATTAATATAAAATAAATAGTTATGCTAATATAGTGATTTTCCTTTCACACAGAAACCTCTTTAGGCGATCCTTATATGGTATACTAATTTTGTTCAGATACGAATTGGAAAACCGTTAAAAACTGTTAGAAATGGATGGATGGTTGATGATTCTGCTCAACACGGCATTGTGCAGTTTAATGATTTTATTCGACCAGTTTGTTTACCGTGCTTAACAGAATGTGGAATGTCATTCTCTTACACTGACAAACAATGTGTAGCTCACGGTAAAAATGTTTTATTGAAACCAACGTGGGAGTTTAAAAAATTATTCTTTACCGATGTCGATATATTACTCAAACATTACGTGAAATCAAATTATCAATAGTTCTAATACATTTTAAGCCTTAGTAGTTCTGGTTTTCAATATTAATTTTTCACTTGAACATTTCACTTGATTTTGAAGCTGTTTTAAATAGGTTTTATTTCCTGCCAGTCATTGCTCTGAAGTGGACTCTGGGCAAGTAGTTACTGAGTAATAACTGAAACTTTAATTTCATTGGAACTCTGTGATATATTTATGATCTCATCTTGTAGCAAATATGTACCGTACATTAAATTGTCGTCTGTTTCAGCTTTTTCATTCAAACAGCTTGTCATTTCTCAAAATAATTCAACTGGAATATTGTACAAAAAAAAATAATCATCACTAGCACTTTGCTTTTGATTTATTTTTCCATTCAATTTTTAATTATGGATTACCGGTATGTGTTATTTTAGGGAAAGCCCTCGCTTCCATGATATCCCCAACAACTGGAAAAAGGGCGCTCATGACTGGGGTCAATGTGAGAGATACAAACGTGCTTGCTAATAACGATCTTGAGAAAGATACTGTGACAATATTGGATAGGGGCAGGTAAATGTATATTTATAGCTAATGCAGAATACAGACCTTCGGGGCGGGCCATTGATGTTCAGTTGATGGTCTCCATTTTTCTATATTATAAAATATCAGCAGCTGCATGTTTTTGATTGTGGATTACTGAGTATTGTTACGAATATGACTCATTGCCTGCATGCTGCCAAATGTGTGAAATTTTCCAAATAATGACTGACCAAAGATGGATAAAGTTAGGATGTTGTCCTTGGCAGTGTTTTTAATATAGCCTTCCTGAAACCTCTAGAACAGAGTTTCTCAAACTTTTTAGGGCGCGGACCCCTATTTGAGAATCCTAATTTTGACGGAACCCCACGCTTTGCTGTATCAATTTCAGTGCCTAACCAACGAGTAAAGATAATGTTGCATTTACAACACAACACAAACGGCATTAATGTGATGAATTAGGTTGCTTTTCACTGCACAATTTTTTGATTCTCGGAGCAATTTGTGACAAGCAAACCTATAGATCGGACGGCAAGTCTCGACCTGTATTTTGTCATCATATTTATAAGAGTGAAAATGCTGCCTCATGAATGTAGGTCGTTGCAAAAGGATTTTAATTGCCTTTTCTGACAACAATGGATATTTGTTCGCAACGCTCAACAAAAAATATGCAATTTCCTTTTAATTGAAATCAATCATTAAATATTGATCAGATAATATTGACCATTTTTTCATATCGTTGCGGACCCCCTCTGCAGTTGTCCCCAGTTTGGGAAACCCCAGTTTGGACCCCAGTTTGGGAAACCCTGCTCTAGGAGCACAAAAGGATTTCGTATATATATATACGGATAATACGGAAATTTAATAATGCAATAAATTTATATAATCTTTTGTGATAATTACAGGTGTAGCCGCGAAATGAAGAAAATCGATATCACTGTGACTTTCACAGATTCCATGTTGTGCACTTTATCAAAGAAAGCTGATGCTCCATGCTTGTCAACGGGTGGAAGTGCTTTAGTAAAACAAGTGAGTAGCTTGACTGTGAGACAAGAGATTTAAGTAAAGAAACCTTAAACATGAAGGTGAAACACTGGCAAAGCAGTAGTGATTCAGTATGTTTCAGAATCTTTTTGGTTCAGTATTGCCCATCCAATTTCTTACTCAATATATGGCATAGTGTGCCTGGGATATTGTGTTAGGTTAATTTAAAGATGAACAAAAAATGAAAAAAGTTTTTTAAAATGTATTTAATATAATTTGAAAATGCCCATGGGAATTTATTTATGGAAATGAGTCATATATGGTGGAAGTTGCACCAACTTCAACTCCTGATTGCTATTGCTAAAATGCATTGAGATTTTGAGAATAAAAATTTCTATCACATATGTTCTCACAAATTTTATATTCAGAAGATATTTATTAAATAGATTGATATGAAGATGGTATTTATTGTTTCAATTGCTTTAGATTTTTCTATAGGGATTTTTTCGACCTGCTGGTCAGATGTTGTTTGCTTATACTAAAATTGATAGATATCAAGTTCATTTTCTTGCATAAAGTGGGATTCGAAATTGAATTTTGGACAAAAATAATCTGGCTTGCAATGACTATTGTATTAATATTTTCTACTGTTTAGCTCAATTAGATAATTATCAAATAAATTCCAGCTTGGTCTAAGAGTAAACTATTACTTTCAGATCAAAAAAGGTGATAAAACTTGTTGGGTGCAGTTGGGTATAGTCACTTTTGGAGGACCCTGCCAAAAAAAATCTCCTGAATACCACACAGATGTAACAACAATATATTCTTGGATTAGGCAGACAATAGAACCAAAAGGTAATTATACTGATCATTCTACTAATTAGTAATGCGATTTATTTGAAAAGGTTTTGTGGATGGTGATCAACAGTCGACTGCTAAACTTTTACATC